CAACACGAGGGGCTCTTTGGCGAAGGCTGCTGCTGTCATCAGAGTACTATTTAGAGCAGCAGGAGTTGGCTGCTGCCAATTCGGCAGCAGCTCTTGCTGCTGCAACTTCACCTGCTGTTGCTGTTAAATCCGTTAACTCAAATTGGGTCTAAGCGCTGCTGCTGCAGCTGCTGCTGCAGCTGCTGCTGCAGCTGCTGCTGCTGCTTTCATTGCTGCTGCGTTTCTGTACCTGCCGTTACCTGTACGCCCGCTGCCGCCGTTTGACCGGCTGCTCGCGCGGCCGCTGCAACTGCTGCTGCTGCTGCTGCTGCTGCTGCTGCTGCTGCTGCTGCTCATTTGTACTGCTCGATTAGGACTTTGAGACCATCAATGGTATTCTTGTCCGTGGGAACTTCCAAAAGGTTCATGTAGACGTTTTTGTAGTCGCCTCTGCGGATCCACTCGCTGCTGCTGCTGCTGCTGCTGCTGCTGCTGCTGCTGCTGCTGCTGCTCCAGCCCACGTTGACCACCGCCGAGACCGCCAAGTGGCGCCCCCTGCTGCTGCTTCTCTCTGCTGCTGGCAGCCGCAGTTGGAAGTTGAGGGGCTTTCCCTCGTTGAGCTTTTCTGCACTGTCTTGGAAGCTGCTGAGGGCCACGCGGGGCGCGTCCATCACCAGGAAGCTCAGCTCCACCAGGTAGACCGAGCCCGGGGGCAGCTGCGAGGGCCGACCCCCCACAAACTCCAGCTCTCCGTTGATAATTAAGTCTTCTGCTGCTGCTGGCAGCAAAAAAAGCGAGAAAAAACACAGCAGCAGCAGCGGAAAGACCCGGCCCGCCATTTTGCAAGTTCAGAAACCACGCCGGCAGCCGTTCGCCGCGCCAAAGAGCCCAAAAGCCGCGAACAACAATTAAATTGAACAAAGAATTAATATTTAATGCAAAATAACTCTTGAGAGAAAGAAATATTGCCCGAATTTCGGCAGCAAGGACGCAGCTGCGCAGCCACTCCCGACACCCACGGCAGCCGCTGTCACGTTCAGCTTTCGCGCAGCGCGGAATCTGCCGATCCGCAGCCACCCGTGCGTCTTCAAAGCTTTTTAATCTTTTTAATTTGTGAGAAAATATATTAAAATTAAATTCGCGTTCAGTTTTATCGAAAATGGCGGCGAGAAAGCGCAGATCAGCAGGCCCGCGCTGTCGCCGGGGGAATCGCGACTGTTAGCGGAGCCCACTGTGCAACACCCTGGCCTCGAAAGACTGGAATTTCGCGGGTTTTGCAATTAATAATGCAAATAAAGGTCTATTAGAAGTTGAATTCGTCAATTATTGCGCAGATCAGTCGAAAGAGCCCGCCCTGACCGCCGGGGGCCCCGTTTTGCCCGCTTTCTGGCTCCTGTGCAAGGCCGCCGGCAGTGGTCTGCGGCGGCCGTGGGGCTGGCTGCTGCTGCGCCGGATTTCTTTGAGTTCTTCTTTTGAATTGTTTTTCTTTAATTCAAAAAGCAGCAGCAGAGGGAAAATGGTGACCACGAGGCGGCAGACGCGCGAAGAGGAGGCGCAGCAGCCGGCGGCAGCCCCCGTGCCGCCTTCGCGCGAGGCGAAACGCAAGGGAAACAGGCGAGAATTGCGTTTTTAAACATTTAATTTCATCTTTCTTGGATTTAATTTCATTTTAAATGACTTTTCCCGTTCATTTTACCCTCTGGAGCCTCAAAGCCGGCGCTTCCCGCTGCAGTCCTGTGTGCGAGCGAGTCGCAGCCTCGCCGCGCTGCACACACTGCCTCTGCTGCTCATTTCGCCAATTAATTTCTTTTAAATTAATTTTAAATTAATTTTAAATTAATTTTAAATTAATTCAATCTTTAATTCAGTTCAAAAGCCTCAACTAGAGCTGCATGCGCCTCCCGCTGCTGCAGCCCTCTACTGTTGCTGCTGCAGTCTGCACTGTGTGGTTTGCTGCTGCTCATCCTTTGCCTTTAGCCGATTGCTGTCTTGCTGTGTTGGTTTGCTGCAAGCTGCAGCGTGGCTCTGCTGCTGCTGCTGCTTGCTGCTGCTGCTGCTGCTTGCTGCTGCTGCTGCTGCTGCTGCTGCTGCTTGCTGCTGCAGCTTTGAATTCCTGCAGATTACTGGCTGTTGCAGCAGCTTGGCTGTGTTGTGTGCAGGGAGGAGAAGCGCGGATGTCCCTGCGCGGCAGCGGCTTGCTGCCCCGTGAAGCTGCTGCTGCTGCTGCTGCTGGCAGCAGCAGCAGCTTATTTGCTGCTGCCGGCTTCGCTTTTGGAGAAAGTCTTTGCTTACTTTAGTTCTTTGACTGGTGCAGCAAAAGGCGCAGCGGAGAGTTCGGGCAAAATAGCAGTGGAGCTCTAGCTCGCCTCTGCTGCGCTCCAGGCCCTGCAAGTGCAGCAAAACGTTCTATAAATGACTTAATATGTCATTTATGTTCTTTAATTTGTATTATTTATATTAATTGGCGAATTTATATGTACTTTGCACTGCAGTAGGCCTGCGAGCTGCGAAGACACCCCGCGCGTTCCCCGTGCGCGTGGGGTGTACGTACACCTCGGGACTCGCCCGCGCCGCAGCCGAGTGCCCGTCTTTTGTTTTGCTGCGGCATTTTAATTATTTTGAACTCCGAAAAGCCCAAAAAGCTTTCCCTATAAGATTTTTTTCCTTTTTTCTCTTCTTGTTTCCCCAAATGGGACGTTGGCAGGCTTTAGAGCTGCTGGAGAGGTGACCAGTGGACCACTTTCCGGGTTCTGCTGCAGCAGCTTCTGCTGCAGCAGCTTTTACTTGTGTGTCTTCTTAGTGCAGCAGCAACTTCGAGGCCCTAGCCAGCTGCAGCAGGCAGCTGCTAATTCATTTTTGCTGCTAGTCGAGATCTGCAATTGATAAAAGTGCTTCCAACTGCAGCAGCAGAAAAAGTAGACTGGCATAAATGCTGCTGCGGCTGCTCCCACTGGGGGCGTTGCTGCTGCAGCAGCAGCAGCAGTGGCGCCTGACGCAGCAGCAGCAGCAGCAGTTGCTTCCGCTGCAGCCGCAGCGCCGCAAACTTCACCTGATGCAGCAGCTGCTGCACCAGCTGTAGAAACACCTAATGCAGCAGCAGCGGCAGTAGTCGCGCCTGCTGCAGCAGCAGCTGCAGCTGCAGCAGCTGCCCTGCTGCAGCTGCAGCTGCAGCAGTAGTTGCACCTGGTGCTGCAGCAGCAGCAGCAGTTGCACCTGGAGCTGCAGCAGCAGCAGCAGCGGTACCTCGCGCTGCAGCCGCAGCAGCAGGCCCCGGGGCCGTGGCTGCGTGTGGCTGCCGCTGTGCACTCGCACTGCCTGCTGCTGCTGCTGCTGCGGGCTGCAGCAGCAGCAGCAGCAGCAGCAGCAGCAGCAGTGGACCACTGGTCACGCGGGTGGTCCACTAGAAGATGAGCGCAGCGCCGCCCCTCCTGGCGTTTCGGACGAAGACGTCCTTGGCGAGGGTCTGCACGTGGAGGGAAGAGTCGCCCTTGGGGGTGCATGCAACAGCAGCAGCAGCAGCAGCACTGACAGCAGCAGCAGCATCGAGGAAAATGACTTTGTTGCTGCTGCTCTCCAGAAAAGCCACTTCCACCTTTATTGGCGCTGCTTCCAGGCCCTGCAGCAAACGGCAAAGCCCTTTGTGTTCAGCAGCAGTTTTGAAAAACTGACAAAAACCCTCGTAGTAGTTCTTCTTGTCTTGCTGCAGCAGCAAACCACGCAGCGCAGCACGCAACCTGCTGCAGCAGCAGCAGCAGCAGCAGCTGCAGCAGCAGCAGCAGCAGCAGCAGCTGCAGCAGCAGCTGCAGCAGCAGCTGCAGCTGCAGCTGCAGCTGCAGCAGCTGCAGCGGCGGGAATTCTGCGTCCCAGGCGCAAACCCTAATCCCCAAACCGCAACCCCTAAACCCTAAAGCCCCAACCGCAAACCCTAAACCCTAAATTAGGGTTTGCTCACCGAGAGGTTTCGGAAGATTTCGGACTTTCCGCCCTTGTCTTTGTACTTGAAATCTGGCACTGGCTTTTTGGGTTCGAAGAAAGCCATGGCGCCTTCAACTGGAGATACACTCCAAACTATGAAGAGAGTGCCGTTGCTGGCAGTGTCGAAGACCAGGTAGGCCCCCTTTGTTGCTGCTGCTGCTGCTGCTGCTGCTGCTGCTGCTGGCGGCGCTGCTGCTGCTGCTGCTGGCGGCGCTGCTGCTGCTGCTGCTGGCGGCGCTGCTGCTGCTGCTGCTGCCACCGGCTCCGCTGCTGCGGCCCTCGGCGCGGAGCTCCCCGCCTTCTGCTTCTTCACAAAGTCAAACACACCCATTGTCACCGCTGCTGCTGCTGCTGCTGCTGCTGCTGCTGCTGCTGCTGCTGCGTAGGGCGGCTGGTGGGATGTGCCCGCTGGTGTGTCCGGCTCAAAGAACCTCCCCCACTCGAAATGAGACAGTCTGGAGGATAAACGGGAAGCAAAAGCCAACAAGACTTGAAAAAAGAAATAAAAGAAAGTTTTAATAATTGTTTTTGAAGTTGCTGCGGAGAAAAGTCGCAGTGCGAAGGCAGGCGGGAAGAGCCGCGAGGAAGCAGACAGAACAAGAGTGGGAAGGCGGCCCACGGCGGCGCTCGCCGAAGCCAGGCCGCAACAAAGAATTGAAATTGAAGAAGAAATTGGAAATGTTTTCTTTTGCGAAGTTCACTTTTAGAATTGCAAATAGATCAGAAGCAATCCGCGTTGCTGCTGCCATGTCAGGAAGCCGCAAGAGCAGCAGCAGCCAGCGCGCAGGCGGGCCGACACGGGCGCCACGATTAGCTCCGAATTCGCATTATAATAAAGAAAAAATAAATGCTTTTACTCCCAACTTCTTTCGAAATAAAGAAGTGACGAAGTGGAAACTTGAAAAGAACAATCTGCAACGCGAGCTGCCTGTACACCCGACTCTAACGGTCTGGCCACCTCTGCTTTCCTCGACACTCGCGGCCTGACTTTGCGAATTAGAAAAGAATAATTTCTTTCATTTCATTTTAAATTGTTTCCTATTTATGTCCTGCAGCTTATTCCCCTTTCCAGAGACCTCCCAAGCCTCTTCTTGAAAAGATCACTGCAGCAGACACACAAAGCCGGCACGGGGTTGTACCCCAGCGGGCTTCCCCAGCTTCTCTGGCTTATATATTGGTCTTTTTTGGCTTAAACGTTAATAGTTTGGAAATTAAAGTTTAGTTTAAGTTGAAAATGCAAAGACAGCAGCAGCAAAGGGCTTTCGCCGCGTTCGGGCGGGCCAAAAGCTGCTTTTTGTGAGCCCAAATGGCATTATTGAGGCAGCCAAGAAGTTCACTAAAAGCAGAAAAGAGGAAACAGAAACACAGGGGAGTGTTTGTGGCACTTGGCAGAAGCTAAGCAGCAGCAGCAGCAGCAGCAGCAGCAGCAGCAGCAGCTCAGGGCCAAATTGAATTGGCAGTTTGGCTTTGGGGCTGCATGCGCTGGGGCTTCTTGTGGGGTCTTCTGGCCCTCTTTAGCTGCAGCAGCTGCTGCTCCTGCAGCAGCAGCTTCTCCCGCAGCAGCTGCTGCTCCTGCAGCAGCAGCTTCTCCTGCAGCACCTGCTGCTCCTGCAGCAGCTGCTGCAGGAGCAGCAGGCTTAAAATGATAAGAAGCAGTTCAACTTTGCTGCACAGGAGGCGCAGCAACAGCAGCAAATACTGGGGCAGAAGGAGCGCTGCGTAGTCCCCGCTCTCTGGCCAGCAGCAGCAGCAGCAGCAGCAGCAGCAGCAGCAGCAGCAGCGCCGCAGCACTAGCTTTCCAGCTAGCTGCACTGGCCAAGAGTCCAGCAGCTGCTGCTTCCCCCCGCATCTGCTGCTGCTGCTGCTGCTGCTGCTGCAGTTAGCCCCTCAGTTTCTTAGACTTGAGTCTTTTAAACATTTTATTCTTAGAAGATCTTAAAGACAAAAAAGCTGCTCATAATAATCCCTTTTGCTCAGCAGCTGCAGCACGGGGGGCCCCCCCTGGGGCTGGGGGCCCCCCTTTTGGGTACCTTAGGGGGGCCCCCAGCCCAGGGGGGGCCCCATGTTTTGTTACTTTATATTTTAGATTGCAAAGAATTGGAAGTTATGGCTAGCTGCATGGCTAGCTGCCTGGCTAGCTGCCTGGCTAGCTGCTGGTGGCCTGCAGCAGCAGCTGGAGAGCTGCAGCAGTGCGTTTGGCAGGCCTTGAATGCAGCAGCAGCAGCAGCAGCAGCAGCAGCAGCAGCAAGGGCTATTATGGCCGAGCTGCTGGCAGCTTGTTAACTGCTGCCGCCCTTTGAATGTCTTCTCTTTTCCTGGAATTCAAAAAGACAAAAAGTCTTCTCCAAGTTTCGATTTGCTCTTCTTCTGCTGCGCTGCATGCAGACCACTGGTCACGCCAGGCAGCACCAGTGGTCCACTGCTGCTGCTGTTACTTGAATTCCCAGAAGCAGCAATTGCGTTCTTTTGCTGCCTGCAAGCTGCTGCTGCCAGCAGTGGCAAAACCTGCGTTTTGCTTTGTAAGCAGCAGCAGCAGCAGCAGCAGCAGCAGCAGCAGCAGCAGCAGCAAAAGACACGTTTTATTGACCAGAAGACTTTGCCAGAAAGACAAATTTGCTTTATTGAAAATAAAATTATAATGAAAAGTTTCTCAAGAGCCGCCTGAGCCAGCCAGTTGCTGCACAGCCAATTGTGGCCCGAATCTGCTGCCCTTATTCCCGTTTAGGGTTTAGGGTTTAGGGTTTAGGGTTTATGGTTTAGGGTTTAGGGTTTGTTGCGAGCCTAAAGGCCAAAGCAGCCCGGAAGCAACAAAATGAGCCTGTCTTTGAAGAGCTGCTGACTTTAATTCAAAAACAAATTTATTTTAACTTTTAAAATTCTATTTTGCTTTTTGCTGCTGCCAAAGTTATAACGGCGAACTGTTTGCTGCTAGCAGCAGCAAAGTTGCTGCTAGCAGCAGCAAAGTTGCTGCTAGCAGCAGCAAAGTTGCTGCCAGCTTTCTAGTTTGCTGCTGCCCAAAGGACTGCAGCAAAGGCCACTTTAGAGAGCCAACAGCAAATCTTTTGCTGCTAGCAGCAGCAAAGTTGCTGCTAGCAGCAGCAAAGTTGCTGCTAGCAGCAGCAAAGTTGCTGCTAGCAGCACCGAGGTTGCTGCTAGCAGCAGCAAAGTTGCTGCTAGCAGCAGCAAAGTTGCTGCTAGCAGCAGCAAAGTTGCTGCTAGCTTTCTACCTGCAGCAAAACGGCCCCACGGGAGCCATTTTGCTGCAAATGTGGCGAAGTCCTTTTCGTAAGCTGTGGGGCCCCACAGCTGAGCATTAAATGCATTTATTATCTCAAAATGTTTCCATTTTTGAATTAAATGTCTTTTTAATCTTTAAAGTGAAGTCAAAGCTCGCAGAGAAACCGAAAAAGAAAAGCAGCGGCTTCTTTGCTGCACTTGTGGGAGGCCTGAGCTGTACGTACAGCTGGGTGCAGCTGGGACTTTCAAAAATGTATTAATGGAATTCAAATTATTTTTTAAATGAAATATTTTGAAATAAAGAACAAATAAAGTCTGCTGAACAGGGCGCCTCGAGGAGGGGAAGGCTAAAGGCGCTGCAACTGCAGCGCAGCAGCAGCTGCTGCTGCTGCTGTTGCTCCACCGTCTGCTGCTGCTGCCATGCTTCCCTTCAGCTTCTGCTGCAGCACCGAAATTTGGAACTGGCTGCTGCCTGCACTAGGGACCCAGCAGCTGCTGCAGCAGGTGCTGTTGCTGCTGCTGCAGCACCAGCAGATATTCCTATCCAGTTAATCTTTGTGCTTATAAAGCAGCTTTTTGCATCGCAGCAAAAGCTCTCCGCAGCACAATACTAGCCCAGACCCTAAACCCTAAACCCTAAACCCTAAACCCTAAACCCTGAAGCAGACGCTGCGAGAAGACTCTGTTCATTGTTTTAGGGCCAAAGGCAGCGCCCACTGTTGGCTGCAAAGAAATGTTGAGGGTTTAGGGTTTGGATTCGTGGGGTCTAGGGTTTAGGGTTTGGGCTTTGTGCGCGGTTTGGGGCGGGGAGCTAGGGTTTAGGGTTTGGGACGCTGCTGCGCTGCTGCTGCGCTGCTGCTGCGCTGCTGCTGCGCTGCTGCGCTGCTGCTGCTGCAGCGAAGCCAGCTTCTGCGCGGGGCTCATTTGCTGCAGCTGCTGCTTGAAAAGCAGCCGCAAGTGAGACAGAAAAGCAGCAAAACTAATTCGGCCTTCTTTGTAAAGTTCTCCGAGTTCCCAAAGACAACATTCTGGCCAAGCCCCCACCACTGAGTCCCACGCAGCAGCACAACTCGCAATGGCTAGCTAGCTGGCTAGCTAGCTAGCTGCACAGCTAGCTGGCTAGCTACGTAGCTAGCTAGCTAGCTAGCTAGCTAGCTACATAGCCGGCCACATAGCTAGCTAGCCAGGTACCTACGTAGTTAGTTAGCTAGCTAGCTACCTAGTGAGGCTAGCTAGCTAGCTAGCTAGCTAGCTAGCTAGCTAGCTGGCTGGCAAAGATAGCTAGCTGCGGCCAAGGTGGATAGCTAGCTAGCTGCCTGCGAGGCAAAGGGCTGCACGGGAAGACAATAAGCGAGCAGCTAGCCAGAGCCCACAACTAGCTAGCGAGTCGCTGCAGCTAGCTAGCCACAGCAGCAGCAAAGAAGCAGCAGCAAAAGCAAATTCTTGCATTTAACTCACCATGGCAAGTTTGCTGCTGGAATGAGATGTCCACAAAACACTCCAGAGCAGGCAAAGCCTTGTCCAGATTCATGAAACAAATGCGGGTGAACCTCTCGCCTGCACACAAACCCTAAACCCTAAACCCTAAACCCTAAACCCTAAACCCTAGGGCGTTGGCAGGACACCGTGGACTTAAGCCCTTATCTGGCGATCGGTGTGACCTCTTTAGGACAAAATGCAGAACAGCTTCAGAGCTGCTGTTTCTGCCGCTGCTGCTGCTGCTGCTGCTGCTGCTGCAATGCGCTTGCCGCTACTGCTGCTTCGTACTACCGCTGCTGCTGTGTTGCTGCAAGTGCTGCTGCTGTTGCTGCTGCTTCCAGTAGTAGTAGTTCAGCCCTCGCTTTCCCTGCTGCTGCTGCTGCTGCCTTTACTATTTATTAATCCTGCTGCTGCTGCTGCTGCTGCCTTTACTATTTATTAATCCTGCTGCTGCTGCTGCTGCTGCTGCTACCTGCAGGCTGATAGATTTTCAAAGCGTGAGTGAAGCTGTAAGCATCCACTCTGGCCCGCCACTCCTTCCTCGAGTGCGCGTCTTGCGAGGAAACCACCGCGAACTCTGCGGAAAAAAAGAAATAAAAATGAAAAAAAGAAATTAAAATTAAAATTAAAATTAAAATTAATAAATAAAAGAAGTTTATTTGCAAAATGCGAAGTTCCACGCACTGACACGAACACGAACTTGCAAATTGAACTTGAACTGACGAAATGCGCACACCGGAAACGAGCAGCCGCGCCAACTTTCCAAATCATCAAACCCTAAACCCTAAACCCTAAACCCTAAACCCTAAACCCTAAACCCTAAACCCTAAACCCTTAATGGACCTTTCCTTGTGGCTTCTAACTTTCGCTGTGCCGCCTGCAGCCGCAGCTCCACCTTCTCCTTTGCAGCAGCCACGCGAGCCAACTCAGCGTCTACTGCCTGCCACCACAAACCACAAAACCTTAAACCCTAAACCCTAAACCCTAAACCCTAAACCCTAAACCCTAGAGCGCAAACCCTGCGTTCCATAACATAGCCTAGTGGGCCTGCACACCACGGAATGAACAGACAGCAATGCAGCCAGCGCGCAACGCAAACCCTGAAACCCTGAGCACTCGAATAAAGAAGTTCAGACCCTAAACCCTAAACCCTAAACCCTAAACCCTAAACCCTTGCCTTGTCCTCCTCAAGGAGCACTTGCACCTCCCGAAGGTTTTGCTCCGTCTCTGAAATGCAACAGAAAGCGCAACTTCTGCGCACGATCGTGCCTCCTCTAAACTTAAACCCTAAACTCTAAACCCTAAACCCTAAACCCTAAACCCTAAACCCCTAACCCTAAACCCTAAACCCTAAACCCTAAACCCCCAGTCGCCACGCTTACTAGCATTTAGTTCTTCTACCTCAGCTTGCAGCTGGGCACTCTCCATAGCTAGTTGCTCCAGCTCAGCTGAAGACAAAGACAAGCCCATACATGCTAGGCCCCAAACCCTAAACCCTAAACCCTAAACCCTAAACCCCAAACCCTAAACCTTGCGTGGCGTCCTATGTTCTATGCCTTAAACCACAAGCTCTCGAGTCTAGTCCTGCAACCCTAGACCCTCCCCTAATAGGCCGTAAACCCTAGACTTGTAGTATGTAAACCCTAAACCCTAAACCCTAAACCCTAAACCCTAAACCCTAAACCCTAGTTCCCGAGGAGTTAACCCTAAACCCTAACCAATTTGGTCGTCTATGAAGGTAGCGAACTCTTCAGCTCTCTGTCGGGCCCCTCGAGCTGCTGCTTCGCAGTCATCCTCTAGCTGCTGCAGCATAGCAGCTCCCAAGGCTGCGATCTTGCTGCTGCTGCTGCTGCTGCTGCTGTCGTTGCTGCAAAAGGCAGCAGAATCAGCAGCAGTGGAGGAAGCAGCAGCGAAGGGTGCTGCAGCGGCGCTGCTGCTGCTGCTGCTGCTGCTGCTGCCATTAGACAGCCTGCATGCGGAAGCTTTAGGTCCATTGGTCCCTGAGGGCCAGGCCCTCCGCTGCAGCTGCTGCAGCTTTTGCTTCTGCGGCTGCTGCTGCTGCTTCTGCTGCTGCAGCTGCTGCTGCTGCTGTAGCTGCATCGGCTGCTGCCCCTCCAGCTCCGCCACGCCATCCATTTTGTGCTTTCTGTGAGAGAAGGGTAGGGAAGGTGTGAGGGGGGTTGTAAATCCTAAACCCTACACCCTAAACCCTAAACCCTAAACCCTCTTTTGTGGATTATCCAGCTGCTGCTGTTCAATCCAGGACACTCTGCCCCACATAAAAGCCCCGCATAGTACTCCAAAGTGTCTCATGAAGTGCAGAAAACGCTGAAGTGAGCTGCTGCTGCTCCTGTTTGTGTTGCTGCTGCTGCCGCCGCCGCCGCTGCTGCTGCTGCAGCAGGCAAACGGCCTAACTGCGGAAAATGAAAGGGGTTCTATTTCTTTAATTTAAAAAGTAAAAACGTCAACTTTTTGAATTTATTAAAATTATTTTTCCCCTCTTTTCTGCAGACAACACTCATAACCAGCCAATATCGAAGAGGGCCCCAACAGGGGGGGCCCCTAGGTGGTGTTTTGGTGGGGTTGTTGACCAGCAGCAGCACAACACAGCAATTTGAAGTGTAAATAGCAGAATTTTTGTAAGAAAAATTTATAATTAATGATATATATCAATAGTTCATATCTATATATGTATTTGAGCCATTAATAAGCTCTCTTCACCCAAAACTCTTGCTTAACTGCCGTGCTAAGTCAATATACATCGGGGAGAATTTGTATTGGCATTGATAAGATCTTCTTGGTGAGTTTTCTTTGCAGCGGAAAAGAATTAAAAAGCAAAAATGGTATTAAATGGGCGACTTTCTTAAGCCGACGAAAAGGAACAAATGAAACAACAAAAGAAAACTGAGACAAAGATAGAAACGGCTGCGAAATGAAGGAAAGAAGCAGCAAAAGTAAAAAATGACACACAAGGAACAACAAAACCAAAAAGACAAACAAAGAGATGCAAAACGTTAAAAAAATAAAGAAAAAAAGATAAAGAAAAGCAAAAAGTAATTTAAAATGTCCATAAGTGCTGCTGATTTGTACACGGTCACCTAGAGCCTCCTCCGTTCTTCTTGCATCAAGCTTTGCCAATTCAGCTGCTTTTTGTGTTTCTTTTTCTCCATTTTTTGTCTCTTTTTGCTTTTTAAAATATGGGGACATTTCTGCTTTGCATGCGCCTTCGTTTTCGCCAATTTTCTGCCTTTTTGACTGTCTTTTTTCTCAACTTTTGTTCCATTTTGCTTCCATTTCGTCTCAGCACTTTTTGCTGCTCTGTACCATTCCACTGATTTGCATATTCCCTCATTTCTGGCAAACTGGCAGCTGGGGCACAAAGTTAAGTGTCGGGGCTTAGGGTTTAGGGTTTAGGGTTTAGGGTTTAGGGTTTGTTCTCCTGCGCTGTCCTGCTGATGAGAGCCACTGCCTTTGCCGGCGTTTTCAGCTGCTGCAGCCCTCTCTCCAGCTGCGTCAGCAGCTGCAGCAGCGGCTCCTGCTGCTCCTTCTGCTGCTGCTGCTGTTGCTGCTGCTGCTGCGGCCGCTACTGCTTTTGCTGCTGCTGCTGAAGCAGTGACAGTACCGCCAGTACCAGTAGAGGCAGCAGTAGTAGTAGAACCAGCAGCAGCAGCAGCAGCAGCAGCAGCAGCAGCAGCAAAACTTTCGGGACTATAGACGCAATGCCCAGGAATATGTGCCTAAGCATTGCAGTGTAATTAATGTCCAATAATTTAGAAATATTTCTGTCTTTTGCAAAAGATGAAAATATATATTTGCGCATGCATCCATATTTGAATCTGCACTATTTTCACAACTATATTTGCACTGGCAATTTCATTTTTATTTGCTTCTACAATTTTATATATTTTAGGTGCACCAAATTAGGCAGCAGCAGCAGCAGCAGCAGCAGCAGCAAACAGAAGCAGCAAGGTCGATGCTTCTTTGCTGCTGCATTATTCCTTGTCGGTCCTCGGGCGAAGCAGACGGCTGCTTGCTGCTGCTGTTGCTGCTGCTGCTTGTTGTGTTGCTGCTTCTGTTTACACTTTCACTGCTATTCTTGTTCCCGGTGCCTCTGTCTTGCTGCTGCTGCTGCTGCTGCTGCTGCTGCCAGACATGCTGGGGCTGCTGCTTTCATGCACAAAAGTGTGCCACGTGCTGCTGAAGTATTTCGCACCATAGGTTTCAAAGCTGCTGCTGCTGCTCTTGCTGCTGCTGCTGCTGCTGCTGCTAGTTTACTGATGGCTGCTGCATCTGCTCGGGCAGTAGGCTGCGGAGGAAGCTTGGTTCCAGCTGCTGTTGCTGCAGCAGCTGCCGCCGGTGCTGCTGCAGCCTCAGCTGCAAATTCTGTTGTCGCTGTTGCTGCTGCTGCTGCTGCTGCTGCTGCTGCTGTTCGTTTAGGGGGTGCTGCTCCTGCAGCAAAACTGTTTGCTGCCTGCTCTGCAGCAAGCCTTCCCTAAGGTCATCTACGCCCCAGACTGAGCCATCTGCGAGAACAACCCCAATAAGCACATGGGGGTAGCCGGCAGCTGCTGCTGCTGCTACTGCTGCTGCTGCTGCTGCTGCTCGCTGCTGCAGGATTTGCTCTGCAGCACTTGCAGGTGCTCGACGCTCCACCAAGAGATTCTCCCTGAGGCCCTCAGGATCATCTTGATGCTGCTGCTGCTCCCTCAGATGCCGAAGGGTTTGGTCCTGCTGCTTCGTTGCTGCTGCTGCTGTGTCGCATGCATGCAGCAGCAGCTGCCTCTCTGCTGCTGCGTCTGAGTCAACAAAAGCCATTCTATTAGTTTCTGCTTCTGTCCCATTTTCAGTCTCAGGCTTATTCAGCAAAGGCCAGATGGCCCTGCTTTGCAAACCACTTTTTGCACCTGAGTCCCAAATGGCTGCAGCAAGCATATCCCCGACTGCTGCTGCTGCTGCTGCTGTTGTGGCTGCTGCTGCATCTGCTGCTGCTGCTGTGCCTGCTGCTGCTGTGCCTGCTGCTGCGGCAGTTTCACTTCGCTGAAGTCTAGATGAGCCTAGGCCCCACATCGAAGGTTCCTTCAACTCAACTTCGGCCGCTGGCGCAATTGCTGCTGCTGCATCTGCTGCTGCTGCATCCACCGGATCTGCTGCAGCCGCTGCATCTGCTGCATGCAGTGCTGCTGCTGCACCTGCTGCACCTGCAGCTGGTGCTGTCCCACTTAAGATATTTTCCAAATGCAGCCACTGGCTTTGTATGGCATTTGTTGAACTTGCGGCTTCATGCCTCTGCCTGGAATCTCCTGAGAATATGGAGGTGTCTTCAAATGAGTCTGAAAATAAAGTGTTTTTACGCAAAGTCGGGAGGCAAAAGAAAAAAAAAATATTAAAACTGGAACCAAAAAGATGTGATAAAGAACAGAGAGACACAAGAAACACAAGAAAACAGGACTTGGTGAACAAGCTGATTGGCTGTTCACACGCGCTTCAGCACCAGAAGTGGAAACATGTTTTTAAAAGAACAAATGCAATCTCTGCGTGCCACTGGTTTGCTTTTGGTTTAATTTAACTAATTATCAGAGGCTGTGGGAGCTTCGCAGCAAACTGCAGCTACCTGGCTGCTGTGCGCCTGGCAGCAGGTGCTGCAGGCCCTCTGCCTCCCTTTTTGTTGTTTCCGTTGTTGTGGGCCTCTCTGGGCTTTCCCAGTCAGTTAATTTCAGGTTTTGTCCCACATTTGAGTCACTTGAAGGCGAGGAAAAATGCTGAAATGGGGCGGAAAGCTCCTGATACAAGTCCGGAGTTTCAGCGGCAACTGGCGGGAAAAGGGGCGAAGGAGATACGAAAAAGGGGATATCTGGTGATAAACTCAGTACAAAAAGAAAATAAAACAAAAATTTAAAGTAATTGTGAAAAAAATTTGCCCTTTTCATCTCGGTTAACCGCCAAATGGGGCAAGTTGAATTCGTCACATCGCCTGAAGAAAAGGAAGAGATCCTGAACAAAAAAGCAGGAAATTTTTCCTTATAATGAAGAAACTTATTTCCTTTTCTCCTGCTGCCTTATTCTCCTTCTCTCCTGCATTTCCCTTTTCAGTTCTGATACTTTTTACTTTGTTTTCTCCTGCCGCCTCGTTTCCCTTTTTTCCCGGATTTCCTCTTAGTTTTTCTCACCCCTTTCACTTGACTCCCCCCTTCAGCTGTTTCCGATTTTCTCAGACCAGAATTTGCAATATTTTTCTTTCTTATGCTTCTTTAATTTCCCATCCACGTAATTTGGCAAGCATTCATTCCGCAGTTTCTCCCTCAGGCAAATTTTGTGCATGTATCAGCATCTAGCACTGGGGGGACTGGAAGTGCGTGAAGGAAGTGCAAGAAATGAAAAAAACTAAATAAACAAATTCATATTTAATATTGTTTAATGTTTTAAAGTGAAGGAACCGGCTCACTCCGGTGCATGCACCTGGGCAAACAGACACGGAGGCTAGCCGCCAGAAACGTGCGCATGAGCCGCTCCTCTCCTTAGCTTTAAAGGTCAGTTTTCATGTTTTAATTAAATTCAATAATCTCAAATTCGACAGTAAATTCCTGAAAAGTTACTTTAACACCTGACGTTGCTGCTTGGCGGGCCATGATCATCCAGTTGGTCACTCGCCAGTGACCATGACACACTGGTTCCACGGATTCCGTGGGAAAGAATGCGAATATTACCAACAAATAAGTTGTTTTACGACTTTAAATAAGCAAACGGAAAGTAATCTGCAATAGGAAAAGTTCATTTCGGCTGATTCAGCTCACTTCAGGAGCTATTCTTCAGAATGCTTAGCATGGAGGACACCAGTACCATTGGTCCAGAGCCTCGAAACAGTGGAAGGTGAGCGCTACGCCTTGCCTCATGGGTTTTCAATAAAATATTTTACGTTTTTAAATTCCAGAATGTCTCAATTTTTTTTATTTTACCTTGTTCCGCAGCTGGAACTGCGTGGGAGCGGCTGCTTAGTGCGCCCCACGCCTCCTCGGTTCTCATGTGCAGCATTTCTTTCGTATAGACCTGAATTAGTACATTGTTCATTGTTTTCCAGTAAGTTTGATCTTCTCGGGGTGTTAATTGCATAAAACTCTTTTTCTGGGGTGTCAATGAAACGGGACGCAGCAGCCTGGTGGCTCAAGGCCTCTTTAAGGAAGGTAGAGAGCCTCATTAGATCCCAATTCACATGCTCTTCAGTGCGTAAGGCTTATTTATTAGAGGTTTAAAAACAAAAGAGGCACTACAAATAAACGGAAACACCAAGTTTAATCGGGAGGCGGCAAAACAGCGAAAATAGAAAGGCTTCTAGTCCTTCATCTAAGGACGGAAGCAAGGAAATAGCGTCTGAAGGCTGTAAATAATGCAAACAGTGAACTTAAATTTGAATATAAATTTAATTTGCTGCAGGCGAATCCGTAGAACCAGAACTCCGTGAAGACCCAAGCCTTAAAACTTTAAACCCACGAAAAATGAAGACCTGCACCGTAGATCCTAAACCTGAAACCCTGAATGGTAAAACTAAGTTTGTTGTTTACTTTAGACATGAAACCCTAAATATTAAAACGAGATTTGTTATTCAACTTAGTTTTATTTATTTGCATTACTTCTTCTCAAGACAGAGGGAAGCGGGCTGCTGGATGCTTTGTGGCGCTCGTTTGTTGATCTTTTTGCTGACACTTTGCCTTGTGCCTCCTGCATTTACTTATATTTGTATTTGTGTGTATTAATTTGCAAACAAATTAACTTTTGTGTATATTTCTCTCTCCCGTTTCTTCCAATTGCTACCTGGGACCGAAGCACTGCTGCACCTGCCCGTCCATTTGGCTGCAAGCTTTGTCCTTCTCCACACAATTAAGCAGCAATTATAATTGTTGTTGCTGCTAGCTACGATCAACTATTTGGTCTGCTGCGTCTTGATCAAATATACGTAAAGTACGAAACAAGGCAGTTTGCAGCTGGTGTTGGGCGAAGTTGAAATAAGGAAACTGCGCCATTTTGCCTATTGTTATTAAGCAAAAGCACTGGATGGGATTTGCTGCTAGCTGTAAGTAAATATATATTTAAGTAATTAAATGTTTACATTTGTTTGGTTTAGGGAGATATCGCTGTTTTCAAATCAACTGCTTCCTGGTGATGCGCATTTGATTTCATTGCCAAACTCTCAACAGAGTCTTTGAAGAATTGCTGCACTGGGAATCAGAAACTCCACCGCAGAACCAACTATTGGCGCCAGCCAGCGAAGTCCACTTTCAGAGAAGTCTTTGGCGTTTTTAGTCAAGTTTAAACCGCTGCTTTTATTCCCGGATCTTCTTGCTGGCTATCTTCTCTCCAGCTCAGCAAAAGGCGCCTTCATAATTCTTAATTGGGCACTTAATTGAGTTGATCTTGCATTGCCTCGCGCAACAATTCCTTATGAATGTTGTGTTGCCAAGAAGAGATCATAAAATAGACCGTTTTTGGCTCCTGATTGAAACTTTTTAACGTGCCAGTGCCTATTGTTCTTCTTTCCACCTGCTTGTAGTGCAAGAAGAGTGAGACTCTGGAAGCTCTTGATCTTATTTGCCACAATTTGGTTCATTTGACATTTCAGTGGTGACATAGCTAGGCTTTGCTGCAGCAGTTTTAGCTGCCTGCAGGTTTGCGTGGCTTCAGTCAAAGGCTTCAGGATGCTGAGCGGCCAAAGAAGAAGCAAACTATTAATTGAGCAACTTGCAACAAAAAATTATCTTCTTTGTTTTATTGTAGTGGTTGTGCTTAATTAAATAATCCAAAATATCCTAGACATTACTGAATGCAACAGGAATGTGAGCTGAGGGGAAATAGAGCAAATTGGCTCACAAATGAAAAAAGGCTGGGCCACGGCCAAATGTTCCCGGAAGGATTCTTCTTTTGTGGGGGTCCTCTTTGATTCAGAATATCGATGACCTTTCTGGCTAGCAATGAGCATTCAAAAAGCCAACTTGGGATATCTAAGGATGGCTTTTCAGCGGCGCACTGGTGGCTGCATTGAACTCTTCTCTTTTCCCCAATATGCTTTTGAGGCAAGGCCAGAAACGCCCGCAGTTCTGTAGGAGTTTTAAACTCTTTAGGGGCTTCTCTAGAAGCCATTTCCCACTTCAGATGTTGCATAGTCGTACTAGACTGCAGAGGCCTCTGCCCTCTTCCCATTTGGCGAGGAATTAGGCTCAGATATGGCCAAAACTTGGAATATTTATGAATACTTTGTTCAAAAGTTGGGACAAAGAAGCTTTAAAGTGACTTTTCAGCATTTATTTCTCCTTGCTCAACTCTGAAAATGCACCAAAAGTTGGTTTCTTGTATAATTTCCGCCAACTATTCAAATTTGCAAGAGGCAGAATGTCTCAGTGCAGCTTTTTGAATTGTTATTCAGAAAACTTGAGAGATTCAGCAATTAAATGTGCTGCTTGAAAACAAAATAAATATATTTATATATTCGCCGAGTTGTATTTGTCTTCTTACGCTCGTTCAAGCCTGTTAGGCATCTTGCAAGAAGCAATTCTTGAATTCAGCCACGGGAAACGAATCCTTGAGTTTGGCTTTCCAGTGTGTTTCATTTGAGACAGTCTTAAAATTAAAAAAGAAAAGTATTTTTGCATTAAATTAACACTTTCCTTTCTTTTCTCAGCTCCAACTCCTTTCTTGCGCAGAAGTCTGGGCTGTGCATGCAGCAGCGGCAGCAGTTGCTGCTGCATGCAGAGGCCCTTTTGCACGAAATAAAAGCTTATGATTGATTCGTAACTTTTAAATTTCTAAAATGAATTAAAAATTGCGTTTTTAATTTCTTTTTCCACTTCGAGTTAGCCAATAAATAGAGAGCTGCTCAGGAGAGCAGGGCAGCCCGGCCCGCCCGAAGACACGAAGAGTGCCTTTTAGGATTTGTTTAGCAGCAAATTAATAACTCAAATAAAAATTAATTAAATTTTACTCAAGTTGTGCACTTAGAGTCCCTTCTATCCCAAAGTTGAGCCAGCAGCAGCAGCAGCAGCAGCAGCAGCAGCAGCAGCAGCAGCCATGAGGGCTTTGCTTCCCTCTGCACTCCTCGCCCACAAGCCCCGTCTCCTCTCTCGCTGTTGCGCCCTAGTAAGACTCGAGCGCGCGCCCGCTGCAGCTGCTGCAGCTGCAGCGCCGGCTGCAGCAGCAGCAGCAGCAGCAGCAGCTCCAGCAGCAGCAGCGGCAGCAGCAGCAGCAGCGCAGGCAGCCGCAGAAGCCAGCCTGCGGCTCCCCCCTCCACCCCTAGGCCCCTTTTCTCCAACTGCCTGCCGCTTATTCCCCAGAGGCTCCTTCAGGGACGGGCCCCCCTTGGGGGGCCCCCCGGGGGGCCCCCAGGGGGGCCCCCAAGGGGGGCCCCCAGGGGGGCCCCCAGGGGGGCCCCCCAGGGGGGCCCCCCTGGGCGGCCAGCTGCACCCAGAAAGCGCAGACCCTTTCAAGCCGCAGCAAATGCGGCGAATGGACTTGAAGTTGGGGCCTTATGCGGGAGGCCGTTTTTTTGTGTCTCCAAAAGAAGATCCGAAGGAGTTTATTTTGTGTGTTATTATTGTTGCCATTTTCCTGTACACTCTCGTCCACACCTACACGCAGCCGGGTGAGCAGCAGCAGCAGCAGCAGCAGCAGCAGCAGCAGCTGCTGCTGCTGCTGCTGCTGCTGCTGCTGTAGGCTTGCCAGCAGGCCCCTGAGGTGCAGTTTTTCGCATGTAATAGATCTGAGGCCTGAGCGAGTGGAATCGACGCAGGAGCGAATAAATGAGCCCACAGACTGTGCATGGAATATGGGTTGGAGTAAATAGTGCTTATAATGGATATTTTTGAATAAATATTCCCAAAATATTCTCAAAATGTGTCTTTTTATTTGCCAACTGCCTTTTTCAGGGGGAGAAACTGTGTTCCAGCGGCGGCGGCGCATCATCAGAGAGCGGCTGCTGAAAGAGGCGGGACTAAACGAGGCGGATCTGGAGGCGCTGGAGGCCGAAGAGGCCCCTTTGACGAACTGAAGTGGTTCAGTTTGTCGCAATTTTAAAACAAAATAGAGCAATATAAATGAAAATGAAACAAATATATTATTGTACTCCAGCGGCGCGCAGCAAATGGAAAGCCGCGAGCTGCGAAAGGCGCAGCCGCGTGGCTACGGCGCTCAGGTGTACAGACAGCGTGGCGCTGAACTACTCAGCAAGAGTTCCGAAGTCTTTCTTTTTTGGGCTTGCGTTCAGATTTAGAGAAGAGGCTTAGCTCGAATGGAATATACGAAATATATTAGAGTTACGAGAGCGAAACTGTGCGAAAGAGCAGCTCATGGTGGGCAGAATGGGACGCCCAGTGACCCTAGTGCTGAGGAATGCATTTTGCAAGATCCCTCAACTAGGGCTAAGTTAACTGGCCAGGGGGCCCTGTAGTGACTCTTTCACAACAGATAAATTGTTAATTAGATTAATTAGAGGGATCTGCGAACTCTGAGCTGCCTGGCAGACCATTCTGGGCTGGCGGAAGAGATCTCTGCTGCCAGAAGCGCAAGATCCCAGGCAGCTCGTGCAGCGAAGCCAGGGGTGACCAGTGGTCCACTTCTTGCTGCCAATTTGAAGTGGGCGCTGCTTTCCAGAGCTTAAGTACTGGCGGGCTTTTAAGCCTTGGGGCTTGCGAAGAGATCGGTGCATCGAGGACTGGCTGTGGGCCTCCAGGCGCTGCACACGGAGGCGCGGGCAGTTTCAAAAAGAAATAAAAATGAAAATATTAAATAAAAGTTGCAATTAAAACCACCAACTGAGAAGAACGGGGTGTACGAGGAGTGGAGCTGCACCCCCGGCGCCAGCCAGCAGCAAGGCACAGGGGGGGGGGCGATCTCACCCATTGCCGGGCCCCTTTTGCCGCTATTAATGGGAAATATAAAAAGAAAGGATTTTAATTTTGTTGTTATCTCCTTTTAATTTGGAGACACGCGTTGATTGCTGCGGAAACTGCACCTGGGGGCGTTGCTGCTGCTGCTGCACTTGCTGCGGAGAAGGGCGGCGAGGCTTAGGGGAAAGAGGGGGCAAAAGCCTCGGAAAAGCCGAATTAATGTGAAATAAAGAATTTATTTTTCGAAAAGTGGCATTTTAATTAAAAAAAAGCTGCTGCGGGGCGGTGTGGGCCCCGGCGGCGCTGCAGCACTCGGCGCCGCTGCTGCAGAGCAGGCGGGCAGCAGCAGCAGCTGCTGCTGCTGCTGCTGCAGCGCTGAGCAGCAGCAGTTTGCACTTGTGCAAAAATGGCTAAGTTGCAAATCGCGTTTTTGCAAAAGTCCCGCTGCTGCCCGTAGCTTTCCGACTGCGCCGCGGGGGCGCCCCACCCACTCTCGTGGCCGCTCCGCCAGGGCTTGCGCTGCAGTTTGCAAATCTTTTTTGCGAAACTCTTTTGAATTTGGTTTTTAAATTCGAGAGAAGGCGAATTTCCCCGAGGGCGCTGCGTCGGCCGCCGGCCCGCGCAGGGTGCAGCTGCTGCAGCGGGGCAGCAGCAGTTCTTGCAAGATCGAGTCGATCTCCACTTGGGAGGCCTCCCTGAGTTTGCTGCTTTTCTGAGGAGCTGCAGCAGCAAAAATGGCGTTTTTGGGGCGGGTGGGGAGTTTGTGGGTGTGCGCGGCGCTGCTGCTGCTGCTGAGTTCAAGTTGCTGCTCGCCGCGCGCCGCTGCTGCTGCTGCTGCTGCGCCCGGCGCCGCTGCTGCGCCGCGCAAGCCCATAATGAAGAAGGTGAAGACCAACATGACCCGCAAGTTCGTGGGAATGACTTCGCAAGCCATTTTGAGGGACTTGTACGAAGTTTGGGTGCGGAAGCTGCTGCTGAAGGAGCTGCGGGGGGCCCACGAGGACTTCGTGCAGGCCCACAGCCCGCAGCTGTACTACAAAATAGCCCGCGCGTGGCACAGCGCCTTCTGCCACCAACTCCGCACTGCGCGGCTGCCAGCTTCCTGGCGAGCAGCAGCAGCAGCAGTGCACAGGAAGCTGGGGGGCCGCGGGGACTTGCTGCAGGCGCTGCCGCCGGTGGGCAAGAAGGGGCGGCGGCTGCGGCTGCAGCAGCAGCAGCCGAAGCGGGACTTCATTCGCTTCGCAGTCTTCTTCCTCAGGGCCTTCGTGCCCGCCTCTCTCGAGAAAGCTGCAGCAAAGGACAGCGCAGCAGCAGCAGCCATCATCAGCCGCCAAGAACCCAACTTAAGAGCTGCTCTCTACTCCACTCTCGCCGCTTTCTTCCAGTTCCTCGTGGGCAGCGCCCCCGGCTGCAGGATCACCGCCACGGCCTTCGTCTTGGCCGCCATTTCCCCCTGCCCCTTCGGATACCTCGTTGAACCTGCATTTATTTACCAAGTTTTGCGAAACTCGCCGCCAGAAACTCTGCATTCGCTGGCTTCGCTGCGGCGAGTGGCCACTTCGAAGCCCTGCCCGGACTTCAAGCGCGACCTGCTGCAGCTGCTGATGGTGAACGGCGTCACTGCCGACGACATGAGCCGCGCCACCAACCTCAGGAAGGACCTCGCCAAACTAATTGTTCCCGTCGAGCAAATTGTCGCGGAAAAGGAGGAAGAACTCCGCAAAATGGAGGAGATCTCGCTGAAAGACCTGCTGCGGAAGGACGGCGAGGACGCCGCGGTGGCCGAAACCCCCGAGGACCTCAGGGCAGGACTCGACGACCTCTTCGCCAATTCTGGAGTTCCAGGAAACGAAAATGCAGAAAATAATCTCCAGAAAGCCGCAGAAGTCCACTTCAGCGACCCTGACACCGCCGCCGCCAAAGCCTACTTCGACAGAGTGCGGCTGCTCGTGGATGGCAACGCGGCCAGCGACGGCTTCCTCGACTTGCCCAGCGCCGACTTCCAAACTTTGATGGAAAAAACGGCCGCCGAATTCGAAGAAGAAGACCGCAGCAACGCGCAGAGAGCGCCGTTCAAGGTCGACAGGTCTGCGGGCATCAAGGAGCAGACGGAGGAGGCGATCCAGCAGGCTCGGGGCGGCAGACTTCGCGTGGAGCCTTTTTTTCCCCCCCAAAAATGAAAATAAACCCAAAAAATAAACAACAAAGGTCATCTCCACTTCAGCCAGCCGCCACGCACCGCGAGCGGCTGCCAGCAGCTTACAGGACGCCTACGGCTGGGGATTTTTTAGCGCACCAAGACCAGACTCGTCTCCAGCTTTTCATTTAATCCAATAGAGACAAATTGTGGGAACAACCTCTTGCAAATGCCTTTGTTCGGTGAAGATCGGGAAACTCAGACGAACACCTGCAGCCGGCCTTTTTCGCGGTCGCCGCGCTGTCACCGGCAGCTGCGCTGCGAAGCAGCTGCTGTGTTTAGGGTTTCTTGCTTTCATTCACCATTTAACTTTTCCCCAATTGCGGCTTATTATTGTTTATACAGACAACTGCGCAGAGGCCGGCTTGCAAGCGCTCCTGTGGGTCCTCACTGGCAGCCGAAACCGCCAGAAGGGCGGTAGGCTGCATGCAAAAAGGTTCTTTGCCTCCTGCTTTGCGTTGTGGCTAGCTGCATGTGCAGCTAGCTGCGCTGTTTGCAGCTGAGGAGGCGCAGCTAGCTAACCATTGCCGTGTTCTGGCCAAGAGGTCGAAGTTGGCTGGACGTCGAGCCTGAACAAGGCTAACTGCTTGGCTTCCTTTTCTGACTTTGTACCGCGAGAACTCTCCAGCGGTTGTAAGTTAATGTGTCACATGCAAATGAAGTGGAAAAGTTGTAAATGCCCATCACACATCTGTTCAAAGCGCATGAACTGGGCAGATGTCCTGCAGCACATGCCTACTTCTGCTGCACTTCTGCTGCACTTCGATTGATTTAGAGATTCAACAAATATTCCTACCACTAGTAGCTTTTATAAAACAAAAAACGCAGTTTTTCCAAGGTTTTCAAGTGTTGCTTCGAGATTCGTGTGCAAGCGGCACAAGAGTTCCTCCAAATGAATAGAGAGGGAAACCAGATCGTACATCTTCTGATTCAGCGTTGGTTTATTTATTTATATATTTGTCCAGCCCATGAAGTACTTCGAGTTTGCTGCGCAAAGTAAAAATAAAAGTAATTGACCAAATTGAATTTTCCCGACTTAGTTATTTTATCTGCATTACCCTAAGGTCTACTGGAGATCAGCGGGACCTGGCGGTGTTCGAGGTGTGGCGAGGCGGGGCAGGCTCAGATGGGCTCATGCAGATGTCTAAAAGACAAAATTAATATTTTAATTTTAATTTTAAAACACTAATTCTCGTAGAAAAACGAAAAGAAAATAAAGACAAAACATTTGCGCCCAAGCGCACCCTGCGTGTTCGACGTAACGGGACCAGTTCTGAATCGGCGGGAGCTGATCACTCGAGCAAATGAACCATCCGCCGCAAAAATGTCATTTGTAGATATTTTTGTTTCTTCAGGCGATTAAATTGAGATTTTAAAGACATGCATGTTTCAAGCTATCTCTAGAACCCCATTTATTGGGTGGAAGTAAACCAAATGAGAGTCGATGGGGCCCAGTGCTCGTTGAACTTGGGATACGGAGCCGCCAGAGACTCACTTGCCTGCACTAAATGTGCAAATACAGCAATAAGAGAAATATATATTTCTCAAAATTACCAATACAGCAATAAGGGAAATATATATTTCTTAAAATAACCCTCACAATGTCCCAATAGGTTTCATCGACCACCTGCCTACTCTTGTGCCCCACCGTTGCGCGTTTCCTACAGGAACAGAAACTACTCTAGCTAACCCTAAAGAACATTCGCGAAAGCCGCTTTTTGTACTGCATCTACATTCCCATCATCTCGGCAAAATTTCCTATTTATAGACCACAAAAGACGAGCAAATGCTGAGCGGGTTACAGCAAATTGCGCCATAGTGCCGGCGAGCGCGAAGCGGAAAGTGCACCAAGTGTGGGTCAGTGCTACTTCATGGCGCTTTCAGCTGCACCAGCAGCTCATTTAGACTCGTCGCAATTCAGAAAGTGAAAGTTCTTAGTGGCAAATAAAAGAGAAGAGGAAGAGAAGCAACTCTGCAAGTCAATTAATAAGCTACAGCGGAACAGGTGAATGCTGCAGTTAAAGGATCCTTAAAGGATCGAGCCAGCAAAAAGACGAATAGAATTGAAGGTGTAGTGCAGAAAGCAGCGGCACTGCAGCACTTTATTGCGGGCATTGATGCCATTTGGCAGAGTGTCTGTCGCTTACAGTTGGAGCATTAGCACTTTGCACAACATCCCAAGATAGAAAACATCTCATTATGCTAATTATCTGAGACACTTTGCACAAAACTTTAAGATCGAGAACATCTCAATATGAATATGCGAATTATTTGGGAGAAATAGATCCAATAAGAGCTGCAAAACTCCTAGAAGAAGCACAAGGCTTTGCAGCTTCCCAGGCTCCAGGCCATGGGCAAGCCAGTGGTAGACACTGGCGAAGAGTGCCGGGCTGGAGAAACAGCTTTAAAAAAGAAACATTTAAAGGCCAAGTGCTTTTATTTGCCTCTGGGGTGAAGGATTGCAGCAGAGTGCCACAGTTCAGGCGCATGCACTCTCCGTGGCTCGCTCTGTGCAAATGTAATGGAGGCTCAGTGTTTGTCAGCAGCAGCTGCAGCCTTTTGCTGTTTGTGCGAATGCTGCATGTGGGTTTTATTGTTCTTTGCGCCGGGCCTTTGGCTGTCTTTCGTCTTTTTAGGGTTTAGGGCTTAGGGTTTAGGGTTTGCCATCTGCGCGCAGGATGATGGGTACACCATTTTCTTCCCTTTTTCAAACCCTCAAGCCTTTCTTTTTCCTTCTTTTCATATCTGCATGTTGCCGCCTTGTACTGGAGCTCTACTATTCCGTGAATTCTTCAACAGCCCCAGCGCTGTCACCCCGCTGGAGGCTTTTGCCTCGCTGGCCACATGCACTGGAAGGCCGAAATCGGCGAAGTCCAGCCAACTGCTCACAATTTCAAAGTTTATTATTATTAGAGGCTCAAAAAGTTATTATTAGGCCCTATTTAGATTCTTGGTTGGCGGATAGTTTTATTATTTCGCACTAAGTTGCACAATCCCCAGAGCCAGTTCACTGCCAGGCGCTTCCGTTAAGTTCAAGTGCCGACATTTGCGCGACCAAGTGCCGATCTGCATCTCCAGATGCATTTTCTAATTCTTATTTTTTCTGATTTTTGTCATTTATGCTTCGAAATGAAGTTCCGACTGGCTTTTCTTGCGGATCAGATGACTAAAAAGTGCTCTCTGCAGTCTTTCCCGCTTCATTTCAAAAGTACAACGACTCCGAACGGGCTCACTGCCCAAGGCAGTCTAAAAACAAATCTAAAATTGGATAATGTTTTGCAGATTCTGCCCCACGGCTCTCACTCTGCAGTTCCAGCTATGGCTCTCTTGGTCGAGAGTTCAACGCTTTGGTGTATTTTCGTAAGTTTGTGATCTCTTTCGATCTGTATTCTTGAAGCTAAATACATTAGATCTGTATTCTTGAAGATAAATACATTAGATCTGTATTCTTGGAGAGAAATGCATTAGAATAGAAGCAAGCTGCAGGTCTTGTGGCGAAATAGAAGCAAACAACCGTTTGCCTTTATTTCTTTCAGTTCAAGACACTGGAGCCGCTTAAAACAGCAACAAAAATGGCATTATTTCTTCCATATCTCACCAATGCATAGAACAGGATAAACAGAAACATGGTCAGTTTATTCTTCCTGAGAACTGCTGCCATTCATGCTTGATAGTTCTTCACAGCTCTAATATGAGCATTTCCCAGCACGCCAAAAGACCACTGGTCTGACCAGTGGTCTGGCGGTGCTCGTATTGACTGAAACGCCTTTAATTAAGAACAAAACGCTGCAGGAATTTCAACACGCTTTTCTTATTTGCAATTCCTGGAAATAACAGTAAAAGTATATTATTATTATGCATTTCCGCGAGAAAAAAGCACAAAAAGGTGGACTTCGAAGGCACAGAAAGCTGCGAATTCTTTTCCAAATAACCCCAAGTTGAACTATTTGCTGCCTTCTCTCTCCGTGTCGGAGCAGAGAGCCACTGCTGCAGCATAAGCTGCGTCGCTTCTTTCTTGTTCAAGTTGTGTCTGCTGCTGCTGCTCTATTTGCTTCGCCAGCAGCAGATCATAAGCCTCGGCCTTCCCCCGGGGCCCCACGCAATACCCCTCGCTGCGCAGCAGCTGCAGCGTCTGTCTTTCGTTCTCCCGCTGCAGCTGCTGCAGCTGCTGCAGCTCAATCTGCAGACACAAACCGACAAGTTCTGCTGCTGCAGCTGCAGCAAACAAATGCAGCAGCAACTTGTCAACAAGCCCATGGCCCAGAGCTCTGGACACCCGCAAGGCTGTGCAAGAAACAATACTTTCCGGACAAAAAGGGCAGCTGCATGCATAATGCAACACAGTGCATGCATGCATGCATGCATGCATGCATGCATGCATGCATGCATGCATGCATGCATGCATGCATGAGTACTCAGCATCTTCAGTCGAAAGGGAGCATGCAAAGAAGGCCAAGTGCAGAAAAGAAAGACTGAAGTGCAACACGACATTCGCGCGAAGAGGCAAATAAAAGGAAGAAGAGTCAAAGGGAAGAGTGGACTAAATGGATTAAATGGACTAAATGGACTAAATAAGTGGACTAAATGGACTAAATAAGTGGACTAAATGGACTAAATAAGTGGACTAAATGGACTAAATAAGTGGACTAAATGGACTAAATGGACTAAACTGAAAAGCCCCGAGGGCTCACGAGGATCTTCTCCTGCTCCTTCTTGGCCAGAAGGCCATCCAGCTTCTCTTGCCAGAGGCTCCTGGCCCTGCGGAAGTCCGTGTGCTCCACAGCCAACTCCCCTTTGCCTTTTTCTGGGCTCTCAAGGGGCTGGCCAGCGCCCCCAGCGCTTCCCCCAGCAGCCCCCGCCCCCGGCGTGCCCAGGCCCTTCATTTTGGGCTCTTTAGCTTGGAAAATAGTGCAAAGGTGGGGCGGGAAAAAGAACTTTTCGTGACTCAGGGTGGTCCACAGCCTCGAGATGTGCGGGAGGTCCAGTTCGAGGGGTCTGCAGGGGCTTTTTTGCAAAAAAAGAGTTTAATTGGGACTTATTTTGCAATAAAAACTCCAAAAAATGACCAAAATTCAACTTGGAGGCACTCAGCCTGCGAACGCACAAGCGCAGCCACCGGACTGGACCACTGGTCCTCGTTGCCAGCCCCGTAACGAACGCCGTGCAGAAAAAGTAGCGTTTTCGAGACTTAATAACTAATTAGCATTTATTAAATGTAAATTAAGGAATAAATGTAACTTATTTGCAGCCTTTTAAAGCCCAAACTGCGAAAACCAGACTCAATGGGCTTCCGCTGTGAAAAGAAGCTCGCACTGTCTTGTCCAGCCTTCTTTAATTTCGTTCACTGTTTGCCACAGAAGTCTGTCTAACTTGAACAATTTGTCATTTTGAGTCAAGTTAATCAAATTAAAAGGCGTTTTAGGAAAAAAATTGCTCTGAAGTGGGTTGAGCTGGGCTCCGAAACATTGCAAAGCAAAGCTCCCAGAGGCTCGAGCAATGACGCTTCTTTAAGCCGATGTTTCATATGTCTGTTATTTCTTTCTAAATAATACGAAGGAAACGACTTTACTTGGAAGCTACTTCCATTCTACAATTTAGAAAATGGGAAAATAACAATCCGCTGATGAGTTTAGATGCAGCTGTTTGTTTCGGTTTCCTCGAGTGTTAGTTTGCACAACTTCTGGTGTGTGACAAGCCAAATTAAGACATTTCATCATTCTCTGGCAATTTCAAGAACTTGCCAACTTTATTAACTTCTTTTATTGACCAAATTAGACTAAATAAATTCGATAAATTAGATGAAGTGAGGACTGCAGCAGCAGCAGCAGTTCAGTGCGACTGGCGCTGAGGTGTATGCGCACCTCTGTCGCGGCGCAGGCATTTCACGAAGCTGCGGAAACCTGAATTGGAAAAGACTTAGCGGCTTTGAAATGCTTAATAAACCACAAAAAGCTTTATTTAGAAGCATTAGAAAGCCAAAATGAGCGAAGTTGGCAGCACTTCAGTTTACTTTTCCCCCGACACGCCGGCGCCAGAGCCCTCCCTGGAGGACTTCGCCTTTCAGATCTTCCCGAAAGAGAACTCTGGAGATTTCTTTTTGCGTTTTTTCGAATTTAATTCGCCAAAAGCCTTTGAAGAAGTTCACGTGGACGCAGAAAGCCACACATTTGCAGCTCTCTGCAGCAGTTTGCAGCCCCCCGGGCTGCTGCTGAGCCTCCACAAGTCGGTCTTTGCTGCAGCATTTATGAACGGCTTTATTGTCTTTCTTTGGCGCCGCAACTGCAGGAGTCTGAGGAGTGTCTTTTTGCACATCTTTGGCTCCTCTTCGCTCCCAGTTTTCGTCGGCGGTGAGGATTTTTTTTCTTTTTTTCTTTTTTTTTCTTTTTTTCGATTTCTTTTTGTTTCTCCTTTTCCACTTTTCCTCTGCAGGATGTTCTGCAACAAACCTGCTCGAAACGCTCCTTTCTTTTGGCTTGGCAGCGCCTGAGACCCTCGCGAAGAAAAACTTGAATTGCATTTTTCCTTTTCTCATTTGCATGCAGGAAGCAGCAGCTGCTGCATGCAGCTTCTGGCCCCAAGAGGCAGCTTCTTTTGCAGAAAAAGCAGGTAAATGAACTTCAATTGAATTCAAAATAGTTTTGTTTTTTAATTTGCATGCAGAAGACGTGCATGCAACTCTTTCGCATGCAGCAGAGTGGAACTTGAAGTGGCTTGCTGCGCTGGAAGCAGCTGCTGCAGTGCGTTGCTGCTTCGAGTTTCCCCAACTTGCATTTTTTTATTTCAATTAAAGTCTTCAGAGTTCAACAAAAGACTTTATGAAGACCTCACTGGCGCCCAGCTTCCCCTTGCGCTGATCAACAGCAGCAGAATTCCCCTTTGCTGCAGCACAGGCAGCTCTGCTGCTGCACAGCCTGCTGCTGCTCCCCACAGTCTCAGTTCGGACAGCAGCAGACAGCCACTAGCAGCAGCAGCAGCAGCAGCAGCAGCAGCGCCCCACAACAAACGGGCGAGAACAGCAGCAGCAGCAGCAGAGGGTCTTGCTGTTCTGGCCTCTCCGGCAAAGAGAAATGGCTCTGTTCAGAAATATCAAATTGGCAGCAGCAGCAGCAGTAGCAGCAGCAGCAGCAGCAGTAGCAGCAGCAGCAGCAGCAGCAGCAAATTGAAGTACGAGAACTTCTTCAAGAAGGCAAAGGGCGTGCTGCGCTACAGCCTGTCCAGCTGTGAGTCCCAGCGCTTTGAAGTGGACTTCAAATTAATTTAATTGTTTTAAAAATGCAAACTTTTGGAAAAATGTTTTTAAAATTTGCATTTAAAAATGCCACTCAGGCAGCAGAAGAATTTGCTGCAGCGCTTCGCCTCTTCTGCCGCAAGTGTGGGCGCAGCTGAAAGGCCTGAGAGCTGCAGCAGGTACTTCAAGAAGCTGAAGTGCATGCAACTTTGTTTATTTTAATTCAATTAAAATATTTATTTATTTATTTATTTATTTATTTATTTAAATTAAACTTTGTTTTGTTTTGAGGAATTCAACTTCGCTTCTCCGCCTTCAGGCAAGCGCCTGCTGGTCGCAGCAGTTCAAGTTCCCGAAATCTGCATTGCAGCAGAACTCAGTGAAGACACGTGAGTTTCATGAAACCAGAAGAAACAATTAATATTTTTGTTTCTTTTTTGAAAATAAATATTTAATTCAACTTTTGGGAGTTATAAAACTGAAAGTTGTTGAGATTCGTGTCTGCTTTCCAGCCAGTTGCTGCTGTGTTTGCAAGAAATGCAAATGAAGAAAACGGCGCTGTGGAGCAAAGTGCGGCGTTCAACATCTCTTTGCATTTATTTCGAATTAATTTGAATTTAATTTTAATTTAACTTCAAATTAAATTCAAATTAAAGGCACTTTCAGGTTTTGCAAAAAGACCCCGAGGCCGAGTTGGCTGCGGACCTGCAGCAGCAGGCCCGCCTGCTGCTGCAGGCCTTTGTCCTTTCCCACTCTGCAAAGTCTATGTGGCAATTTGCTGCAAATGAAATTCAACTTTCTTTTCAAGACTTTGCAAATCAAAGAAGTGCTCTTTCCAAACTCTTTCCCCAAGTGGCAGTCTGGCAGGTCAGCGCAGCCAAACGAAAATTCGAAAATTCAAAATTCAAAAATTCAAAAATTCGAAATTCAAAAATTTAAAGATTCAAAAATTCAAAAATTCAAAAATTCAAAAGTTCAAAAGTTCGAAAATTCAAAAGTTCAAATTTTAAAGCCCAAAAGCTCAAAAATTCAAAAATTCGAAAATTCGAAAATTCAAAAATTCAAAAAGTTCAAAAGTTCAAAAACCAGAAGTTGAAGAGATGAAAAAACAACCAGAAATTCACAAACTGGAAATAAAGAAATAAATAAAATGCAAACATTTAAAAACACTTTTTTTTAAAAAAATAAAATGAAAAAAATTCGGAAAAATACTCAAGTGCTGCACTGCAGGAAGAAGTTCTCTTGAACTCCTTGGTGGAGCGCAAAGCGAAAGCAAGACAGGTAACTTGTGAATTTGAATACAATTTAAAAGTTAAATTTAATTTTAATTTAAATTAATATATTTAAAAAGAATTCAACTTTATTTTCGGCTTCTTCCATTCAGAATAAACAACAAGAGGCTGCAGACAGTGACTGCTTTGAAGGGGCCGTTTACGCAGCCATGTGAGACTAAGAATTGAATTTTTTCAACTCTTTGGAATTAAAAATGATTTAAAATTAAATAATTTAAAAATAAATAATTAAAATTGTTTAAATTGGGTTTTAATTTGCGAAATAAGTCAACTAGATGGCGCCTGGCTGGTGGCAAGAAAGTGAATAATTGGGAAAGCTCAGCTTCTGAAGCTGCATGCACTTCAACTTGATTTTAATTCTTTAATGCATTTAACTTTCATAAATTCTTTTTATAAATTTTATTCTTCAGAAGCAAAACCAAAAGTGACCTCACTCTCCGGATTCTGTCGGAGACACGGAAGCTGCTGCAGCAGCAGCAGCAGCAGCAGCAGCAGCAGATATCGCTGGTTGCTTTGTGAGGATCTGCTTCTGTTTTTACGTCTTTTCTCTTTTAAATACTTTTAATTCTCTTTTAAATACTTTTAAAAGTCCATTTTTGCAATTAAGTTTTCAAAATTAATTAATTTTTTTGTTTTGATTGCTTTTTGCTGCAGCTGGGAAAACGTTTTTGTTGCAGAAGAAAGCTCTGAGCTGCAGCAGGAGAAAGCGCAGCAGCTGGCGGGGTGTATCAGTCGCGCGTGGTGAAGAAAAAAGAATTAAATGAATCAAATTAAATGAATTAAATTAAATTATTTGAATTAATTAAATTAAATTATTTGAATTAATTAAATTAAATTATTTAAATTAAATTAAATCATTTAAATTAATCAAAATGTCCTTTTTATTTTCGGTTTTAGGCACCAAACATTCCCCAACAGCAGCGGCGTCTTCACTCTGCATCAGTTCATCACTGATGATCTTTCGCGCCTTTCTTTGAGCCATTTGACTTGAAAATAAATTCTTTTTTAATTTATTTTTAAATTAAAAGACTCAAAGTTTTATTTCCGAGTAAAGTGGCTCAAAGAGAAAAGCAAAAAGTGACAGACTTGCGGCCCCGAGCTGTCTCTACACCTCCCAGTCTTTTCCCCCGCTGCTTCCCTGGTTGCTTTTCATTCTGTCTCCAAATAATAAATGAAGAGGCAAACAAAAGCAGCTTTTTTGGTTTGGCATTTTGATTTATTTTTCCAATTAGAGACAGCCAGAAGGGCTGAAACTGCCAAAGAGACCAGCACAGTAATAGCGCTGCACAACGTGGTCCACTGGTCACGTGCAGGAGAAAACGAAACAGACTGCAATTGCAGTCATTTCAGCTGCAACAAAAGACGAAAACAACTTATAAAAGTAAACAATTAAGTAATTTTGAAAATTAAATAAAGTTAAGTGTGTTTAATTAGACAAATTAAGTCTTAATTGCTTCATTCATGTTGGGATTTCGCAGACATTCCGTTGAGAACCAGACGGACCACTGGTCCACTGGCCAGCCGTCGCCTGCGCGGGAAGAAATGCGAAAAATTTTTTCCACAATTCAACAAAAAGTTCAGAAAAGATATTTGAAATAAAATGAAATTCAAAAAATGCAAAAAGTGAACATAAATGTCTCTGTGGCGTTTTGTCGGTTGCGGATTTCGTCTGCGGCTTTGCAGAAACTCCCCAGGGGCTCCTGGTGTACGAACACTTCCCGGGACAAAAAACACGCATTCGTATTCCTAAAAAGTCACTAATTTTATTTTATTTTAATTAAAAATCAAAAATAAGAACATTTTCGGCTTTTTTGTGCAGCAATTCAAATGGCCTTAGTCTGGGGCCCCCGTGGAGCTTTGGGGCCCCCGGAAGGCCCCGTCTGTCCTCTGGGCAGCCGCTGCTGCTCGATTTCTTGCAAATAATTCAAATATTATTCTTTTTTGAATAAATTTAAATATTAAAGTAATAATTTGATGTTTTTATGCGTTTTAAATTAATGTTCAGAAGCTTGCACTCCCTGTTTCGCACCCCCGTCGAATGCGCCGTTATGTCTTGTGTTCAATTTTAGTTTTCGCCCACACAACTCTCTCGATCTTTTCCTTTTTGCTTTCACACAAAACAAATAAACCTTTCCTCACTCCACGCTGCTATGGGGGCCCCGGGCTGCCCCTGGGGCCCCCCTGGGGGCCCCGCGGGGGGCCCCGCGGGGGGCCCCGCAGGGGGCCTCGCTGGGGGCCCCTCGGGGGGCCCCCAGGGGGGCCCCCCGCAGCTGCTGCTGCCGCTGGTGGGGCCCCCCCTGACTGCCCAGATATGTACGACGTGGCCGACGACTTAGACCGGCAAAGAGAGGCCAATTATAATGCAATGCTGGCCTTAATAGAAAAAGAAGAAGATGCGCGGCAGGCGCGGAAGGCCCAGGGTCCTGCTGCTGCTGCTGCTGCTGCTGCTGCTGCAGCCTTCCGCAGCAGCAGCGCAGCAGCAGCAGCACTCGGGATTTCCCCAGCCCGCTGGGGGCCCCCGGACCCTCAGCTGGACTGCGAGGGGCCCCTGGGGCCCCCCAGTGCTGCAGTTGACTCCGCAGCTCAAATTCTTTCTCTTTTTGAAAACAAAAACAAACCACAAGTTCCCACTTCCATTTCCAAACTGTGGGGCCCCACAGAGGCCCACGAACTGGACCATTTCGAGGCATTTGAGGGGCCCCTGGGGGCCCCCGAGGCCCCCCAGCACTTCACCACCAAACGAGAAGAAACACCTTGGGGCCCCCAGAGGGGCCCCCCTGGGGGCCCCCTCGTGGGCCCCCCTGGGGGCTCCCCCGGGGGCCCCCCTGGGAGCCTCCCTGGGGGCCCCCCTGGGAGCCTTCCTTGGGGCCCTTTTGGGGGCCCCCCTGGGGGCTCCCTTGGGGGCCCCCCAGGGGGCCCCCCTGGGGGCTCCCAAGGGGGCTCCCTTGGGGGCCCCCCAGGGGGCCCCCCTGGGGGCCCCCTTGGGGGCCCCCCAGGGGGCCCCCCAGGGGGCCCCCCAGGGGGCCCCCTTTGGGGCCCCTCTGGGGGCCCCTCGCTCTCAAGCGCCATTAGGGCACTGGAGGGCCTCGCGGGCTGCAGGCAGCTGCGCGGGGAGCAGCTGAGAGAAGACCCTCGCTTTGCAAGTTTGCTGTCCGTCTTGGAAGCAAACTTGAGGAGAGAAGTGTTTCTTTTGGCCTGCAGCAGCAGCAGCAGCAGCAGCAGCAGCAGCAGCAGCAGCAGCAGCGAGGACGCCCGCAGCAGCAACAAGGGCGACATCCGCGGCAGCAGCTGTGATGGTCCCAGCAGAGCCACTCAAGGTCACAGCAGCAGCTCTGAAAGAAACGCCAGCAGCAGCAGCAGCAGCCCCAGCAGCAGCAGCAGCAACAGTAAACCCAGCAGCAGCAGCAGCAGCAGCAGCAGCAGCAGCGTAAGTGTGGAGGAGCTGCGCAGCATAGCTCTTGCTGTGGCTCGCCTGCAGCTAAATGTGGGCACTGACAATTTGCTGCGGTCTTTGGTGCTGCTGGGAATGGCCAGAGCAGCAGAGTTTGGCCTTTTTGCTGCAGCAGACTTTTTGCTGTCGCTGGCAGCAGCAGCAACAGCCAGCTACAAACCCATACAGAAAGCTATTCTCAAGGCCTTCAGGAAGCCCTGGGCCGCCGCTTTCCGTGCTGCTGTTGCTGCTGCTGCTGCGGGGAGCAGCAGCAGCAGCAGCAGCAGCAGCAGCAGCAGCAGCAGCAGCAGCAGCAGCAGCAGCAGCGGCCAGCGCGCCCCAGCGGGCGCTGACTTGTGCCGCGTGCTGCTGCTGCTGCTGCCGCTATTTGCTGCTCATGATGCACTGGGAGAAGAAATGCCAGTTTGTTTAGAAGTGCTTGTCAGCAGCGGCTTGTGGGCAGCAGTAGCAAAGGAAGCAGCAGCAGCAGCAGCAGCAGCAAAGGAAGCAGCAGCAGCAGCAGCAGCAGCAGCACTCGGGCCCGGAGAGCTGGTGGCAGCAGCAGCAACAGCTGCTGCTGCCCCGCAGCTGCAGCACAACAAGGAGTTCTGGGCGGACATCCGAGCAGCAGCAAAACGCCACGCGGAAACCCTAAACCCTAGAGAGGCCATAACACTGTGTTCGATTCTCGCCCAGGTCATTACTCCAAACCCTAAACCCTAAACCCTAAACCCTAAACCCTAAACCCTAAACCCTAACCCCGAAACCCTAATCTAAATCACTGGGTCTTCACAGAGCGCAGGAAGCTGCATGCAAAGGAAAGAGGCAGCCGTAGCTGCGGAGTGCTCGAGGGTTTAGGGTTTAGGGTTTAGGGTTTAGGGTTTAGGGTTTGCAGGTGGGCGAGGACTACGCGGAAGTGCTGCTGCGCTCGTGGCAGCTGCTGCAGACGCAGCTGCCGCTGCTGCCTTCTTCAAGTGTCTTTACAGCAGCAAGTCTTGCTGCTGCTGCTGCTGCTAAGCAGCCGAAGCTGCTGCAGCTCCTCTCGCTGCTGAGGCAGCAGCTGCAGCTCCGAGCAGCTAATTCCGAAACCCTCACCGCAAACCCTAAACCCTAAACCCTAAACCCTCGATGGAGTGCAGCAGAGGCCTGGGGCTAGGGTTTGAAGCAGCCGTGGGCTGTCTATACACCTCAGCTGAAGAGATGAACTTGAAGGAAAAGGAAAAGCTTTAAAAAAGAAAAAAGAAGAAGCAGGCAAAGACAGACACATTGCGACAGCAGCAGCAGCAGCAGCAGCTGCTGCTGCTGCTGCAGCAGCAGCAACAGCCGCTGCCGCAGCACAACTTCCTAGGGGCCCACTGCTGCCTGCCCGTGCGTTGCTGCTGCTTCTCCGCAGCTCCACCCCAGCAGCAGCTGCAGGGCCAAGCCTGCCGCAGCAGCGCAGCAGCGCAGCAGCAGCAGCAGCAGCAGCAGCAGCAGCAGCAGCAGCAGCAGCAGAGCCTCAGGTCTGTGGGGCCTTCCACTTGGCAGTCCCTCCGCACTGAGGGCATGCAACGCGGGCGCTGTTGAGAGCTGCTGCTGTTTTGTTGGCAGGGCTTTGAGGTGTATATACACCCCGCTGCCTGCGAGTGCCCATGAGGGGGTGGCCAGCGAAGGCTCGGTGCAGCACAGCAGTTTGCTGCTGCAGCAGCGCAGCAGGAGCAGCAAGAGGCAGCAGCGCGAAGTGCCGCGCGAGAGCAGCAGGAAGAGCCGCTTCCGGGGGGTCTTGCTGCGGCTCCTGCTGCTGCTGCTGCTGCTGCTGCTCCAGAGCTGCTGCAGCACGGCTGCGGCGGGGGAACAAGTTCGCAGTGTGCTGCTGCGGCGGCAAGGGCGGCTTCTCCTGCTGCGGCAGAGGCTTGAGGGCAGCAGCAGCTCGCCTTGCTGCTGCTGCAGCAGTTGCTGCTGCGTCGGGGGCCCCGCGCCCGCGCTGCTCGGGCTGCTGCTGCTGCTGCTGCTCCAAGGAGGCCAGCAGCAGCTCCGGCTGCTGCTGCAGCAGCAAAGAAAACGCCTGCGGTGTCTGCATGCGGTAGCGACAGGCCCCACAGTACAAGTCGAGGAGCTTTTGGGTGCGCCCGGTGTACATACGCCAGGGAGCCATGGTGAATGGCCCGGAGCTACAGCGCAGCCATTGCAGCCCCGCGCTGCTGGGGGCCCTTGCGCGGGCCCTTTGAGGGCAATTCGCTTTCTTGTTAATTCAATTTAATTAAATATTTATAATTAAACTCTTTGTTCCGCCAAAGGGCGAATGTGCGCGGAAAACGGCCGCTGTTCAGGTTGCGCATGCGGGGGCCCCCGAGAAGACGCGTGGGCCCCGCCGCCTGCCCGGGAGCGGAAACACTTGGAAATTCCCTCAAAATGGATTAATTATTTATTTATTATTCATTAATTGTGTGCAATTAGAAGGAAATGGACATGCAAATGCAGATACAGATGCACATAGCGCTAGCGGCAGTGGAATGGCGGTGCCTCGCTGCTGCTGGAGCAGGAAGCAGCAACAATGCCTCGCGAGTAGTGACACTCCAGCGTGAATTTGAATTTTAAAATGTCAAATGACACTTCTGCATGAATTTAAATTTTTAAAAAGTAAATTAATTTTTAAAAGTTACTTCCTCCACTCACTTCTGCTGTCTGGACACCACCACCCCTCATGCGCAGAGGGTGAACAGCTCGTGGGGTACAAAGTATTCTGAATTCATGCAAAGCCTATTCAAATCTATTTTACTTTTTAAATAGTAAACTTTTCAAAAGTATTTCGAAAGATAAGTCAATTAGCAGCACTAAAGTGCAGACCGAAAAACTGAAAAACAAGAAATCACTTGGCAACTGAAAAGCTCTAAGCCTCTGCATCTTCGAGAGACTCTACAGACACCTCAGAAAGACACGAGGTGTCGCCTTCGGTGGCGCTGCCGTAGTTGCTGCCTGCCGTTGCAGCAGCAGCAGCAGCAGCAGCAGCAGCAACTGTTGCTGCTGCTGCAGTTCCCGCAGCACTGACACTGCTGTGTGGGCGCTCGAAGCGTCCAGAGCCCTTGTTCACTACACCCAGCTCTCCCAACTGCGGCGGCAGCTGCTGCAGCTCCAGCTGCTGCAGCTGCTGCTGCTGCCGTTGTTGTTCCCGTTGCTGCTGCTGCTGCTGCTGCTGCTGCTGCGTACTAAGGACCAAAGACAGGTCTGGTGCTGCGCTGCTTCTGGGGGACAAAGAAGCTGAAGGAGTGAGGGATAAAGAGCAGCGAGAGACGCGGGGCGATAGGCCCCTGCTGCGCCTCGTGGCTCGCTGCTGCAGCAGCGACACTGGCTGCTGCTGCTGCTGCTTTTGCTGGAGCTGCGGCTGCAGCAGCAGCTGCTGCCGCAGCAGCGCCTTCAACGCAGCCACAGCCTCCACCACCTCCTCTCTGGGCGGGAACGCTGCTGCTGCTGCTGCTGCTGCTGCTGCATCTGCTGCTTCCGCTTGGGAAGAGATGGGCAGCAGCTGGCTCATGGTGAGGGGCCCGTCCTTAGCAGCAGCTCGTTGGGCTGTCTGTACAGCTGCCTTGGGGGACGGTGGCTGGGGGTTAAAAAGAGCTGCTGCAGCATCTGAGTCCATAAACAAAATAAATAAATAAACAAATAAAATTAAAAAGACATTAAATAAATCTGTCAACTTCTGTAACTTTTAAATCTCTCTTGCTTCTTGCTTGGTTGCCTGTGTCCTTTATTTCATTTCTGCATTTGCCTGTAAGTTTACTTCCACACATTGTAGATGCAGCAGCAGCAAGCAGCAGCTCAGCTGCAGCAGCAGCTGTTGCTGCAGCGATATGACTGGAGAAGCAGCTGAAAGCACTAGCAGCAGCAGCAGCAGCAGCAGCAGCAGCAGCAGCAGCAGCAGCAAGCGCCTACGAGGCAGCAGGTCGAGCACTTTAAATGTGATTTTGTCTCCGCATGCATCTTGAATTAAACCGACGAGAGAAAGCAGCTGCTGCATTATGAAGGCATAGCTGTGCTGCAGCAGCAAAAAGGAAGAAGTGGAAACGCGACGGCGGGGCCCCCCAAGCAGCATCGAAAAGCCCAAAGAAATGGAAACACTTTCTGCTGCAGCACCTGCAACCACAGCAGCAAGAGCCGCAGCCGCAGCAGGCAGCAGCACCCGTAGCAGCAGCAAGCTAGCAGCAGCAAGCAGACGCACCCGTAGCAGCAGCAAGCAGAAGCAGCACGGGCAGCAGCAGCAGCAGCAGCAGCAGCGAACAAACAGCACGTGCTGGCAGCAGTCGGAATGGCAGTTGATGAAGACAAAGTGACTGGAGAGGGAGACAAAGATGAAAATAAAAAGGGAAAAAGAATAAACAAAAAAGATAAAACAGACGAAAATAAAAAATAAAAAGAATAAAATAAACAAAGAAGAGAAACAAATTCAAAAAGACAAACACCCGAGGCACAGAGAAGAAGGACGAAAGCTAGGAGGAGCAGCGCAGGCAGCCAGGAGGCCAATTCTTGCAAAGAGAACAAAGAAAGTGCAGAATTTTGGGAAAAATGGACAATTAAATATCCTTTTAATACAAATAAACTCATTAAATGCGAAAACTTGAAATAAATTACCCTTTTGGGCCGCCTCAGGCTGAGAAAGAGGCAGAAAAGAAGGCTTGGAAAGCGAAGGCAGCAGCCGCCGCAGCGGGGCCAAAGTGCTCAGGTGTATGCGCAGCTGCTGCACTTCCTTTTCTAAAGAAAGACTTCTTTGGCGTTCGCGCTGCAGCTGTCCATACACCCCAAACACAGGCAGCAGGAAGTCCCTTTGCACCCCAGCTGTACGTACACCCCAAGTGCACCAGCTGTACACGCAGACAGCCGAAAACAAAAACAAAAACAAAAAGAAGTCTAAATGCTGCCTCAGACAAATTGTTGGAGGGGCTGGCGAGGCGGCGCGGAACAGAAGCAGCAAATAGAAGAAATGCAAATTGAAAAAGAGAAACAGGCAAAGCAAAGGAGCAGAAAAACGAAGAAGAAAAATATAAATCAAATCCTTTAAATCCTTTAAGTCTCTAACCTGAGAATGGAGAATGTCAACATAACGCAGCTTCTGTTTGGAGTTGCGGTGAGCCTCCCCGGGTTGCTGCAGCTGCAGCAGCAGCTGCTGCTGCTGCTCCCAGTCCATGATTGCTGCTCTTTTGGCCATTGCTGCTGCTTCCGCCCTCAGCTGCCTGGACAGCACACGGTAGCAGTCAATGTCCTTTTGCAGCTCCTGCTGCTGCTGCTGCTGCAGCTGCTGCGCTGCTGTCAGTTCCTGCACCTTCTGCTGCAGAGCTGCAGCATCACGAGCCTCTCGCACTGCTGCAGCTGCTGATGCCTGCGCATAAGCACACCAATTCACAAACCCTAAACCCTAAACCCTCATCCGTTACAGCATATGCAGCAAAGGGCAAGAGTCCCTTCATGCCATTCTGCTTCCGGTTCTTTACATGCGTATGCCCGTGTGCATCTGTGCTGCTGCTGCTGCTGCTGCTGCTGCTGCACCTCTGCCGTTTCCTTCTGCAGCAGCAGCAGTTGCTTCTCGCTGTTGAGTTTTCGCATGCGCTCTGCCTGCATTTGCAGCTCCTGCTGCAGCTGCAGCGCTTCTGTTCTGTGTTGTGCTGCTTTTTCTGCTAGCTGCTGCAGCTGCTGCTGCAGTGCTCTGCCCTCTAAGGTTCCCTCAAGCACCGCTGCGTGCTGCTCCTTCTGCTGCTGCAGCTGCTGCTCCAGCTGCTGTATGCGCTCCTCTGCTGCTTGCAGCTGCTGCTGCAACTGCTGCTGCTGCTCTACCGACAAGAGTTGCTGCTGCGTCTCGTTCTCAGCTGCAGCTTGCTGAAGCAAGCGCCGACGCATATCTTGAGACTGCTGCTGCTCTTGCTGCAGTTGCTGCTGCAGCAATTCCTGTTGTTCCTGCGCCTGCTGCAGCTGCACAGTAAGCTCCCCCACAGCAAGTAATTGCTGCTCTGTTTCTTGTGCCTGCTGCTTTAGCTGCTGCAGCGTATCAGAGAGCTCAATGCCACGTTGCTGCAGCTGCTGCTGCAGCGAACGGATCTTCCCATTTGCTGCCAGTTGCTGCAGCTGCAACTCCTGTGTTTCCTGCCTCAACTGCTGCAACTCTAGAGCAGCAGCATCGCCCTTGCTGCTCTGCAGCAGCTTCTGTTGCTGCTGCTGCAACTGCTGCAGCAGCAGAGATACTCTCTGCTTCTCAGAATCTAACTGCTGCTGCAAACGCTCGTGCTCTCTCCGCAGTGCTGCATTCTCTTGTAGGGCGCGGCTGTGCTGCTGCTGCATATCTTTGTGTTGCTGCTGCAGCTGCAGCAGCTCCTGCTGGTGCTGCCGCTCCTGCTCTTGCTGCTTTCGACGCAACTGCTGCAGCTGCTCCTGTGTTTGCTGCAGCTGCTCGCGAACTGCTGTTGAGTCTTGTGCACTGTCAGCGAGTAAGTTCTCTGCTGCACGCAGCTGCTTCTGCAGCGACCCATGCTGCTGCTGCAGTTGCCTTTGTTGTTGTTGCTGCTGCTGCTGGTACTGCTGCAGCTGCCTCTCCTGGAGCTGCAGCAGCTGCTTTTGCTGCTTCAGCTCTTGCTGAGCTTCGCGGAGGTCCTGAACAGTCGTTTCGTGCTGCTGCTGCAAATGCTGCAGCGATGCTGCTGTTTGCTGCTGCTGCCGCAACTTGGCCTGCAAGGCACTCATCTCCTGCTGCTGCGCTGCAGCTCGGCGCTGCAGCTGCTCCGTCTCGGCTAGCTGCTGAGCTAGCTGTGACTCCAAGTCAGCTGCTGCATGCTGCAGCAGAGTGCGTTCCTGTGTCACCTCCTGCAGCTGCTGCATGCGGTCCGTTGCTTCCTGTTTCAGCTGCTGCAACATGTCAGTTAATTGCTGCTGCTCTTTCTTCGCTTGCTGCAGCGCAGCATCTTTCTCCTTCTCGCTTGAGCTCGCTGCACCCTGCAGCGCAGCCAGCTCTTGCTGCTGCTGTCGCCGCGCACCCTTCTCGTGCTGCAGCTGCTGCTGCAGTTCCTGCACCTGAGACAGCAAGCGTTGCTGCTCCTGCTGCCAACCGCGCACCCGCTCGTGCTGCTGCTCCCGAGCTTCTTCTGCCTTCTGCAAACTACGTTGCAGCGCAGCAATATGCTGCTGCTGCTGCTGCGCCTTCCGGCGGTCCTCCAGTTGACTTTGCCTGATCTGCTGCACGGTTGCTCTCGCAGCAGCTAGTTGCTGCTGCAGCTGCAGCACTTGCTGCTGCTGCTGCTCTGCTAGGGCTTCTTGCTCGCGCTGTTGCTGCTGCTGCATGCTGCGAAATAGCTGTTCCTCATCGGCAGCTCTTTCGAGGCTCCTCTCGAGCTGTTGCTGCTTCTGCTGCGCCTCCCTACTCTTCTGCTGCTCCTCCTGTAGCTGCGCCTCTGCCTCTCGCAGCTGCTGCAGCAGCTGCTTTGCTTCCTCAGCGCGCTGCATTTGTTGCTGCTGCACCTCCTTTTGATTCTTCTCCGCTCGTTGCAGCAGTATCTCCAGTTCCTTGCAGCGTTGCTGCTGCTGCAGCAGCTCATCGTACGCTCCATCGAGGGCAGTTTGCAGCCGCTGCTGCTCTTCCGTAAGACGCAGAACGTGCTGCTGCTCTGTCTCGGTCGCTTGCTGCTGCAGTTGGATCATTCTTTCATGTTGCTGCTGGAGCTGCTGCAGCTTTTTCTGCGCTTCTGCGGCATCTGCACGCGCTTGCTGCAGCTCAGCAGCCGCTTCCTGCAGCTGGCTTGTCAGTGTAGCACAGCGAGTGGACCACTGGTCACGCGAGTGCTCCAGGTCCTTTTCAGACACATCGACCGTCTCCAGCTGCTGCTGCAGCTGCTGCAGCAGCTGCTGCTGCTGTAACTCCCGATGCTGGGTCGCATGTAGGGCTTCCAGTGCAGTAGAAAGTTCCTCCTGCGTCCTCGCATGCTGCTGTTGAAGCAGCTCCAGCTTTTGCAGCTCCTGCTGCTGCTGCTGCTGCTGCAGCTGTTGCTGGTGCAGCAGCTGCTGCTGATGCTGCTCCTTTGCTGCTATCTGCTGTTGCTCTGCTGCCAGTTTCTCGCTAAGCTGCTTCGCCCGGCCTTGTGCTGCTACGACTTCCTGGTGCCTTTGCAGCAGTTCTGCCTGTAGCTGCTCAATTTGCTCTTCTTGCTGCTGCTGTTTCTGCTGTTGCTGCTGCTCCCTTTCCAATGCTTGCTGCAGCAGTTGCTGCACCTCAGCCAATTCTGCTGCTACAGCACCCTCCTTCTGCTGCGCCTGCCGCAGAAGCTGCTGCTGCTGCTCTAGTTTCTGCTCCAGTCGAGCTGTTGCTCTTTGCTGATGCTGCAGCTCTTGGCCTGCGCCCAGTTGCGTTTGCCGCAGCAGCCGCTGCTGCTCCTGCTGCTGCTGCTGGAGCTGCTGCAACGCTTCTCTGCGGCGTTGGTCCTCTTCCGTTTTCCGCTGCAGCTGCTGCTGCAGCTCCAGACACCGCTGCTGCAGCTCTAGTGCGGCTTCCCGCTGCTGCTGCAGCAAGCTTCCCTGCTGCTCCAGCTGCTGCTTCAGCGCGCTGCTGCTCTCACTGCTAAACCGCTCAGCAGAAGACAGTTCCTCCTCTAGCAGCTCACAGCGTGCTTTTGCCGCTGCGGCCTCTTCTCGCGTTTGCTGCAGCTCTTGTTGCTGCTGCTGCAGCTCCTGCTGCTGTTGTTGCAACTCCTGTTGGAGGGCGGTGCACCGGGAGCGCAGCCCTTCATACTCTGTTTCTGCCAACTCCTTCGCATCTTGGTGCTGCCGTACGAGGAGTTCGGCTTGCTGCAGCTGCTGCTGCTGCTGCTCTAGATCTAGCTCCTGCCGCAGCACGCGACCCTGCAGAAGGTCCTTCTGCTGCTCTGCTGCAGCGAGGGACAGCTGCTGCTGGTCATGCTGAGCCTCGATCTCCCGTAGGCGCAGGCGAAGCGCTTCCGTTTCTTCCCTAAGCTGCTGGAGAAGCTGTTGCTGCAGCAGCTGCTGCTCCTTACGCTGCGCATGGCGGGACTGGTGAAGCACTTGCTGCTGTACTGCAGCATCTTGCTGCTGCTGCAGCTGCTGCCTCAGTTCGTTGCTCTCCTGCCATGCCCGCTGCAGTTGCTGCTCCGCAGCCTGGAGTTGCATGCGGTACTCGTTGCAGCGTTGCTGCAGCAAAACCGGGCTGGGCTGCTGCTGCTGCTGCTGCTGTTCCTGCTGCTGGCGCTCCAAGAGCCGCAACACGGACCCTCTCTGCAGCTCACTGGCATGCAGCTGCTGCTGTAGCTGCCGCAGCGACTCCCGCAGCACTGACACTTCCTGCTGCAATGCTGCCCTCTGATTTGCTGCCAGGGGCTCCTCTCTTTCTGAGTCGCTAATTTGTTGCTGCAGCTGCGAGCAGGTCTGCTGTAGCTGCTGCAGCTGCTGCTGCTGCTCCTTCTGCTGTGCAAAAGCAGCATTGCATGTTGCAACCAGTCGCTCCTCGTTTGCTGCCAGCAGCTCTTGTCGTTGCTCAGACGCCCGGAGTTGCTGCCGAAGTTCCAAGAGCTCTTGCTGCTGCTGCAGCAAGGTCTCCATCTGCTTGCTTTTTGCTTCATTTGACTGCTGGAGGAGCTCTTGCAATCTTGCCAGCTGTTGCTGCTGTTGCTGCTGCCGCCGTTGCTGGGAAAACGCTAGCCCATCAGAAGTGAGCTGCTGCTGTTGCTGCTGCAGCTGCTGCAGCAAAGCGGCTTCCCTCTGCTGCAGTGCGGCAACAGAGTCATTAGCTCGTTCCAGAGAGTGCTGTGCAGACTGCAACGCCAAATGCAGTGATGTAAGTTGCTGCTGCTGCTCCTGTTGTTGCTGTTGCGCATCTTGTTCCAGTTGCTGCTGTTTCATTTGCGCTTCTGCAGCAGCAGCGGTTTGCTGCTCCAACGCCGCGTCTCGGGACGCTTCTGCCGCAGTCACCCGCTGCTGCAGGAGCTGCTGCTCCAGCTGCGCCGCCTGCAGCTCCCGCTGCAGCTGTTGCATGCGCCGCGCAGCTTCCTCCGCCTCGTCCTTGTATTGCGCAAGCGCCTGCTGTTGCTGCTGAGCAGCAGCAGCCTCTTGCTGCCGCAGCGTAGCTTCCTGTTGCAGCACCTGACAGCGTCCTTCGAGCAGCCGCACCTGCTGCTGCAGCGTCAACTTATCGGCCTCGCTGTTGCTCTCTATGTTACGCAGCAGCAATTCCAGCTGCTGTCGCTGCTGCTGCTCCTGCTGCAGCAAAAGCTCAGTCTGGCGCTCCCGAATCGCGGCTGCAGCAAGAGCTTCTTGCTGCTCCAGCGCTGTGGTTTGCTGCTGCTGCTGCCGGCGTCGCAGCGCTAGCAACTGCTCCCGCAGCCCTGCTGCTTCTGCAGCTTCTGCTGCTTTTGCCTGCTGCTCGCGTCCCAGTTGCCTACGCAGATTTGCTGCTTCCGTCTGCAGCTGCTGCAACAGCAGCACCTGCTGCTGCTGTTGCTCCCCGAAAGCGCTGGTGTTTAGGATCTGCTGCTGCTGCTGCTGCCGTATGAATGCAACCTCCTCTTCAGCATGCTGAAGCTGCTGCTGCAACAGCAGGATCTGCTGCTGCTGCTCTCTACAGCGCCGCTGCAAAAACGTGTCAATAGCGGACACCGGTGCTGCTGCGATGCTGTCGTTCAGGTTCCTCTGCTGCTGTTGCTGCACCTGCAGGCGCGACTCCTGCATTTGCTGCTGCTGCATGCGCGACTCCTCGAGTAACAAGTTCTGTTGCTGCAGCATTTGCTGCTGCTGCTCCATCCGCCGCAGCAGTTCCCTGACCGTGCCAGAGAGAACAGCAAGGTCGCTCTCGACCGCCCCCTGTTGACTGATGGAAATTGCCGGTTGCTGCTGCTGCTGCTGCTGCTGGAGTTGGTGCTGCTGTTGCTGTAACAAGAGATCCCGCGTGTATGCTTCAAGCTCAGTGGTGATCTGTTGTAGCCGTTGCATGTCTTGCTGCTGCTGCTCGAGCTGCTGCTGCAACCGTTGCGCCTTTTGTTGCTCTCTCTGCGCAAGTGTCTGCTGCTGCTGCAGCTGAAATAGAGCTTCGTTTAGCTTCGCTGCATCTTCACGCTGTTGCTGCAGCAACTGTTGCTGCTGCTGCAGCGTTTCAGCGTTGCTCTGCTGCGCCGCATGCAACAGAGATCGCAGCCCATCCACTTCCGCCTGCAAAGAAGCAGCAACAGGTGCTCCTGCCTCTGGCGACTGCCGCTGCTGCTGCTGCTGAAGGAGCCTCTGCTGCTGCTCCTGGAATTGCCTCTGTTGCTGCTGCTGGAACGCCGCCAAAGCACCATATTTTGATTCGACTGCTGCAAGGCGTGCTGACACTCGAGCCGTCTCTTGCTGCTGCTGCAGCAGCAACTGATGAGCATTTTCAGCTTCAGCAGCAAGAGAAGCAGCACGCGAGGTCTCAGCTGTCAGGCGATCCTCGAGAAGTGCGATCTCTTCCTTTGCTGCTGCTGCTTGCTGCTGCTGCAGCATCAGTTGTTGCTGCGCCACAGCCTCTGCGTCTAGTTGCAGGCGACTTTGAGTAAGCTCTTCGGCGAGCTGCTGCCTCTCTGTATTCTGCTGCAGCAGCAGCGCTTGGTGCTGTTGTCGCTGCTGCTGCAGTTGTTGCTGCAGCTCAGACATCTGTTGCCGTTTCGCCGCTAGCTGCTGCTCGGCTGTCTCCGCTCGGCCACTCCAATAGGCGACTTCACGCTGCTGCTGCTGCTGCTGCATTTGCTGCATGCGAATTTGGTGCTGCAACTCACTAAGCTGCTGCTGCTGCTGAAGCAGCTGCTGCTGCTGCTGCTTCTCGAGCATTCTGGACTGCTCCAGCGCTGCGCCTTCAGCCCTCTGTCCTTCCGCCTCTAGCAGCTCCTTCTCCTGCTGAAGCCTCTCGCGATCAGCAGCAGCGAGCTGCAGTTGCTGCTGTAGCCGCTGCTGCGTCTCTTCCCAGCTGTTCTGCTGCTGTCTCCATTGCTGCTGCTCCTGCTGCAGGCGATTTTCCATGTCTTCGCACTGCTGTTCCTTCTGCTCTAACTCTAGCTTCAACTGTTGTTGCTGCTGCTGCTGTTCCTTTAGTTGCAGCTCGAGCCTCCCTACGTGCGCCTGCAGCTGCTGCTGCAGTTGCTGCTTCGCTGCCTCGAGGGAATCACGCTGCCTTGTAACTCTGGCTAGCTGCTGTTCTGCAGCAGCTGCTGCCCGCCGCAGGTCTTGTAGCTGCTGCTCCGCCTCAGCTGCCTCTGCCAGCTGCTCGCGGGCTTCACTTAGCTCCTGCTGGTGTCTCTGCAGCTGCTGCTGTTCCAGTTCCTGCTGCAGCTGGTCTCGTTCCTCTGTGAGTGCCTGGATTTGCTTGTCCTTTTCTCTTGCTGCCAGTTGCACCTCTTCAAGCTGAGCTTTACACTGCTGCAGCTGCTGCTGTTGCTGTTGTTGCTGCCTCTCAAGGTCCTCTAGCTGTAACTGCTGCGAATCGCATTGCTGCTGCTGCTGTTCCTCCCTCGCTGCTGCTGCAGCATCAGCTGCCTGCATTTGCTGCTGCAGCGAGGCGATTTGCTGCTCCTGGAGCCGCATCTGTCTCTTTAAGGCCCGCTGGTCTTGCTCCAGTCTGTCTTTTTCTGCTCTCAGCTGTTGCTGCTGCTGCCGCTGCTGCGTCAGCCACTGCTGGTGCTGCTGCTGCAGCATCTGCCGTTGCTGCGCCGCCTCTTGCAAGGCCGGAAGCTGTTGAAGCTGTTCATCCAATCGCTTGTTTTGTTCCTGCAGCAAATCTGTTGCTGCCTGTGCTGCCGACAGCTGTGTGCTTAGATTATCTTGAGCCTTTGTTGCTTCTTCTACCTGCTGCAGCAGCTCTTGCTTTTCTGCTGCCAGGGTCCGTAGCTCAGTTTGCTGCTGCTGCTGTTGCTGCCTCAGTTGTTGCAGCTGAGCATACAGCTCGTCTCTCCGCTGTTCTGCATTTGCTGCTGACTGGCGGTGCAAATCGAGGGCTTCAGCCATGGTTCGCTGCTCCTCTTCCTGCTGCTGCTGCAACAGCAGCTGTTGCTGCTCTGCGAGCTGCAATTGCTGCTCCAATTGTCCTGTTTGCTGCTGCAGGTGATCGACCTCCTCGAGGGCTTCCTTATAAGCCTGTTGCAGTCGCTGCAGCTCCGCTGCTTGTGTTGCTGCTGTCGCTGCAGCCTTTTCTGCTTGACTGGCGATGTCTGCGGCGTGGCGTTGTTGCTGCTGCAGCTGTTCCTGCAGCTGCTGCACCTGCTGCTGCAGCGATTTTTCCTTGGCCTCCAGAGCACGCTGCTGCTGCTGCTGGTCTCGCTGCAGCTTCGCGTGTTGCTGCTGAAGCTCCTTCAACTGATTTTGCAGCTGACTATCTTGCTTTTCGTGTTGTTGGGCCTGCTGCTGCATTTGCCGCTGTAGCTGCTGCACTTGCTGCGCGTGTCGCTGTTCGGCGTCTGTCTGCTGTTGCTGTAGCTCCTTTGCTGCTGCTGCCCTCTGTTGCTGCAGCTGCTTCTGCAGCGACAGGTTCTCTTCATATCTGGAGTTGGCTAGCTGCCGCTGCCTATCGAGCTGCTGCTGCATCTGCTGCAGGAACGCCTGCTGCTGCTGTTGCTGCCTGTCTGCACTCTCTTCTCTCTGCTTAGAAGCCGCCACTTCAGTCTGGGCAGCAGCAAGGCCCTGTTGCGTGTCCCGCAGCAGCTGCTGAAGTTCTTCTAGCTGCTGCTGTTGTAGCTGCTGCGCTTCTTTGTTCAATGTCAGCTGTTGCTTTGTTGCAGTAAGCTCGGCCTCCGTGGCAGCTAGGGACGCTGCAGCTTGCTTCTCCTGCTGCTGCTGCTCCTCCCGGAGCTGCTGCAGCTGCTGCTGCAGCTGCTGCCGCTGGTCCTGCATCTGTTTTACATCTGCTGCTGCGCGGGACTGAGAGAGTAAAAGCCTTTGTATTTCGTCGCTCTGCTCTGCTGCAGTTGCTGCCATCTTCTGCAGCCGGTTTTCAAGCAGCAGGCGCTGCTGCTGTGCTAACTGCTCCTGTTCCAGCTGCTGCTCGGCCTCTGCAGCGTGCTGCTGTTGCTGCTGCTGCAGTTGCTGTCTGGCCTCCATCTCGGCAGCACAGACGCGCTGGTATTCACTGCGGCTCTGCAGCAGCAATTTTTGTTGCTGTTGCTCCTTTTCCGCTGCTTCCTGCTGATGCTGCTCGGCAGCCCGCCTTTGTTCCTCCAGCTGAAGCTGCTGCAGCTTGATATGTTCCTGCTGCTGCTCTAGCTGCAGCTGCTGCGATTTTAGTTGCTGCTGTACCTCTTCTAAACTTTTTGAACGCTGCTTTAGTTGTGCTTGCATCTGTTGGAGCTGCTGCTGTTGCTGTTGGATCTGCTTCTGCTGCTGTTGCGTTAGCTGCTGTTGCTGCTGCAGCTGCTGCTGTAGCAGTTGCGCCTGTCGCCGGTACTCCCCAATTGACACCTCAGCTTCCTTCTGTTGTTCTGTTTGCTGCTGGTTTAACTCGTTTTGTTGCTGTAGCCGTTGCAGCAGCAGCACTTCCTGCTGCTGGTGCTCCTCTAGCAAGGATGTCTGCTGCACTGCTAGTGTCTGCTGCTGTTTCAACTGAGCAATGAGCTTTTGCTGCTCTTCCTCCTGCTTCGCCAAATCAGCTCTGCGTTTCTCAAGAGTGGCAACAGCTTCATCTAATTTCTGCTGCAGCTGCCGATTTTCATGTTGCAGGTGCAGCAGTTGCTGCTGCTCCTTGCTGCTACGTTCCCGTGTCTCTGCTAGAGACTTGGCCAGCTGCTCTTGTTGTTGCATCATCTCCTCAATCTGCTTCTGCTGCTGTTTTGCCTGATCTTCTGCCTGCTTCTGCCACTCTTGAAGCTGCTGTTCGTGTTGCTGCTGCTGTTGCTGCAGTTTCTGCTCGTGCTGCTGTTGCTGCTGCTCAGTGTTGCGCGCATGTGCTTCAGCTACCTCTTGCTGCTGCTGTTGCTGCTGATCTACGCGTTTGCGAAGCTGGTCAGCAAGGAGTTGCTGCTGCTTGTGCTCGTCCTTTGCTGCTGCAGCTGCATGCAGGGAAGCGTCCAAACGCATGCGGAGCTCTGCAGCTTGCTGCTGCAGCTCTGTGTACTGCCTTTCTGCTTCGTTCGCCAGCAAGTGGTATCGTTCTTCTGCTTCCTGCAGCAGCGCAGCAAATTCTCCGCATTTTGTTTCGGAATTCTGCAGCTCCTGCACCAGCTGCTCGTTGGTTTGCCGCAAGTGCTGCAGGTCTTGCTCGAGTAGCTCCTGCTGCTGCTGCTGTCCTGCTAGCTTCTGCAGGAGCTCCTGTTCACGCGTCTGCTGCCGCTGCTCTCTCTCCTCCGCATGCTGCCGCTGCTGCAGCAGCAGCTGCTGCTGCTGCTCCTGCAGCCGGAGCACCTCCTGCTGCAGCGCAGCACGACTTTCGGCTTCAGCTTGCTGCGCCTTCTGGAGGGATTCTTGCAGGATCTGTTGCTGCTCCGCGTGGCGCCTCTGCGTTTCCTCTCCCTCAGCAGCAGCTTGCTGCTGTAGCTGCTGCAACTGCTGCAGTACAGCTTCCTGTTCCTTTTGGTGTTGTTGCTGCAACAGCTGCTGCTGCTGCAGTTGCTCTCTCAGACTCGCCGCCTCAGCAGACAGTTCAGCCCTCAAGTCCCCAGCTGCAGCATTCTGCTGCATTAACTCACTTGAGCGACTGCACTCCTGCTGCAGAAGCAGCTGCAGCTGCTGGTTTTCAAGCTGTGCTGCTGCGACTTGCTGCTGCAGCTGCTCTTTCTGCTGCTGTTCTGCCTGTAAAAGCTCTGTCTTGCGCTGTAGCTGCTGCGCTGCTGCGGCCCTCTCGCTTGCTGCCTGCTGCTGCAGCTGCTGCTGCACCTCCTGCAGTCGCTGCTCCGTTGCAGCCAGTTTCTCAGCAATATCTGCAGCTTCTGCCTGGCTGTTCCGGAGGTCCTGCTTGAGAGCCCGTAGTTGATTCTCATGTGCCTCCTGCTGCAGCTGCTGTGCGCTGCTGCCGTGCTTCTGCCTTGCCTCCAGCTGCTGCTGCAGCAGCCGCCGCTCCGCCTCCGCACGCCCTGCTCGTTGCACTGCGCGAACAAGCTCTACAGACTGGCGTTCGTACAGTTGCTGCAGCTGCTGCTGCTGCTGCTGGGCAGCGGCGAATGCTTCCTGTAAATCCTGGTGCAGCTGCTGCAAGTTCTGTAGCTGCCTTTCCAGAGATATCTGGTCCTCCTCCCGTTGCTGCTGCTCCTCTGCTGCTGCGTCGTTTTGCCCCAGATGCTCCTGTCGAAGTTTGGCAGCATCAGCTGTTGCTGTTACTTGCTGCTGGAGTTCTGCTGCCTCTAAGTGCTGCTGCTGAAGAGACAGCGTAGGGCGCTGCTGCAGAGTCTCAGCTAGAGACTGCAGGCTGGAAAGCTCACTGGCGGACTGACGCAATTGCTGCTGCAGCAACGAGTGTTGCTGCAGCAAGTCAGTGTGTTTCTGCTGTAGCTGCTCCACCTCGCAAGCTTGCTGTTGTTGCTGTAGAAGCAAATTGCTGTGCTGCTGCTGCAGCTGCTCGAACTCCGCCGTTTGCTGCTGCAGCTGCTCCCTCAGCTGTACACAGATCTCCTCGAGCTTTTTTGCCGCAGCTCGAGCCTCATCGGCTCCTTGCTGCTGCTGCTGCAACTGATCCTGAAGCGACTTGCTCGTTATCTGCTGCATCTGAAGTGCATGGCGCAAGTCTTCCGCTTGCTGCTGTAGCTGTTCCTTTTGCTGCTGCAGTAGCTCCGCTTGCGTTTCCCGCTGCTGCTGGAGCAGCGCAGCTTCCTTCGACAGAGACCGTTCGAGATCTAGAGTTTTGTGCGTGTACTCCTGTTGCAGTTGCGCGTATCGAGCCGCTGCTGCAACAGCTTGTTGTCTCTCTTGTTCCAGCTGCTGCAGCAGCAACTGCTGCTGTTGCTCGTTTTCCCTGCTGCATCGTTCAAGTTCGTTTTCTGTGTCCTTCTGTTTGGCTTGGAGCTCCTCTATTAGCAGCTGCTGTTCCTGCAGCTGCTGCTGCTTCTGTTGCAACTGCAATTGCTGCAACTCCACGATTTGCTGTATGCGGCTGACCTGGTTACTGGCTGGCGCACCGTCTGCAGTTTCACCCTGCTGCTGCAGCTGGTGCTGCAGCTGCTGCAGTTGTTGCCTCTCTGTAGTTGCTAGCCTCTCAGTGAGCGCCGCCAGGTCTTGCTGCATTTGTTGCACTTCCCGCTGCAGCTGTTGCTCCCCTTCTGCTGCTGCTGCAGAATTTTCCTCGGCGTCTCTCAACCGGATTGATAGCTCTTCGCACTTGCTGCGCAGTGCGTCTTCTGTGGCTGCTGCTGCTGCGGCCTCCTTTTTGAAGGCTTCAGCTCGCCGCTGCAGCTCTGACTTCTCCTCCGCTGCTGTAAGCAGCAGCTGCTGCTGCTGCTCTGCCTTGCCCAGCAACAGCTGCTGTGCTGCAGCGCTAGCCTCTAGTTGTTGCTGGAGTAACCTTATGTCGCCTTGCAACTGCATATTGTCTTGCTGCAGCTGCTGCAACAAAGCTGTTGCTTCTGAGTTGTTTCCTGGCAGCAGCTGCTGGGAATTCCCCGGCGGCTGTTTGTGCTGCTCTTGCAATTGCACTAGCCGGTCATGGTCCTGCAGCTGATGCTTCAGCAGCTGCACCTGCTTCTCTTGCTGCTGCAGTTGCTTCTGTTGATGCTGCAGCTGCTGCTCTTGCTGCTGCAGCTGCTGCTCCTGCTGCTGCGCCTGCTGTCGCAGCTGCTCTATCTCTTCGCTCTGTCGCTCTTGCTGCTGTAATTCTGAGTCCCGCTGAAGGAGCTCCTGTTCCTGTTGCTGCAGCTGATGCTCTTGCTGTTGCAGCTGCTGCTCTTGTAGCTGAAGCTGCTCCTCTTGTTGGTGCAGTAGCTGTTGCTGTTGCTGCACCAGCTGTTTCAGCTCTTCCAGCTGCAACTCCAGATGCTGCAGCTGCGTATTCTGGTCGTCAATTTGCTGCTGCTGCTGCATTAAGTCTTGATCCTTCGCAGCAGCAAGCTGCCGTTCCTGTTGCTCCTGCTGCAGTTCGAACTCCTGCTTTTGCAACAGCTGCCTGTGCTCTTCGAGTTGGAGCTGCTGCAGCTGCAGCTGCTCCTTCTGTTCCAGCTGCTGCTTCTGCTGCTCCCGCAGCAACGCTTGCTGCCTTTGCAACTCGCGCTCCTGTTGCTGCAGCTGTGCCTGCTGCTGCTGCAGCTGCATGCGTTGCTGCTGGAGTTCAGTTTGCTGCTGCTGCGCTGCAGCCTCACGCGCCACCAGTTGCTGTTCCTGCAGCAGCAGCTCCTGTCTCCTCTGCTGAAGCACTGCTGCTTCCTCATTTGCTGATGTTACAGCCTCACGTTCAGCTGCTTCATCGTGCTGCAGCAGTTTGTGCACATGCTGCGGGGCTTGCTGCTGGTGCTGTCGCTGTTGCTCCAGCCGTTGTTGAAGCTGCTGCTTCTCCAGCTGCTGCTGCCGTCGTAGGACTTCCTGATGCAGAGCTTCTGCCTGTTGCTGCAGCAACTCGAGCCTATGCCGTGCAGCATTCTCGCGTTGCTGAAGCTCCCCTTGTGGAGTGACTATAACTTGGGGCTGCTGCTCCTGTTGCCGTTGTTGCTGCTGCTGCTGCCGCTGCTGGAGCTCCTCGTGCTGCTGCTGCAATTCTTCATGCTGCTGCAACAAATCTTCGTGCTGCTGCTGCAGCAGCGTATACTGGCGGGTAATCTCATTAAGATGCCTCATGACAGTTTCCGTCCGAGAAAGCAGCAGGTTGTGCGTCTCCCTCATCGTTTCCAGCTGCGCCTCTAGCTCTGCTGCTGGTGGCTGCGGCAGCGGGTGTTCAACGAAATTAGCGCTCTTGCCTGCATTTTCCGTGATCTGCTGCTGCCGCTGCGCTGCTGCAGCGTCTGGAGTAGACTGCCAAGAGCCCTGACCTTCTGTGGCTGTGCGATCCTGCGCGTGCGCAGCCTACAGCAGCAGCAGCAGCAGCAAGCCAGATGATTCATTACTCGTTGCAGTCATTATTAGTTGCCGGTGTGAAGGCAGCAACTTTTGAAGCATCTGTATCGACAGCATAGCCACTGCAGCAAGCAGACAGAAAAAGTTGAGTCCCGCATACCGTCGTAGCTCCATCAAAGCGAGTTTGCTGCTGCTGCTGCAGCTGCTGTTCTAAGGAATGCACGCGCTCCTGCAGCAGCAGTCTCTCCCCTTCAACTGCCTTCAATCGGTGCGCGCGGCGTCGACTGATTAGGCGAACAACTGCGAGCTGTTTGTGCAGCTCCTTGGGCGACAGCGCGTCTTTCCTGCAGCAGCAACAGCAGCAGCAGCACCTGCGTGAAGCTACGCCGTTGAGCCGACCAAAAAAAAGCTGTCATTTTTGGTACTCCTTCTGCTGTAGTCGACTCTGAAGCTCACCCAAATGCAGAAGCAGCAGAACCGCTTGACGCAAGGTAAGATTCCCGCAGAAGTCGACGGCGTTTGCTGCTGCTGGTGCCGCTGCTGCTTCCCGAGAGAGAGAGCAGCAGCAACCGCTGCTGAGCGGCAATGCGTGTGACATGCCCTTTCCGTGCTTCACGCGCGCGGGCTGCTGCGCTTGCTGCTGCGTCATCAACCCATTGCAGCAACTGTTGCTGCAAATGCTGCAGCGACTCGTCACTGCCGCAGCAGCGCAGCAGATCCTGCCGTTTGCTGCATGCAGGTAATCGCACAACACAATTAAAACGCGCAGCAGCTCCTCCAGCTGCAAATATTCGCAGCAGCAGCATCAGGAGCAGCAGCATCCCGAACGCGCTTTTTGATTTTGGCCCGGTGACGTGCTTACCTCCGCAAGGCTCCGCGCAGCAGCACAGCCTCTTGTGCCTTATGCAGGAGCTGCTGCTCCTTTGCTGCTGAATGCTGCTGCTGTTGCTGCAGCTCTGCGGCTAGCTGGCGGATCTTGCGGGAAGCACGTCGTCTGAACCTTAGGAGCGGTTGCATTTCCGCTGCCTTCTGCTGCAGCTGCTGCCGAAGCCGCAGCAGTTCCTTTTGTTCCCTTTCATAACTTTCTCTGGCAGCCTTGAGCTGCAGCCGCTCAGTATTTAGTGAGCTGCTTCCCGCTGTTACTGCTGCGGTTGCTGCTGAAGCAGCCAGATTCTGTTCATCTTGCTGCATCCAGCTGCTGCTACTGCTGCTGCGGCTGCTGCTGCGACAATTAGACTGGCCCTGGGATTCAGCACCGGTTTGCTGAAGCGATGTTGCTGTCCTGAGATTCACAAAGTTGCACGCATCCTACAGCTACGCCCAGATCAGCATAAGCAGCAGCAGCAGGATTAGCAGCATCAGTGGCAGCAAACGCATCACAGGCACCATCGCCGCCAGCAGCACCACAGGCGCCAGCAGCAGCACGGAACTCTTCAACTGGAAAAGAGCCGCAAAGCAGCAGCAGCAAAAGCTTCAGTAAAGCATCCGCAGCGGGTGCAGGAGCAGCAAGCCTGACGTCGAAGGTGCTGCAGTTCCTTCTGAGCAAGCAGAGCCATCTCGCCATGCATCTCGCTTGGTGACTGAGTCCTTCCAGCCACTACTCTGGCTTTCCCTGAAAGAGAAATTTACAAAATATCTGCTGATGCGCAAGCTGTGGGCTCTGAACATTGTATGCATAGTTCTGAATCCCTGACTTGTTAGCTCCTGAGGCCTCACTTTCCCGTGCCCCAAACTAAGAAGCCCTCAACCCCGATATTTCAACTGTGCACAAATCGCAGCAAGGCTCACGGATCCAAGCACTTTCCAGCTGCTGCTGCTGCTGCATCTGCAGCTGTTGCACTGCTTGTTGCTGCATGATCCCCAGTTGGTGTGAATGCGCCTGGCGTAGCTGCTGTATAGCCTGGCTGCCGAGCGGCAGCAGCAGCAGCAAGCCAATTCAGCTGGGATGTCAGAGTTTTGACTTGGGCCTGAAGGAGCAGCAGCAGCAGCGCCGGCAGCACCAAGAGCACGGAGCTCGTAAAGGAAGACTATTCATTCTACTGCTTTCCTCGGTGCTGCACCCATAGTCGCAGCAGCAGCGCCTAGTGCTGCAAAAGCTTCGCTGCTGCCGCAGCAAATAGTGCTGGAAACAGTGCTGCAGCTGCTGCACCAAGGCTCTCGTTGGATGTACCTGAAGCACTTGAATTTGTGCGTCTCTCTCCCTCAATTCATTCCTTTTTCCCTGAATTTCCCGCTCAGCCTTGTGTAGCTCAACGCGCAGCAAACCGGTTTGCTGCTGGAAAAAAGCTAACTCGCTGCGCAGCTGCGCGCACTGCAGCACAGCAGCGGCAGCCACGCAGCACCAGCAGCAAAAAGCAGCAATGTGATGGATTTGGATTTTTTAGAAAAGAGAGAAGAGGGGTTGTCGCGGCAGCAGCAGCAGCGGCAGCGACAGCAGCAGTCTGTCTACCTGTTGACATGGTGCTGAAGTTTTCCACTGGCTCGTTCCCGCCGTGCCCGGCAACTTCTGCTGCTGCTGCTGCTGCTGCCGATGCTGCTGAGGAGTGGAGGCATCAGCAGCGGCAGCAGCTTGGGTAGCAGCGAAAGTGGAAAAAATGAGATGCCCTGCGTGCAGCTGCTGCTGCTGCAGCACCGGCACCTGCTCCCTCTGCTGCACTTTCCTTAGGGCATCTGTGCTGCTACAGCGCCTGTGGGCCTCCGACGCATGCATACACTCCGACACGGGTGGGGGAGTCAAAGTCCGCCTGGCACGTTGCCATGGCCTTGCTGCTGCTGCTGCTGCTGCTGCTGAAACAGGTGCCGTCGCTGCATGCGCAGCAGCAGCCAGAGTCTCTCCAGAAGGCTGTAGCGCACGCAGATAGCCGCCAGAGACACAAGCAGCGCAGCGGCGGCCGCAGCTGCAGTGCCAGCCCTTCCGGCGTCTCTCCCCGCTGTCCTGTGGGCCCCACACCCGGGAGGGAGCCACTGAAACGCAGCAGCAGCAGCAGCAACGGCAATGATGGCAAACTGGCACTGCTAGTGCCATTCAGTCTCCCTTAGATCCCCCTTTTCCAAAGCTGCGGTGAGTGTGGAATTGGTTTCGTGTCACTTTCACGTACTGTTGCATCTGGCAAGCTGGGGGTGGTCAGGGTCTCTTGTGAGCCTTTTTTCAGAACAAATTGCCCCCAAGGGCCATGGAGGCCCGCCACCATAAAATCTGGTATGTAAACTCTGAACTACACCCGAATCCTTAGACCCCTGGGCCCTTAAGTGACTCTCCAGATCCTGGGGATGGCCGTTGTGTCCACTCGCATCCCCAGTAGTGTATTAAAAACAAAAAATTAAGAAGTGCCTTTGTATTAGTTTACGCATTTTCGTATGGGGGCCCCTTGGGGGCCTCTCTGCAGGCGCTGGAATGGCTGGACCGTCACCACCCACCAACCCTTTGTGGCTCGGTCCGCATTTTGCTCATTCCCACGACTACTTGGTTGCGTCGGCATTGCCCGCTTTTTCATGCTCATATTATTTGTTTAACAGGGAGCAGGAATCGACCAAGACGGCAAACAGGCAAGGAGAAGGGCGCGCAGGGTTGGGGAGAGGTTCCCGAAGGGTCACTACCACTCGTTGCCATCACAGTTTGAGCGACCAATCCTTCCCTGTTTTGCGAAACATCCCTACTCATTCCACGTATTTGATACCATTTTAACAATTTAACACATTTTAACGATTAAGTAGATCTTTTCGAGCACATCTACGGAGACTTGTGTTTTGAGGGTGTTACAAGGCTCGTTTTACGCCCTTCCCAACTATCTACGCAGTGCACAGAGTACCATATCCACGGATACTTCCGGATTTATACTTCCTGGGTCATACGTGGTTGGCAACAAGCCTTCTTGGGTGGGAACGAAGAGGGGCAACGGCACTCAGCAGGAGAGAAATAAAGGGAAGGAAGCATAGAACCAACCGCGACAGATTCATGCAAATATTACACCAGTGCGCGGAACAGGCATGTAGAAGGGCAGATGCATAGACAAGTAACCAGACATCTAGGAATGCATAAAAATGCAGACGATAAATCGGCAAATAAATAAATAAGGTAACGATGGCACTCTATCGGTAGGAATACACTCCTGGGGAAAGAAATGCCTTCTCCCGGTCCACTTTCATTTGAATTCAGCAGAAGAAGAAGCAGGGGAAGTTTCGTTGCTTCCTTCTCATCTTCTATGCTCTCTGCACGTCTTCTGCATCCATCTCAATCTTCTTGTAGTCGCCTGATTTTGTCTTGTCGACAATATCTTTACCTTTCCACTCCAAAATTCCCATTCTTCATCTGAACTCTTCTTGTCCTCTTTTCTCCCCGATATTCCCCCTCTTGGCTCTCAGAAACTCGTAGAGGCACGCCATATTATGTACAAATTAACAGCTGAGCTCGTAAAACGGTTATAAAGCGCCCTAGGCACCAGTATATGCTATGCTATTCAGTACTTAATCGAAACTAGTTGGATACTCAAAATGCCCGACATGAACACTCGCGAAATCACTCCACTCGAATTTACCTTGTATGACTTCCTTGTCCCCGAGGCCTCCACCAGCCGCTTTTGATGGTTTGGCCTATGAGGCAATTTACACATCTCGATTATCGGCACACTATGTCTCTGACCACTCTTCATTTTGCTTGGTTGTAGAAAAAGCCCTTTCGCACTGTAGGGCAGAAATGTGAGTTTTATTTTCACCGGCGAAAAAGCCGCCCTGCACTTTGCTTGCAGTATGCTAACAGTTCATAGGGCACTCGACATCCTCAGCGCAACGCGCCCAAGAAAAGGTATTCCGTGTTCTGCGCCTCCTGGAGGCGCTTTCGTTGGGTCAAGCCCAGTTATTGCGTGCGCCTAATTTTTCAACCAAAATGCGTGCCTACTAAAGCTCAGAGTCAGATTCGCTGGTTCTGGGGCCCCCAAGTATGCAAGCTTTGCGCAGCTAGCACCTCTTGGCCAAGTCCTGCAGTTTGGACTTTCGATTGTGAACGGCGCTTTGAACAATGTGGCACAGAGCCCATAAGGAGGCCCAGTTCTAGATGGAAGGCAGCACCTTATATTTATTCTTGCCGTGCCTGACTCTATTTTCGTTCCTCGAGATGTCGGCTCTTTTCTGTTGGCGTCTGTGCACATCTCTCCTTGCGCCCGTGTGTGTGCATGCTTCTTCTGTTCGTCTCCCCGCTTGGGGCTCCAGGAGCTTCTAAGTACCCGAAAGTTTACTCTTTCGGTTCAAACATACAACTGAAAGCCCGCATGCTACCTACTTCCAAACTTCTAGTTCACTTCGCTGGAGTAGATTACCACAAAACCGCATACCACTTATCCCCATAGTCGCGGTTTAAAAACACTACTAAAAATCGCACGATAATTCCCAGACAAATGCACAGTCTAACTGCACATCCTGCTTCAGAAGGAGTGCATGCCCGCACGCCTTGCTGCGTCTGCAGTTTTTCCCGATAATGTAGAAACTTTTGCTGGTGCCAATGCTGATGCTAGGGCTCACTCATGCAGCCCTGCTCCTGTGCTCCCTCATCTGCAGCTGATTCTGCTGCAGGGGAAGCTTAACACGGGAAAGGTTTTGGGCTGGCAGCAGTTGCTGCTCGCTTGCAGGCGCTGCACTTTGCGAGGAAAGGAAAGAAGACCTCCACTTCAATAAAACCAAGAGCGGCACTCTGACGTTTGAGAGACACGAACAACACCCAGACGCCTACACTATATGTATTACTAGATTCAATTATATCTCCTTGATAGCGCACCTTAAAAGACCAGTGTTATCAGAGTGCTGGCGAACATGTACACAAGCCAGTGCATCCGCATCTGAGAGCTATTTACATACTAAATGAATGCATTCGTAAGTCGACTTAAAATGCACTTGTCAAAGAATCCGCATATCCACCTCAAACTGCATATATAGCGAAAAGTATTCTACCACTGACTAACCGTCGGCATCAGCTCGGCTGCATTGAGAAGGGAGCAAGCGAGACGCTTCATTTCTTGCTGCTCCTCCTGAAGTAGCAACCACACACAGAAAGCACGCTCATGCTAACGCTTGCGCAATGTCCCTAGCCACAGCGACGCATCAGGCCAAAACCTCGAGCTTGAAGATTTTAGGGCCAGAGTCCATCGACGCACTTGGCTGTATGCTGCAAGCCAAATCTTGTGCTCTACAGCACTGTATCTCCCAAGCAGCCTGAATCGAAAACACATCCACAGCCTGCTGGTTTCCCTGTGCCATGTGATGCTCCTACGCGTCCAGTAATGGTTCGTTTTCCTGCTGCTGCTGCATACCTTGCCAGTTCACCGGGTTCTTTCCAGTTGCATTCATTGGCTTTCCAGATACGACGAGCTGAAGGAGAGCTTTGAAGGGCCCCCTGAGAGAAGCCTTGAAGACTCCCTTGAGTACTCCCAAAAGGGCCCCTGTCTGCCTTTGTGGCGACAACCAAAATGGGACAAAGACCGCAGCGTAACCGCCAGCCCCAAGAGCAACTTCCTGCAAAAGCATCACTAGCGCGCCAAAATGCCCTATAAAACGCATGAAATCGTGTCAAGAAAGGGAAGACAAATTGGTGCAGAGGTAGCACCACAAGCACTGAAAGAATTCAAAGCGAAGCACACAAATAGGCAGTCCCACACAGACGAGAAGTGAAGAAAAAGAGGCGCCACCGAAGAGCAATGCAGACGGACACAGATGGCCACAGGAAAAGGCCTGATAGCTCAAAACTTTGGCAGATGAAAACAAGCACAAGCTTGATGGTAGAAAAACCACAGCGAGACATATTAATGCATGTTGGGCAAGGATGCAAACGTGTGCATATATGCTCGAATAAGTCAAACAAGGAGATGGAAGATTTGGGAGGGCAACAAATGAACACAACAGGACGCCGCAGCCATACCCAGGTCCTGCAGTTCAACGTCATCGCCAAGATTCCTTTCTTCCTCAAGCTGAAGCTTTTGCTGCTTCTGCCTTTGCTTCTTTCCCTCCTGCAGCAGCACCTGCCGCCGCTGGAAGAAGACCTCGGACGGACGCGTGCCAGCCCGCATGCAAATTTCGAGCAGCCAAGCGGGCAAAGACCTAAATGCTGCCTCGCTTCCACTTTCATAAGCAAGCCAAACTCCTAAAACGCACACTCGTACAATAAGAGCTCACGCCTTAGGCCCCAGTCCACAGACTCTCAGCCAGCTATGAAGGCACAACACGCAGAGCCACAACACCACCAATTCGACAACAGCCTAGCGACATCGAAAAGAAAAACACTGTGTCACAAATCTCAAAAAAAAATGGCCCGAAATCCTGAGCCCCAGGTCCCACCGTCAAAAGGCATGGCGTAAAGAAGCGCCCGAGTGGCTTTTGTGGCTGAGGATCCTCCGACCTCCCAGAACTCCACCAAGTAGTTCTCACCTGAGGTGTCTGTACACCTCAAAGGGACAATATTAACACCGCAAGTTGAGCGATAGCCCATAAGCGCGGACAGGGGCGAAGCCTGAAGCTCAGCTTTCCCCGCTGCGGCTGCAGCTGCTGCTGCTGCCGAGTCTTCCTCTAAACTGACAACATGGGTCAAACTTGGGCAGCCGAGGGGTCCTGGTACATAAAGACATAAAAGGGGGCAGCAAATGTGAGGCTTTCAGCAGAAGGTGGCAAGAATGCATCAGCGTCAGCATGCAAGGCACAGCCAAAAAGAGCAACGACAGAAAACGCACGGAGTTTCCGATAGTTTCGCGTATGATTGCTTCTGTCAATATCATTACCTGTTTGTACTTCTGTTGCAGCTGCGGCTTTTGCCCTATCCTCCTCTTGTTGAGCTATGCGTGCACTGCCCAACTCAGCCGCGTGCTTCTCCAACAGCTGCAGCAGCGCAGTTTTCCCTGCTGCTGCTTCTCCCACCACCAGGACCCTTAAGACCTCTTCAGGCTCTGATTGGCCCTGAAGAGGTCCCCCGAGAGGCCCCACGAGAGGTCCTTTGGGCCCCTCTGCCCCTGAGGCCATTGTGAGGGGCCCCCCGACGGGGTGGCAGATACAGCATGGGATGCTGCGCACAGGCTGCCCAAAGCGTCAAAGGTTAAACTTTACTTGCATGCATAAACAAATTTTGACATGCTAGATGACGGGGGAGGGAAAACCCTTGCCTCTGCAGCGGTTCAGTTCCAGTCAAAACCCTTAGAGGCTTGTCCAACTTGAAAGGGTCATTTGTGCGCGCCGCACGAATAAGGCGAAACTAAAAAGCTACAAAATACTTGAGCTTATAATGCCATTCACATTTCGGTGTTTTTGGTAAATTCACTTAAATTGACGCTGACATGTCGAGCATCGTACGAGACACGGCATTGGCGCTGCATGCCAGTCGGCCATGGGCCACGGGGCCCCTGCTGTCCATTTTTCGGGCTCTTGCGGTATGTGTTGTTTTGTTCAAGGGTAAATGAGCTAACATACATTCCACACTTTGTACCATAAAAAAAGGCTTAAGATGAGAACGGGTGCAGGCCTACGCCGTTTATCATACATCCGAACCCTTGAGTACAATTTAGATACAAAATAGATACAAAAAGTACCATCTACGCGCAAAGTTTCGGGGCAGAAACTGTTCCAATATGTGCTCAAGGTAGCTGGTAGGCTGCTGGAGCACCCAGCTCATAAGACGAGTGAGCTTTGCTGCTGATACTTGAGCCACAGTAAGAAGCGAACGCAGAAACCCTCACGGCATGCAAAACTGCTTCATAAAGCAGCAAAGTTGTCAAGCTCCGTACCATGCATTTTGCACTGTCTCATGAGTGTACGAACTACGAACAATTTACGTTGCTTCTGTCCATTATCTGCGCATTCCTTCATCCCACGACGCTACGTCGAACTCAACAATTAACAAGCACCTTTGCAAGGGGTGAAGCTCTTGCATGGATCCAGAGATAATGTACTTTAATGCTTCATACACTGCCTTCTGCTCATTGCCCCTCCGGGATGATGCAGAGTCAAGAACGAGCGGCCACAGGAGCTGAGCAGTGGACAAAGCGTTTTGAGTGGGCCAGTGACACACCCAAGAATATTGAATGGCCTTCGCCTTGTCCTGTGGCCCTTAATACAAAGAAAATAACAAATTCGTCCTGCTTTTGTAGAATCTGCCGTAATCCCAGCTGCAGACAAAATGAATCCCAAGCGCTCGGTCTCCTGATACAAGGCAGACTGAATTAGGTGATAATTACGGCTTTCGTCCAGCTAGCACCAGAGTAGGATCTTCAGACACGCCGTAGAGTAGCAAGAGAACCGGGTGAAGAAGGCAGCTTCGTTAACATAAGCTGCCTGGCGATTCCACGTGATGCTATGCTGCCGCATTGCTGAGTATCGAGAGGCACTTGCGTCTATAAAAAAAGGACCAAAGAGGATGAATGCAGGATGCTTGAGCAATTTTGCCTTCATCTTCGCTCGCGAATGTGCTTTGAGTATGTTAAAGATAAATGGGGAGCGTCGCCTTTGCAGCGCGTCCAGCGATTGGTGGGTTCTTGGAATTATACACAAGGCATGCACCAAATTTTGTCGACCTACCTACATAGGCGCGAGTTCCCACCTAATCTTTTCAGAGGGAGACGCCGAAAATCACTTAGAAATATTAAGATTTCTGATGCCATATTCAAAAGCTCCAGCCACAGTCTGCGGCACAAGCTCCCTCTTGTGCGGACCACCGTCGAGGAATGTACCTTAGCACTCTGCAAGACTCCAGCAGCTCTGATGTGGGCATGCTCGCCTAAGCTACTGACGTATCCCCAAGTTTGAATACTTAGTGACGTTCAATGCGCACAGGCTCAGGTTGACAACGCCCTTTCTGACAAATATGAAGAACCTGCCACAGTTGCACGCTTCAGGAGGCGGTCAGCGTTTTGAATCAGCCTGCTCTTGCAGTGATTCGCAAATTTCATTCGCATGCCATGTCCAAAACTCGTTTCTAGCTCACTTAATAAAAAGACGGAAGCCCCAGCAGCCCAAGTTGCAAACGACAAACCAGTTTTCATAGTAGCACAAATGATTACTAGAATAAAAGTGTCTCTGCCGCCGCACACAATGGATTCAGGCAGTCTTTTAGGTAGGCGTGATGAGGCTATCTGCCTTCAATACGCTTGTATCACAAGAGATAAGCCTGATGACGAAGCGTAGTTGCCCTCCATTTGCATGACACAATGAAAAAGACGGAGAACATTCAGCCCAGCGACAGCACCCGTCCGCGATTGCTTGTGGGATGTTAGGTTACCCAAGGAGCTATCCTGAGCCAGAATGCGTACACCTGTTACATGCTTCAACGCTCCTCATTTAAGGCATTGAGTCGCACTAAGATACATTTTTGAAGTTTTTGTACTGAGTAGGGCACTTAAGGTAGGCTAATCAAATTAAAAGGTAGACAGCGTTGTTCGCCGCAATTCTCATAAGCCGTGCTACAGGACTTCAGAGTTCTCACGCACTGCACTAATCTAACCAAAGGCATGACCGCAGCTTGGCCAGATTTCAACGAGCAATTATTTAGCGTCAAGTTGCTTCAATTGCTTCGAAACAAAGCTCAGGCACGATCGCCATTCTAGCTGCACAACACACCATACTGATTCCACAATATGACGTCCCGGTTGCTGGGTTGTTGCGCAGTAACAACCAAAATGAATTTATCCACCAAAATATTTTAATCACAATCTGCGACCCAATTTTTGCGTAAGATTCACTTCATGTTCCAAGACCTACAAGGTCGCCACTAAGGTTCAAAACGAAAAGGACGTGTTAAACCCACCGAAACAGCCGATGGATATCGCGTTTACGTATGACTGCAATGTGGCATTCTTCAATGAAGTCCTCAAGCACAGTCAAACAGATAACCGATCACAGTAAATGCAGCCAGAAGAGCAATGGCCAATTCCTACTTTCCCGCATGCTTCTGGCTTTTAGGTTTGGTACATTGCCGGCATCTCTATGCACAGGATGGTTGATTAAAACAGGTGTGTAAATGGATATGCGCGCTTCCGTAAGTTGTTCCCTCGTAGCCCTTGTGGCGCAATCGGATAGCGCGTTGGACTTCTAATCCAAAGGTTGCGGGTTCGAGTCCCGCCGGGGGTGCTTCACGTGTTTTCAATCGTTTTGCCCTTTCATTTCTTTCATGCGACTGAGCCTGTGCAAGCATTTTGCTACATCTATCTAGAGGTGCACTGCTCACTTGCAGGAGGTGAATCCTGTACTGAACACTGATGCAGTGTAGACACGGCTCATGTGAGTTGGCTGTATATCATTAAAAGTTCATATGGGCTGAGCGCCTGATATCTGTCGTATTGTGATTGGTCATTCCGACATTATTTCTGCGGCAAGAGCTCTGAAGATTTGCAACTACTTCTGCTTGGACGAAGCTAGCTTTTGGAGGAGACCTGCCAGTCTTCTGGGCAGCGGCTTACTCACCGCAGATGTCTAGCTACCGGAAACTCATATTTCCGTTCTCCTAAACGGATTTGCTGCTTTTAAAGGGTGGGAAATTCCTTTGGAATGCCCTCGTGCGCCTGAGGATAACGAAATCCTTGAGCTGGTGGGGAGGGAATTGACGAGTCTAAGAAAGCTGCCGGCACGGAAAACGGCAATAAATGCTGCTTGGATGTGATAAATCATGTTGTAAAGATGCTGTCTTTGGAAAATAAAGGTCAAGAATACACGACGATCCACTCAGGGCTGTCCTGCATTCGGCTTCCCAAAGTAACCTCAACGTGGCTGAGACCTTATGCCTGAGCTTCTAGCTAGTAACATTTCCCAACGGAATGCGCTAGGGCTGCGTCATTATGCCGCTGATATGTACAGCAGGGGAAAGTATTGGAGTGAACTACTTGGCATGGGCTCTCATTTTGGACACTCTTTTTGCGCTGCGAACCGGACCACCCACACAGATGTAGACCATGAACTCCGAATCCCATGCCCCCCGTGTTTTCTAAGTGCCTCAAGATCCGTTCTGAAAAAATTGCACAATGATCAAGTCAAGTGCATTCATTCAGTACAGTGCACGAACGCCACTGACGGAGTGCAGACCCGAAGTGGGGTGTGAAGCAGCCAAAGAGGAAGCATGTATATTAAAAATAGAAGTAGTATTCAAGCTCCCCAATACGTCAGACAGCTCGGGATGATCCGGATGTAGCCAATGCATCACAGTTGCAGCAAATGCATGAAGTGTTGTCTGCGACAGCTAAAGCGCTGGGCAGGTGTGCTCGGCAGTATGGTGAGATAAAACTGTTAAATTGAGCACAAACTGGTAAAGAGAAAATCTCGGGGGCAGAAGAATGCGAAAGACATTTCGATTGGTACTGCATGGGGTCATCTACCAGTAAAAGGCTGGGGCTGAATGAGAACGCATGCAGAGCGCCGAGGCTTTCATCCAGACGAAAACCGCTTCTACTATTCTTCAGAACCTTTGATTCTTGAGTCCCATATATTTTACCATTTTTTGCTCTGTTATGGCGACATTCTGCACTTAGTGAACCAGTACTGGTGTAATGCTGCTGCTGCAGCAGCACCTTCTCTCCCTACTACAGCAACAGTTGCATGTATTGCGTGTTGTCTGTAAGGATCTGGCGCTTTCCAAGTCCTCCCGGCATGCGCTTTCCTCCCGTTTATAGTGTAATCAATGTCCACGACGTCTCCTCCTTCTCGCATTTCGATGGGGGCCGTTTCTGTTGACCGAGGAAGCCCCGGCGCTGACCCAGATTCAGCGAGCGGCGCCGGGGTTTCAAAGCCGTACGACCGCGAACTCTTTATGGCTTTCTTAGCTGCAACCACTCGACTTTTCTGCGATGACGAACAAATTGTGGTCGTGGACTTCCTGGCCTCAGAAGAGAAGGCCTTCACGGAGAGGGAACTGATCGACAGACTCGGCTGGCCAGACAAACGCGTTCGAGAGGTTTGCGCTTCCTTGGAGAGGCTGATGCTGATCCAGAAGGAGCAACTTAGCGCTGCGAGTGCACAAGCATTGTCCAATGCAAGCGCGGATGGAGACACTGCGTCCAGGTGTGTCTTTCTCCACGAAAGCGTACATGGCGGAGTTTAGCGTACGGTGCGCCTCTTTGGCTTTTCTTAGCCACCTCCCTAGCCAATTTAGTCTATTGTGACGGCTATATAGAAACCTTTCATGTGGCGGCCGGCGATTTCGCCACAGTGCAATCGTTCTACAGTGACTGCCTTCATGCACATTTCATTTCTGACTGCATTCTCGTGTTAGTTTGAGTTTTGAACGAAATCACGTTTCAGCCATTAAGGCGTACTGAGGCTGCTGGTGGTGAACGCTCTTTGACAGCAGAGGCAGGCCATTAAGAAAGGGTACTGTCTTGGTTTGTGTTTGAAGTTAATGGGCAAATGTGCCTGTGTGACGCAGCAGTGTGGGGGGCACCACGGACTATGGGCGTGGCTCTATGCCTGGCGGCGCTGCTTTGCTAGGTTCGGGGGCGTCCTCTGCTGCTCCTTTTTACTACCGCGTGTCGCCGTATGCAGTCATAGTGGTGCAGTACCGCATAGAGCAGATTGACACCAAACTGAAGCAGCAAAGGCGAGAGGCAGAGACAAGGGACGTCTTTGTTTGTCCCATTTGTGGCCGTCAGTACGATGCACTTGAAGCTCAAAGGCTCAAGCTCGACCCAGAAGATGCTACATTTCTGTGTGACTGTGGCTCTAAACTCGAACACGAGGTGAGCAGCCACAGCGCGAGCAGCAGCAGCAGCAGCAGCAGCAGTGACACCACGGGAAGCAGTACTGAGTTGAACAGCAGGCAGCAGCAGGGACGGAGGCGGCGCTGGTTACCAGCAAGTCCTGTTTGTTATTCTTTTGTTTCATTTCCCAGGACTCGAAGACCGTGGTGGAGCATCTCGCGTCGCTGCAGCAGCGGCTGCAGGAGCAGCTGCAGCTGCTGCGGTCGCTCATCAGCCGCTGCTGGAGCATGCGTGTGCCTGTTTTCGCCCCTTTTACTCGAGCAGAGAAAAATGAGCTGAAGAAACAGCAGGACAAAAGCAGCAAAACTAATGCTGGCTCGTCTGTCGGATCCGCTGTTTCGTGCAGCAGCGATAATCCAGCCAGCGCAGTACCTACCTGGCGCCAAGCAGGTAAATTCTGTTTTCTTTGTTGCTGGTGCTGCAGCAGTTCCTTGTGTTCATGCTGCTGCTATTCTTTGTGCCGCCCACGTTGGGTCAGCTGCGGTTTTTGTAATGCAGTGAGCGCTAGTCGGACTTCAAATTGGAACACAGAGGTGCTTGTTACTTCACATGTTTCTGTCTATCCTCTCATTGCTGCTACGTCGTTTATTGCGGAGGTAGAAACCGAGTTGCGCATCTTTACTGCACCTGTATATATTTTGTTCCAGTGCTGCCTCTTTGTTGACACCCAGTATATGTTCTTGCGCCGCTTTCGTTGTTGCTTTTGATGCTATAGTGTTTTTCCTCTGCTGTGCGCTGAACTAGGGCCTGCAAGTGAGGCAAAGCTGCAGATGAGTGGCACTCGACAAGGCCAAGCGGAAGGGACGAAAAGCTCGGTCTCTACTCCTTCGTGGATGCGCAGTGGAAGCGGCGCTTCCTTTTCTTACGGTGCAGCCCCTGCGGCTGCTTCTTTGCCGGGTCATCCTCCTGGCGCAGCAGCTGTTGCTTCTGCTGCTGCGCAGGGAGCTGATCACTCGATGCAGCCGAAGGACAATACTGCCCCGCCCGTCAATCAGCCGCTATCTGCAGCGGGAGGCAAGCGTGGGCAGATAAAATTCAGTATGAAGACCAGCAACAAGCTTTCTACCTTGCGTGGGACGCCCGCGTACAAGCCAGGGGTACCAGCAGCAACAGCAGCGACCGCAGCAAGTGCAACAACGGCCAATGCTGCAGGGAAAATATACGGGGAAACCGGAGCAGCAGCAGCGCAAACAGCAGGGGCGCCAGCAGTAGTGCCTTCAGGTCAAAAGACACAACCGGCAGCGCTGGGTCTGGAGAACAAAGGACATGGAAGGGACGAGACAGTGCCAGACAGGGAGGAGGCCTCTACTCTGGGCGCAGCGGAGAGACCATTTGGGGGAGAAACTGCAGGAGCGCCAGAGCCTGGAGCGGGAGCAGCAGCAGAAGACATCACCGGTGCTGCTGCTGCTGAAGAAGCGCCTCGCGTCTATATTTCCCGCTTGGGCAGAGATTTCACGATAGAGGAGGCGGTGGAGTACCAGTTGGATATGTCCATAGAGGAACATGAGGTAGGACAGTGCACGGCATTCTCGCAGCTTTCAGCTTCCAGCTTCTTTGCTTTCATGGTTTCCATCTCCTCACTCATCTTTTTTAGCTACGTACTCTTCAGCTTGTGTCTTTCCTTTTTATTTGGTGTTGAGCCTCTCTTGATGTATGCCAATCGGCCTTCTGTATCGATTGCGTTTTGCCACTGATTGCGTCTGATGTGGCACCTAGCCGCAGCACTGGTTGATCTATTTCTCGCTGCCGTTGCTGCTGTGGGGTTTTCCGTGTCGTCGTCGCCTCTTGTGTGCCACTTTAAAAGTTTGTCCTTGTGACAATTCTGTTCTGCCCATGGGTTTAAATGCTGGCAATTTTGTCTTGTCCTGATTACTATCAGAAATTTATGGAGCTCCAGTCCACTTACCTCGACGATCTCTGATCTTCCCACATGGCAGCAGTGAAACTGATCTCAAGCGCCAGCAGCATCAACAGCTCCAGGAGGGGCAGCCACTTAAAAGAGCAGGTGAAGCAGCTGTAACAAGCACAGCTGCAATTGTATGGGCAATTGTATGGTCAGGTGCTGCAGCTGTTCCTGAAGTTGCTGCAGCAGTTGAAGAGGCGTGAGTCTTTGCCTTGAAGAGGTGTTGTGATATGTGATCTCATTGAGAACTGTGAAGCGGCCTTTACGTTCTTCCGGGCCGCAGAAGCAGCTGATTATACCTGGCTGTTCTTCGTTTTTTACTGCGCTTCCTTTGCTTGTCGAACGGCAAGAGCACAAGCGGTGACAGTGGCTGCAAGGGATGGTGGAGCAGCTGCTATTGCGGCAAGGCGCGAAAGAGGAAGACGGCTTTCACAGGCATAGGAACGAAGTGGGAGGTGACTCTCACATTCCCGAAGTGTCGCATCATCGGACCAGTTCTTCGACGCCTTGCAGTAGTCGCAACAGTTGTGACTGCAGTAGCAGCAGCAACTGCAGCAGCATCAATATTGCAGCAGCAGCAGCAGCGAGGTTGTGCGAGCGTTTTGGCTCATGCAGCCGCCAACCACCATGACATTCATTGCCTTTTCGAATCCGTTTTATTGGAATTTTTTTCTGAAGTGAAATAACACGGGCAAAGTCTGCTCTTTGCTTCTTTTCGTGAATTTTGGTACATTCGCATTCGCCGTCTTGACGGGTGTACTCAGTGCGCTTTCTCTTCACGTTTATAGATGATATAGACAGATTTATGCTTGATCTAAGTTCCCGTAAGAATGTTATATCGCGCCTTACATGGGCACTACACAAGTAAACGGTCCTATCAGCCGTGCCAGCGGAATGTGTATTCAGGCATAAGTAAGCATTCCATTCACAGCCGCGGTTTTTCACTTTGCATCAAGCACAACTTGCCACGGTGATACTTCGTTTCCAGATAGCGACGCGAAACGCTTGGGAGTTCGCATGAGTGCGAGCAGCATCAGGAACCATCTCACATGCTTCATGAACGGGGGGTCGTATTCCTATGAAGACGTTGCAGTATCGTTTGTACCTCTCCAAATATCAGGTGTACCTTATTATTTACAATGCTGGAGGTTGTATTCCTTAACCTAGGCAGAGCTGTACACAAGGCTATGTACACAAGGAGGAAGGCGGTACCAATTTTTCCGCGCTAAGTGGTTTCTCCATGGAGGGAGAGAAACTAACTAGCACCAGCAGGCGCTGCAAAAGGGCCCGCCAACTGACTTCATTTTGAACTCGAGGAAGCGATATTGGACGAGATTTAGAAAGATACCTTGTTCGGGGTGTCAGCGAGACGAGTTGCCAGTGAGGCCGCCCAGGCGAGAGCGCGCGCCTCTCGAAAGGGTTAGGCCACGGCTGAGACGACTTGATGTACATTTGATGCATTATGCATGGTACACATTAACCAGGCTATTGTGATTGCACACTACCTGCCATATACATACGCTTCGTGTTTTTCTGTGTTTCACGTGCATGCAATTAAACCGTACGCAAGATCTACGCGTCCATTGGCGCATGGACTGCGTGTTCCTAGCCATGCGTATTTATTATGCAAATTTGGGCATGTATGCATACATGCACGGATTATTCTCAGGTCCATCTGTTCGATCTGTTCATTACGCCGCGGCAGGCTGTCGGCGTTCTGCAAAAACTTTGCTGGCGACAGACAAACTGAGAACGACGAATAAATCAACAAAATCCAAGCTTCTTCGCATGCCTTGCGTAGTAGACACGGTGTATCTTCGCAAGTAGGACCGAGGTCGGGATCCCGTTTTTCAGGAAGCTAGCTAGCTAGCTAGCTATAGCCAGCCAACAAATCTAGCACACCAGCTGCCGACCCAACAAATGGCTTCAGCACACCAGCCAGCCTGCTAGCTGGCTAGCTAGCTTAAGTAGCAAACTAGGCTTGTGGTAGTTTCAGTAAACCTTGGCCTCTTGCACCTCATAAGCGATGCCCCCAACGGGTAAAAGCTCGGCATAGGCGTCGCGGGTAGGCAAGAAAGTCTGTTCTTCATCAAGGGAAGAATAGTCTGCGTGGCTAGTGACCGTTGAAGTTCCACATGGGATTTCAGGGAAATCAGATATCCAGCTTCTCGCAACTGCAAATAGGAGCATAACACGAAGCAAAGATATCGTTCAAAGACAAAACGCCGCATGAATCGCACGAATCAAGTTTGTATGCATATAGCCATGAAATTTTCACAGACGCAGGCACCGAAGCGAAAAATGTCGTTTGTTACTGTGTATATGGTGTATGTGGACGCATGTGCTTGTGCGCACGCACGCATGCATTGTCACATTCAAAGCGAATGAGAAGCTACATTTCCCTGTCTGAAGCATTTGAGAATAGTTGCAGCCTCATGCCTCTATGCGAATACGCGTCTCCAAAATATACACATTGCACAAACTGCAACTACGGAAACAGACTAATGCGTGTATGCAATGCCAGTGCAGAAGCAAATATGTTCGATGTGCGATGAACCTGCGCCAAGAACACATGAAGCAAGACAGAGGAAAGTTGGTCAGAGCCAACAAGTACGGCCTTTGCATTATACTTTATGAAACGAAGTCAAAGAACTGTAGTGTGACAACGAAAATGTATCTAAACAGGTATACAATCGCACAGTTAGAACAAATGCCGTCCGTGCCTAGTGCAGTCTGTACGAGAGTGCCAAAGGAATGCAACGGCCAGTCTTAAGCGTAGTTCCTAACTCCTAAGATTTCAAAAGTTTGACAATTGAGAGCAACCAACACTTATTAGTGATTCTCTGCGATGCACATTGCTAACCTCTTGGGCTGGTGATAACGGTGGCGAGACGCCTTTGCCTGATGGCCTCAAAACGGTCTGAGGATTCTCGGAGTTGAAATTTCCAGTCGAACAAACTGCAGCCTAGTTGAGCGGCATCTTCTAGATCCTGAAATGCGAAAACAGGCCAGTGGCAAACAACGTAAACAGGGAAGTAAATATCAGAAAATGCCAATGAGGCAAGCGGGACGGAGCCAAGAATTAGAATGCGTCTTCGAGGCAGATCCAGTGTAGAATGGAAGGACAAAATGCAGCCGGAAGAAATAAGACAAACAAAGGCAGGACGGTGGTAAGCGGAAGTGACGCGCCAAGCAGACATGTGCCTCGACGTCGTGCTTAGAACACATGCATAAGCGAAAACGTCTGCACCCAATGTATGGAACATAAAACGAGCCCAGAACGTAAAATGACACTGAAGCCGAAGGGAATAACAGAAAACATACAGGAAGTATAGACGGGGACTTCCACAGAAAAAAGAACAGATGAGCACACTAACCACGTAGCACAATGTTCTAGGCTGAAGCCAGCACAGCAGCAAGCCTTCAATAAAATACTGCCACAAGCAGAAGCCAACAAAAAAGATGAGGAAACTTACAAGCTCAAGTCCATCGGCCAGAGAAGAGGCCCAAGGATGCGCCTGAATTTCACAAAGCAACTTTTTCTGCATGTAAATGTATGTAAAGTTCCGCGCTCTAGCAATAAAAAACCTCTTGCGTTGGCTACCAGAGATAAACGGGGGACAAAGTAAAGGAATGTGCACAAAAAGGGCAAAGATGCAGAGAGCAAAGGCACAAGTGCACAGGGAAAGGAACATAGAGAGAAAAGGGACCAGCAAGGCAAAGACATACGACGAAAACAGAAGAACAGAAACAAGGACCCGGGCCGAATTTTCGGGGCCAAGATGAGATCAGTACGCATAAAGGCGCATAGATACCTAGGCAGAGGATTGAATTGTGGCATGTACACAGTCACGAAAGACGCAGAAGCAGATCGAAGCAGGTTGCACATAGACCTAATGGAAGTACACAATGACTACAAGAGGCCGAAACGTAGTGTGCCACTACGACGGTAAATGCACAAGCTAGGGGAGACCGAGGAAAAATGTGGCAGAGAAAGCACCGACGGCAGAAACGGAGAAAGTGACGGAAACACAACGGGGAACAAGCTCACCGCCGCAGCTGTAAGTACAATTCGACCATCCATGAAAGTCCAAGAAGCATCAGCCTCTCTCAATTTGAGGCAATTTAGAAACAAAACGGAACCTTTCCGCGACCCGTTAGAAAACGAGGAGACAGACACGGCACTCTGACAGGAAACACGCAGAGCCGAAGTAATAAGCCATGTGAATTAGCTACATAGAAAGTGCCGGAAAACAGCTGCCCGCAATGGATCTTCGACAGAACGTTCGTTGAAACAAAGATACTGATGAGGCTCTAAATCTGAAACCCAAACTGGGAACTTCAAAACCTAAAATATAAGCCCAAAACTCCAAGTCCCCGAAACACTGTGGGCTCACTCGAGAAGATAAAGTTTCCTCGCACAGTGTTTCGTTCTTGCCCTCCATAAGGGGAGACACGTCTGTTGCCGGTGACTCTCCTCCAGTTATCGTCTGCAAGCACCACGACATAAAACGTTGCCTGTGCCACTGCCTGTTGCCTTAACAACCCTTGAATGAATAAAAATGCGTGTTCCGGAGGTGAATCCAGAAGTTGTTTGACCTGCCCGTTATTGCGTGCATTTCACATCACGAATGATGCATGTTAAATGTGTTCACCGCTGCAGCTCAGTGCATAAAAAACAGAAAGACGTACGGAAGGGGTAGCTGATGCAACTACAGACATGACACGGCGCTCAGCTTCTGTTAGAAGAGCAACCTCGAGATCGCTGGGTCTCCTGCTACCGCAAGACAGCCTCCACTCCCCCTGTTGCCCCCCACAATCGGTAGAAAAAGAATTTCTGTGGGCCTGCAGTGGGCTACAAGATCAGCAAAGCACCAACAAGAAGGCACAAACCTCTATTCCCTAAGGAGGGAAAGAAAGCAGAGTAGGCTCGTTTTTTCTAAATTTTGTGCCCTCTATCATATTTCCAAGTAAGAACTTACTGATTGTCAAGCAGATCCGACACGGAAACGGAATCTGTCGCCACCACTACCAAACCTGCCTCAATAACGACACCATTCTCAAAAGAAAGAGAGACAAGGCCACCAGATTCGCCGTCGGCTTTCTCCTGTTTACCCACTACAGATACATGCTGGACCGAGCAGCTGCGCCAGAAGAAAGAGGAGCCACCGTGGCCAGTGGTCAGGTGCGCAGCGAGTATTTGCCTCAAGGTGCTGCAACTGATGTGCATCGGGCCGTCCATCTTCATGCTACAGGCAGCGGCCGGAAAAGAGTTTGATACTTCTGTATTGCTCATCACTGATCGGTACAGGTCCGAGTTTATGGCACGCAGTGCATCCATGCACCGTACAGATAAAGCGCATACAGTGTCTGATTCTATTTTTTCGCCTTGTTTCACTTCCTCCCCTTGCACGTCCAGCACACATACCGCACGCCCTGTGCGAGAGCGAATAGCCACTGCAGCTGCCAGACCCCCTATCGTTGCACCCAGCACAACAACTGGTACGGTTGCGGACCGAGCGTCTTGCATCTGAAGTGTCTCAGGAAAATCAGACGGAGGCCTGGAAGTCCTTAGGTTCGTCATTTTCTTCCGCCACGAGCGATGACGCTAGCGAGGAACTGTAGTCGTAGGCTTAAAAGGGAAACTTTTCCCCCGAGTCTGCAAAAGATGCTTGGATGGATGTACAGAAAATAATCAGGCTAAAAAAAAACCTGGGAAAATCCTCGACTGAGAATCGGAAGCCCAGCTGACAGCACTGCTGAATGCACGTTAAAAAAGTACAGGGATTTCCCGAAGGGTTTGGAATACACCTGGCTCTTGTAACAGCAAAAAGATCTTAACTTAACCTCAGTCTGGTTTCAGTAGATGTTATCAGTTTTCACTGCTGAGTCCTGGGAAACGAGTCAGGAACCTTTCTTTGCACCGCAGTTGGAAAAATATCACGGCTGCTTCGGCTGTCACCGGGAATGCCTCCCTGAGTCCAGAAAAAATGTTTACCTGATGACCTAAATCCCGGTAATTCCTTGAATTATTGGAAACCAGGGTCTGATGTGCAGGGACGCAGTAATCGAATTTCGTCGTACCACGCGATGCCAACAGATTCAGACACGCGGCGGCTCTGCAATGTATACCGCCCCCCAGGTGACACAAGATGGAATGGCTGGAATTTTATTGTTCAGCAGTAGAAGACTTTGAACCTTTCTGGTTGTAAGCGAGAGAAGGCACTTAAGGTTGCTAGGCGCAATGAAAAAATTGGGCGTTGTCCACCTAAAGCCGCTGCCTCCACCGCCTGGCCAAAAAAGCGCGAACCACACCAGTTAATATGGGGTGATCACGCCTGTATTGGAATAAATTTAACCAGACTAAGCCAAAAAAACATAAGGTAGATGTAAAAACCTGAAAATTATTGCTGAAAACACCTGTGAGATGGAGCGCAATGAAGAACAGACCGTCGCCTGATAGGCGACCCAGCTACGCGGATCTGCGAACAGTTCGACCGCACAGGCGCAACCGCTTGACCACTGTGTTGTTTAAACAGCTGAAACAATAGTTCTTGAAGACTAAAATGTATTTTTTTGCCCGAATCTCTTGAAATAAATTGCATTTCAGATTAAGTAGATCCAGGCTAATCAAAAACGCTTTAATTAACTCACATTGAGAATGACTATCCAGTAGGTTCCCGAAGAGTCACCGGAGAGCCTGTCAGTGTGAACCAGACGACTTCTGAGTCAGACAAAATTTTTTGGAATTAAAATATAGCTCTATGCATGCCCCAGAAACCGACACTCTTTCCCTCATGGAGCTTGCAAGCATATGATGCTTTTCCTTGGGGGGACATGTTCGCAAGCCGCACGGCCTCCTCGTGTCTACACTATCTGAATAAAATCGCACTACAGTTCTCTTTTAAAGAGACAATAAGGACTTAATTTTCCTTTTTTCCGAAAAAAAGGTTGAAAGCTGCTCGACTAAAAATGAAGCATATCAAAGACGCGCTGCAGGTGGAGCAATGGGGATGCAACATGGAAGGCCAGCGGCGAAGATACGAGCGCGCTACACGAAAAGTTAGAGCAAACATTATGCACCGTTGATTCAATTTCGGGTAGATGGTATCTATTAGCAGCGGCTTGATCCGATTAGCTGCAACTTCACCTAGGTGCAACCCACCGCAAGAGATGCGATGCAAGATGTGCAAGGCAGCTACTCCGTAGTAAAAACAGCTAGCATGTAGTGCCTCACAGCAGGGAACATGAGTAGAGGAGTTTTTAAAAATTGATAGTGCTTCCGCATATTTCTCAATGACTCTCGAAATACACATACCCATTTGAACTTTGAGCAGCTCTCTGGCTGCTGAAGTCTGCTCAAGTACCCACCAAGAAAGGATAAAATGTGATAAGAAGATCTATGCTTGCATTTCGCCATGGAATCCGTTGCTTTTTTCGTCTCGAACTGGCAGGTATCAGCTTCTCAGTACCATGCCTGTAGATCCTGCCACTGCTGTGCAGCGGTATCATTCAATGTTTGTGTTAGCGCGTTTTGATATATCTTGGACATCTAAGCACGCTCTGGCCTCAGTAAAATTAAGGGTCTACACAAATGCGTATGCATGCGTAGTTGGAGTTCTGGTCACTTTTGTACGGGAGATAGCTTTTTTGGGCGGGCCAGTAGAGCAATTGAGGTCTAATTATGCAGCTTCGGGGATCTTTAATTGGTGCACCTTTGTGAGGCAATAGAGCTATATACGTATGATGTCCTGAGGCGGCCTGCTCAAGAACATGGACGTTGGAGATGAAAAACACAGGCGAGAATATCACAATACAGGCCACAGGCCGCTGTTGCTTTTTGGATTGCTTTTTGGATAAGGAAGCATCAAACGGCCAACCAGCGCTACAGTGCAGATATTTTATTGTCTTTGGGGACAGAGTAACATACGGCACAGATGCAGCACGGACCTTTGGCGTGTCAAGCGCGAAACTAAGCGTTACGGACCTCCTACGACGCCTTACCATCGTAGCCCCTTTGCGGTAAACCGTCAACCTGCACCTTCTGCAGTTAGGCTGCTGAAAATGCGTGAGGGAGCGTCACTGCAATGATTCAAGCCTTGAAAACAATCTTCTCCCGAGCTATGTGGTTTGAGAAAATGAGCACAGTGAGTCGTTCGCTTGAACAAGGGAACAATTGTGTAAATGGGGGTCGCACTGTGGTATCTTCAAATGGAAGCATATACTACACAAACAAACACTAGGCCCTAACTAAATGACTAAGGCTTACAAAACCTAAACCGTTCTATCCGAGCACCAAATGCTTGTAGTTCGGCTTAACGCGTGGTCGCTCGTAAAATCTCCTTTCACACAGGATAAGGACGAGTCTGTGGAGCTCACATATGGGCAGCACAGCAGCTAGACATGGCTCACCGCTGCTGCCCACAAAGTCTTCATGTTCTTCCTCTTTCTGTACAACAGTACTGCCGTTCCAGCTGCTGTGACTGCATATATTGCTTGCGTGATGCCATCGCATCTGCGAAAATCCGGTCAGCCTAACAGTGAGCAGAACCTCCAGGGCGCAGTTGGTCACACAACTCGCATGTCGACTGTTTCCTACTTGCTTATTCTAATGCTGCCTACTCAGCAGCTTTGCGTGGTGCATTCTGATAAGGCAGGTACCGGTACCTTGTCAGCCTGACTGAACAGCCTGACTGAACACTGAGCGTGTCGCGTTCTCTTGAGTCGTCAGTGTTTGATGCGTTCGAACAAAACATATAAGGACGGCAAGAGCCAATCCCTTATACGGCACGTCACGCACAGCAGCAACTGATGCTGCCAGAATGTTAAAGGAAAACGCAGTTCCCCTATTTCGAGATATCACCATCGTACTATCAACTGGTCTCGTGTTCTCTTCCTATAACATCACGCATGTAAGATTCGTTTGATACAGTCCTATAGTTGCTGCTAGTTGCCTGCCTGTGTTCTGTTTCAGCTTTGAACACTCATAGAACGACCGATTGAGCCTCCTGACTGCTGCTAAGTGTCCGCCCACGTTCTTGCTTAACCCTGCGTATTGACAGAGAAGCCAGCTCATACACAGCGTGTAGAGAGGAAATGCTTGCGACATGAATGTAACCTGAGCAGCACGGTCGTTGTAGAGGGTCCTTCAGCCTGCGCAGTGAAGCCAGGCTGTAGCCCCAGTCGTCAGGGCTATGGGCTTTAGGCGTTTTGGACGCTGTATGCATTTTGCCTTCCACATGTTAGAGGCCTATAGTAAAGACAAAATTTCATTTTGATCGTGCTTGTGGGTCCCCGCTATTTACACTGGTCTACTTCCACGTTACAGCCATCTAAAGCCGCGGCTTCACGGAGGCCCTCCAGCCGTGTGTATCTGCGTGAAACACACATGAAGATGGCTACAGTGCCTCGTGCATCCTGCTACCTGGAGCCTCCCGTAGACTGCAACGGCCTTTTGTGTGTGCCACGTCGGAGAGCCTACGGGCTAACGGCCTGTAGGCGGCTTGATGGCTTTTAAGGCAAAGATACCCCCACTTTGCGCCTCCATCCCTCCTTACTTTCCCCCAAAGTTGTTGATATGAAGCTCCTTATTCATGTAAGTCGGTAAGAAAAGGGTAAAAGGGCAATGAAACGAACGCGAAGCAGCAGTTCGACCCCAGGGTCACTCTGTGATCCACGCATGCAATGTGGGCCCCACAGGTGACAGTTGCTCTCCCCAACGTTTTTCCTTCTATTACTTGTGGCATATTTATGGCTATAAGGCATATATGAAAACGTGGGGACCCTATAGTCACCAGGAAACCCACCTGTGCTGTCCCCCCAAGTCTACCGAACATGACAGCCAGAAAGCTTTCTGTCTCCTTCAATCCGCAGCAGCCCCCGCTGCTCCTCCTCGCCCTTGCTCAGCTCCAGGGCTTGGACTCAAAGGAGCTTACTTTCTGCCCCAACAGCGAGCAGCATGCCACAGGGCTAGTTGCCCTGCAACAGCAAGAAGAGCAGCAGCACGACTGCCGACTAGAGCACCCTGCAATTCAGCTGCCCGAGCTTGAGGCCGCCAAACGCATAGCTTTCACCACACCAATCGGCCAGTTGGTGCGTCTTTATCAGCGTATTACCCGGTAGCCTTTTTTGGCTGTGTGCACTGCTGTGACCTATGAGTCGACAGGTAACCAACACTGCAGCCACCTGATGAGGCCCGCGGCATCTAGGATCACTTAGACGCACTCTGAGCTTAGAAAGAGCTAGGGGCGGCTCACCGTGTTGGCTGGTGTGGTGCTGGTGGGTCTCCTTTGCCTCAGCTGCTTCCAGACGCCGACGGCGAGGCATTGTTTCAAGCGTTGCTTTCTGTGCTCTTGGGTGTGCCTTTTTCGGGTTCTCTGTACACCGGAGGGTTCCCTAGAGATTCTGGTTTGAAGAAGATGAATGCGTACTTGAGTCTACGGACTTTCCTTTGGGGTCATCGCCTGTCACTTGTCGACCTTGGGGCTTACATACATTTGAGGACCTCTGCAGTAGCAGAGAAGACAGGTGCCCTCCCAGAAAAATGGTAAGGTGGTTCACATATATGGAGAATTAGCTCTCGTAGAAGCTACTGCTAATGGTAATACCGTGCAATTGTGTACTCTGGGGCTGCAGGTCAGCAGAGTATCCTGCAATAGCCCGCTGGTATGGATACATGCACAACGTCAAGGGCGTGAGAGGCCCTGTAGAGAAAGCTCTAAAGCAGAAGATCCTGGGCCCAAAGCCAGTGGCTGCATCTCCTGATGCTGCTGCGGCCTTGGCGGATAAAGCAGCAACTGCCAAGGCAAAAGAAAAGGCGGAGACGCAGGCATCATACGAAGGTGAGACAAAAGCTAGCGGAAACCTTAGAACTCGCACGCGCAGCTGCTTATAACAAACGGTGCGCAGCGTCTGGCTTTTGTCTTCGTAGGGAAGCTAGAGGGTGCAGAGATGGGCAAAGTTGTTACGCGCTTTCCCCCAGAACCGTCTGGCTACCTGCACATCGGCCACGCCAAAGCGGCCCTTCTCAATGGCTACTTTGCTAAAAAGTATCAGGGACGAATGATTTTTAGGTACAACGGAAACTGTTCTGGCAGCAGTAGAAACCACGGTAAAAAGGAAAGCAACAGCAACAAGATCAGGTGAAGCATGTGATGTTTCTGCCGACTGTTTCAGGTTTGACGATACCAATCCCGCCAAGGAAAATGGCGAATTTGAAGAAAGCATCTTAGAAGACACAAAATTGCTGGGAGTTGAGTGGGAGAAGGTGACCCATACTTCGGACTACCTCCAGCAGCTTCAAGATGCGTGCACCGAAATGATCAAAAAGGGTGAGTTGGTTGGTGTGCACAGCCACCGCTGCTACCTCTCTAGTATTGCAGACATGTGTACTCAATCAGGCCGTTTTTTGTAGAGGCGGAGATTGCGCTTGCGCTACTGGGTTCACACCTTTTTTCCCCTTGTTCCACGCTTATATCGTCGCACTGCGAAGGCAGCTGCTTAATGCTGTTAAATGGTCTTGCCAGTCAGCGCTTTTGCTGATGCTTGTGCTGCACGCAGGCATATTTTACGTAGACAATACCCCCACCGAGCAAATGCGCTATGAGAGAGGCGAAGGCATCGAATCTGCCTCGCGGAGTCTCCCAGTAGAGGAACACTTGCGACGTTGGGAGCAAATGAAAGAGGTGAGACCTGTTTCTACTGGAAAATATTTTGTGTGATATCCTACTTGGTTATGTTGCACGTGGTTGCGTGAATATTGTCATTCACAATATTTGGCTCCGGAGGTTGACGTTTGCTTTGCTCATGCTTCCTACTTCCCAGCATTGAAGCGACTTGAAATATAATCCTGCGCCGCAAGGCGTGTTGACCCAAGGGGTAAGCAACCTTACTTTGTGTCTCACGCGGAGCCTTGACAGCTGGTGGCTTTTTTGTGGAGCCCCACAGGGGACTGCGGAGGGTCAGCAGTGCTGCGTACGGGCCAAGATTGACATGCAATGCAAGAACAAATGCATGCGGGACCCGGTGATGTTTCGGTGCGTGGTGGAGCCACCACACCACAGAATGGGCAGAACCTTCAAAGCCTACCCGACTTACGACTTCGCATGCCCTGTTGTCGACTCGTGGGAGGGAGTCACTCACGCCCTCAGGACCAACGAATACGCAGACAGAATTCCGCAGTACCACTGGGTGAGCTGCAACTCGTACCTGTTATCCACACGGGCCCACTGAACTGACAGGAAGAACAAACGGCCGAGCGGAAAGGCGCGCATTTGAAGAACCTTTTTGCGACACAGAGTTTGGTAATGCTCGCAGGTCCAAGAAGCCATGGGCCTGCGGAAGGTCAACATATATGAGTTTTCCCGGCTGTGTTTCGTCCGGACGGTTCTTTCAAAGCGAAAACTCAAATATTTTGTCACAGAAGGCCTTGTCACAGGCTGGGATGACCCACGCATGCCGACCGTACGGGGTGTGTCATTTAGCCTGGCTGTTGGTATTGCTGCAGTTGTTCCAGCTCTTCCTGTTGTTTTTGCTGTTGCTGAGTGAAGTCGCACCATACGCCATGTTGGTCAGAGAAAGAAATGGCTATAGAGGAAAATACGCTAGTGGCAGCAGTGCTATCCCTAGCAGAACAAGAAGCAGTGTAGGAGGTGGTTCGCCTGCAGCAGCCTCCGCAGAAGCCACAGGTTGGGTGTTTTCAAGAGTGTTTGTGTGTAGGTATCTTGCGTCGAGGATTGACAGTGGAGGCATTGTTGGAGTTTATCCTTCAGCAAGGCCCCTCGAAGGCCGGAAACTTGATGGAATGGGACAAGCTATGGACTCTCAACAAGCAGGTCATTGACCCAATTGTTCCCCGCTTCATGGCAGTCTCACGCAGTAAGCCGTGAGGATCCCGCAGTTCTTGGAAACACAGGACCCCTTCTGCTTCCCCAGACAATTTACGTCGGAGGAGCTTTTAATCAATTTTGGGGCCGGCGGGGAACGAGAGATGAGCGGGTTGGAGATGGCATCAACGATGACCCCAGAGGCCGGACGGCTAAGGGTGACACACATTTGTTGACGCTAAGAGGTGGACTCAAATTTTTGTGATACAATGCGCGCAGCGGACGGGGTGAAAGTTACTATAAGCGGTGCCCCTGAGAATGTGGCAACGCAGCCCCGCCGTCTGCATGCCAAGAATGAGGCTCTTGGGCAAGTACCCCTTTACCTTTACAACACGATCCTCATTGAGACAGACGATGCACAATTATGCCAAGACGGAGAAGAGGTGACAAAAGATCCTGAGCTGTAGACTCTATACTTTTGAATCTGATGAAGGATGTGCCAGGGCTTGAGAGACACAAAATGCTTCAATGCCTCCTAGTTTGTCATGCATCCGAGTACTGGTTTTGCGTGTTCTTTTTTTGTGTGCGGCGGCCTACTGCGTGTGTGCCTGCATCGCAGGTGACCCTGATGCATTGGGGAAACTGCATCTTTGAGGGGCTGGAGAGGGATAGCACTGGAAAAGTTACAGCTATATCAGCGAAGCTTCACCTTGAAGGGGACTTCAAAAAAACAAAGAAAAAACTCAATTGGGTTCCTATGCTGCCACCCAGTGCGGACGTTCAGGTAAGCCTGACGTCATTCGCGTTCTTTCAATAGCGGAATTTCAAGCACCTATCCGGCGCACCTCAGATCCTGTGTGCATCATCAGCTCATGCTGCGCCCACAAGAAACGGCGCCTCCGCTTGGGGGGATGCAAACCACATGGCTGCTGACGTATCTTTCGTCTTTCGGAGTGTATGCGCGCAGTTGACGCCGCTCGTGCTACGCGAATACGACCATCTGATCACGGTTGACAAAATAGAAAACGAGAGCGAGGAGGCGTGGGAGGAGTGTATTAATAGAAACACGCAGTTCGACACAGAAGCACTTGGGGATCCTAACCTCCGTGCCTTGAAAGAGGGTATGTTGTGCCTCTTTTGCTTTAGTTTCGATTCCTACTTAGCTAAGGCCAGGGTCTATACACCTTGAAAGCACTTGCAGCTGATGCAGGTGGCGTAGGCTGTATACGTTTCAGCTCTCCCCCAACTAGCATTCGCCCATTTTAGATTAAAGGGCCAGATTACGGCCATGTTGTGGGAGCAGAGTGGGAAAGTGGCTAGACATATTAGATTCTGTGCTGGCCGAGTGCAGGTGACAAGCTGCAGCTTGAGAGAAGAGGCTACTTCAGAGTCGATGCGGTTGCTGGCGACTCCTTGGTACTCATCAAGATTCCCGTAAGGCTGTATCTGCCGACAGCAGCAGTGAAGGCCAGGAATCGTGAAAGCATCATCACTTAAATTTTGGTTTGCAGCCCCATTAGCAGTATTCGTGTTTTTCGTGTGTCTCTCAGGATGGACGTGCTAAAGCAATGTCAACGGTTAGCAGCAAGGTGAATGCGGCTGCTCTCTCCGGGGCCAAGATAGCGGGTAAGTCCAAATAGATGCCTGCAAATTGAAGCACGTGCAAGTTACTGTATCATCTGCATAATAATTCCCAGAAAGAATACATTGACAATCTGTGCATATTGGTTGGTGCTACGTCTCCTCGCTCCAAATTACAAACGGTGCCGTTGAAACAAACATACACCTCAACTATTTGAGTTCAAGCTCCATATAGGAAGCGAAATAGTAGTAAGAGTAAAGGAAAAGAGGCATCAGCAACAAGGAGGATGGAAAGAGTACACAGGAAGACATACAAATGAAGACACGCACAACACTGTAGAGGGAGCGGGAGAGTGAACTCGGTAGACGCAGACAGCGAGTCAGTTGGCGAAGCAGCAGGCGGCGGAGGATACAGAGAGACCCAAGATGTACCTGCATATAGGTAGAGAGGACTGCTGTAGCCTCGGTTACTCCCCTTTCAGTGCAGTACATTGTACGGGACGCACCCATGAGGGCGTATTCGTAGTTTAGTATGTTTTGGACATCTGGTCGTCTGGTTATGTGGCGAGTGCCTCCTGACCTCCAGAGACTTCAACAGGTTCCGTGGGCCCCTAAAACTACTGCTGTGCGACATAGACAGACTAACCACATTTTTAAATAGCACATTGAGAACAGATTCCGCAAGATGTATCGCAGAAGAACCAGTGAAGCCTTAAAAGTACTCTGAGGAACGAGCAGGACACGACCCCCAAGGAGTTGTTTGCATCGCGATACTGTGCTCGCCCGCCTGGTGTGAAAATTGCGATTGCAAAGGCACTAGGCACACGAAAAATGAAGTTTTTATTTTAGATGTGCTTGAAATTGTGGAGAAATCAGTGCCTGCAGCGGGCGAAGATTGTGCGTGCTCGGACGAGCCTTGAGATATCGCGGAACTGGCACAGATTGTTCAGTAAATAAGTCATGGCTATTTGGGTTTAACAAAACCCTCATCAAGCCTGAAAAATGCCTTTAATCGGGGGAGATGCACATTATGCCTATCAAGCCCGTGATGAACGTTAAAAGTTCGTAAACAGAATCAGATCAGGTGTCCTATATAGTGGTTTGGTCAGCGACGTTTGTTCCGCTGTAGCACGAATACACAGCTTTTAATAGCTCTCTTTTAGATGCAAGGTCAAGCAACTCTATTCTACAGATTAATTGTAAACTCGGAATTATGGGGGTGCGAAAAGAAAAGGTAAGCGACAGACAAGAGAACGTGCTTTCTATGGGCTAGCCATGACAGCACCGCACAGAGCACTTCGGCAGTAGCCTGCGCAGTTCCTTAATACCAAATGCGGTAATGAGGTGTTTGTTCAGATTAAAATTGAAGCAAACCATGTATCTTGTTTGCAAAGTGATGAAAACAGGCAAAAGTACTGAGCAGGCGTTGTGTTCACGGAAGGCGGCCTCAAGAAGATACATTATATCGTCTCCAGCACAGCGAACTGGCTGACCGTATTGCCTTCTCCTGGTCTACTGCGCATGATCTCACACTTCTCCTCTGTGTGGCATTGCGTTTTTTGTGGGTTCGAATCCTTCAGTGGCGTCTCTGTTTCTCGCAGCGGAAGCCGAACATCCCTCCGTGTGGATTTAGCAGCTGTTAACGTTTTTGCCGAGCATTGGAAAGGAGGTGAAGATGTCGGACGATTCTGAGTCTGCTGGATGCTGCGTCGTACGGCATTAAGAGCTGCTTTTGCTACACAAGTCAACTTGGCGTTCCATACTCCCGTCTGTTGCTCCGGCAGTCTACACTTTGCTTATCTATGTGTAGTAGCACGCTTGTGATGGTTTGCAACCAACATCAGAAAAGCACGTAAATTAAGTAGGCGTTTAGCTTCATTCACGCTTTTCCATACCGACGAAAGCGAGATCCATTGCTGCCGCAGGTGTTGGTCCCATATGTTCATTTTTGCGAATCTTGACATCTTGACATACCAAGTTGAAAGGATTGTCTGTATTGATTCTCTGGCTGGATGCAGGTCCTTCCCCCTAGAAATGATATGGAAAGGCAAGGGCTCATCGTTGGGGGGATTTTGAACATTCTATTTCCGTGTGGGCTGGGCACGATGATCTGTTCGTGCATGACGCGGCGACGACGAATGCTTGTCACAGGTGTGCTGCAACTCATCACGACGATACTTATTGTGGGCATTATCTGGTCATTTGTACATGGCATATGCATGCTCGTCGCATCAGGGACTCCCATAGAACGACGGGCATCAGCTTCCGTTGATCCTGCACGCTCGGCGGAGAACCAGCTGCATCACACGATAACAGTGCAACGTACGCAAGACCCCTTGCAACAGGAACAGCACAGCCCGCCTCGTACAGAGTAGAGCAAGAGTTGAATTGCAATGAGCGCAGCTCTGTTCGCAGCTCGTGCAGGGGTTCCAATCAGCAGAGGCGCTGCATGGTGCAAGATTGACGCATCCAAAGTTTGGTGTGCATATTAGCTATGAGGAGCTGTGTAGCGCATTGCACCATCAAACCATGTGCTGCTTTGTCAGCTATCTGAGTTGTGAACTGGCCTGCAAGTTGTCTGCCTGATGGATCATTACGTTGAGGAATTCTAAGGCCATCAGGATCACGTAAATCTGTGTTCTGTCGTTGCCCATTTCAAGGTCCACAAAGTTTTCTGTCTTTTCGGCGCCTTAGCTGCAGAATGCATTTTGCCGGCCGCAGGCTTTTAAGGACCAAAAGCTGGCCCACTGTTGACAGTAGAGGTACTGGCGGGTGGCCAGTTGAGGCCCCTTGTGTGGTCCACAGGAATTTCCCGTTGTTTCTGCCGTTTCACTGAGAACTGAATGGTGAACTGTCTCATGGTTCGACAAGTGCCCTCCCTTTCAGCTAGCTAGCTCGTTGGTATGGAAGGCGTACTCAGCCGCGAAGTGGCAGCATTGGAGGTGTTGTAGGGATTACTAGTTCACGTCGCTTTATGCATCTCGCTCAGCTCGTTAGATGCGAGCCAGCCGACTAAAAAATGGCCCTGGCTTCACACAACTCCAGATTCACACCCTGCAACGGAGAAACACCGTCTGCTATCACATCGACACGGGAGCGGAGGATAATGTCAGTAGCAAGCTACAAAAGCGCCTTCTTCAGAAGATGGGATCTTGAAGCTCCCATGTGCTGCGCTTTTGTTGTTTTCATCCAAAGTGTACCTCGCCACCTTGCCGGTAGAGACAGGGCAGTCAAACTGCTCCACGGAACTACGGAAGGGTAGCAGACATTAAGAAACACGGATAGCGAAGCACGGCCTGAAAGCCGCAGCAGTGCAGAAATTGTAGTAGTTCCTTGGAAGAGATGAGTCAGCGGTGGAGGTTACCACCGCTCTCTGCAAATGCACACAGCGGTGGCATACGTATGCAAACACATAGGTAGCAGCACGTTTTTGTCAGAATGAGGGTACTTGCCTATGTCTCCAGGCATTCAAGTAACGATGCGTTCAACTCGTAGCTGCATTCTCCTGCAGCTCCAACGGCAACTAACTGTCGTCCGCTTGTATTTATGTCGTTTTTCAAATCCGTAGACCCAGTGTGTTTAAGACCTTAGCCGCAACACGGGCTCAGGCCCACGTTGCGGATGAGGTCTGCGTAATTTTCAAATAGCCTCCATGAACTGCATTTAGACATTTCCTAGAATTTCAGCAGAATCCCAGCGTTAAGACTGCCAATATCTGTATCTACTTGTTCGCTTTGCTCTTCGCTTTGCTTTTGCCGTATTTCCTACAGATGCGAATGTTTACCATGTGACTGAAGTCCAAAATATCCATTAGAGGGCACAACACACTGCGTTCGCAGGGTAGAGTTAGCTTTGGCCAGATTCAACCCCACGGTGAGTAGGAAATGGCACTGGAGCTGGCGATCCCAGGGGAATGGCACTTGAGCATATCTCAATCGTAGGCGTGTAGGAGCAATGCACCTAAAAGCTGACGGAAAGATGCTCAGCACGTGGAAGTGGCAGCAGCTGCAGCAGTCATGATAGGGGAAGTACTGCAACAGAGCTTCTCTCCTACCTACAGGTGATGCGAAATTAAACAATTTACTTGAAAATGCCAATGAGAAAGAGAGAGTCCCTTCGATGCCAGCTGGCGAGCTCGGCAGGCAATCAAGAGGCAGAGCAAGCGCACTGCAGCCTGGCTGCTCGCGGACAGTGAGTACTCAACAAACGAAGCCACCGAATCGTAAGAGGCACATATGAGCCCATTCGTCCTACGGGCCCCATGAAAGCCTCCCCATGATGTACGCTGTGCTGCATTTCACAGCCATCAGTATATTATGAAGCCTTGTCTGCGCAGACGCTTAGTTGCCTCAAGACGCATTGCTCGTTACAGATTCATCATTAGTGCACAAAGCGTCCCAATGAGCATTTACCCTTACTGCCCCTGCTGGTGCGGGCAATTGCCCACTTTGAAGCTGGCTTTGAAAACAGAAGACATTGACGAGCGTGCAATTACATAACTCCAATGAGATGATGCTGTACAAAGTAATGCGTGTCAAGATCTTGCGCGTTGCGCGTCCGTAACGCTGACGCAAAATGCACGTGCTTAAAGGCAAACCAGAGAAGAACCAAGCGACCAGCGACCGTTTAGAGGAAGGCAGAAAAGAAGTTTAAAACCCCTCAACATCCATTCTGGAAAAAAAACAAGAGGCCGCCAACCTGCCGTTACTGGGACTTCTCAAGCTCACTGCTGCTGCTGCTGCCAAGTTTCTTAGATAGCGGTAAAACACGCCAACACTTCGATGCGGCAGGAAAGCCTCTCCACCCAGCGCTCTGCTTCTCCAGTCTGTGCGGCTTTAATGCCGCGCCGCGGAGTCATACTGCACTAGGTCTGTTGCTGGCAGGCGCAGCAGCAGCAGCGACAATAATTGCGCTGGAGCATTTGCTATTCATAGAGTACGAGGCTCTTCATGGATGCAGTGCATAGCACAGTTGATGCGCAGCAAGAGGGTTACAATGCGGCGGTCTGCAAAATCGTGTGAGAAGGCGTTTATATATTCCAGCGGGTTTTGTCTACGCTCAGTATCATTTCCACTGCGGCTGCTGCTGCTACTGGGTGAGCTGCCTGCCCACTCTTGGACCTGCTGCAGGAGAGGCTTCAAAAGCTCCCTCAAAATCATTTTATTTGCTGCTTTGGCTGCTGTTTTGATGCCTACAGGCTTGTCTTTCCAGACCGCGACTCCTTGCCCCAGCCAATATTTTATGAATGGCAATTCGGCAAATCGACGAGGAGCCGTCACTTCTCCTGCATGGAACCATAAAGCGTCAAATGCGCAGGATGGAGGTAGAACCGTTGTGGTGCGGGGAATGCAAGAACCTATTACCGACGCACGAAGAATGACAACTATAGCAGCAACCCCAGCAACAGTAGGCGAGGTGGCAGCGACAAAACCAGCAACAAACTCACCGCAGAGCATGCGGAAGGTGATGGGGTTGTGCTGGGGTTTGTTGTTAGCTACGGGTTTTAGGGCTGCTGCCTGCCGTTTCTGTACCGCCATCGACCGCTGCTCTTCTGATGCCCACCGCAGCAAATTCTTGATGAGTTCCTCTGGGTGCAAAGTACTTGTCCTATAAAAGGACTTGAACACACGTGACCCGCCAGCCTGAAATGGAGACGAAACGAATGAGGTTATCCGTGTGCGCCGCTGCGTATCTACGCCTTCTGCTGTTACTGCTGAGTTTGCTGCAGCACTGGCCGTGACTGCAAAGGCCTCAGCAGCAGCATCAGCAGCTGCTGCAGAGGCAGTAGCACCAGACGCTGCTGCTGCTGCAGTTGCAGCCGTTATTGCTACAGAAGTGGCGGTCCCCCTTTCCGCGGGGTTGTTTCTGCCACATCTGGCTGATGCGGCTACACCGGTGGCGGTGTCTGTAGTTGCAGCAGCTGGAGGGCCTGGGGCACTCGCAATTTCTGTGGTCTCTGCTCTCTCCTGGTTGGAAACAGCGGGGCCTCCAGACCGGTTGGCGGCAGAGAAGATCTGAGGCAAAGAAGCACTAAAGAGGAATGTGAGATCGACACTAAAGCTATCAAGGGGGCCGCAGATCAAAACAACGAAAAGTAGACAAATTACGAAAAATATAACATTAAGAAGTGTGCAGAAAACGTGAGAGTCTAAACGGCAGGGGATACAAGGGGGCGGCAAAGCGACGTAAGCAAGAGGCGAACCAGATGGTGGAGCAGGCAGATATGCGCACATATTGAGGGGAACATTCACAAAGGCATCAACGCTAACAGAGACACACAAACATTTCGTAGGGAGCTGTAAGGGCGTCTCACGGGCGCAACTTTGTCCACCCAGTCGGAAACCAGAGACGCGTAGCAGTGCCGGCCCCCGCTGACCGACCGACAAGAACAAAGAGGACCCTTCTTGCACGGGAACTTGGGAGCCTCTGGAAGACATTTTTCTTGGTGCGCCCAAAGCACAATCAACCGCTGGCCTCTGCAGCCCCACACGATTAAGGAACACAGTAACAGAAGTCTGCGCAGACGTACACGCTGTATGTGTGCGTGCGGCCACATTCAGCGAACAGTGGATACGCAACAGAAACAGATGCAGAGGAGGAGATGCAAGGAAAGGGTTGAGCAGAGCCTGACGAACCTTTGCACCAAGTCCGCCAAAGTCACTCCCTCTTCCAGGCCAGGGCCTAGGAAGTCCCCGAGAGAGGCAGCAACGCAGAAGAGGACCTCCGTCGCGGATATTTCTTTCAAGCGGCAAAAGGTCTCTCCCACAACGCCTTCGTCCGGCACACAACTTAAAAATACAACCTCCGTGGGATGTGCGACAAGGAATGCATGCACTTCCTCGAAAACCCTCATCTGCACACGTATGCACCCATCATTCCGGTGAATTTTCTCTCCCAGGCACCTCGGAACAAAACAGAACATCACATAACACAAAGCAACAGGAGAAAACAGCCAAAGGGGCCACCTTATGCAGCTGCTCCAAACAGGAACAGACAACAACGTAACTGCGGAGCTCCGCTACAGTGAAAATCGATACAGCAGCAGCAGTAGGGACGAAAGGCTTGCCAAGGGGACGGTGAGCACGCCTCCATGCGCGCAAAAGGGGATAGACTGGTGGAGAGGGACGCCTGCCTGCTCCATTTCCCTTGCCACTGTCACTCGTCGCGCACCGGTTGCTAGAGCAAGGTCCCTGTGCGCTGCTGCAGCTGCTGCAGCAGAGGCAACACCTTGCTGCCCGCTGAGGACGCGCTTCGAGTGGTGGTGGTGGCAGTGAGAAGATGTGCTCTTTCCCTCTTCAGCCGCCGATACAGGCATATCTTGGTGCTCATGCTCTTGCCGCTCTTGATGGCTGGCACCTGCCACCTCGAATTCTTCAGCCTTTTCCAGCTGGTGTTGCAGCTCATGCTGATGGTGCGGATGATAGTCACCAATGTGGGCATGCTGATGGCCATGTCCATTTGAAGCCATCGAGGTCGGGGACATGGGACAGATTGAATCAGCGGTCGTACGGGTTGGTTCTTCTGTGGTATCTACTGCGCTCATTTCTGCAGCTGCCCATGGGGAGCTAGACTTGCACTTTGAAATGTTGCTGCTGCTGCTCGTTCCTGGAGCGGCCGCAGCAGCGAAACGCAGGGAGAGACGACGACCAAGGCTTGCTGCGGCGGAGTTGCGGTGCCGCCGACGGGGTCGGAGGCGGGGTGCCAGCGTGACTGACTCGAGGCTCTTACAGCAGCGCAAGTCGAGCCACCTAATGCCCCTGCGCAACTGCTCGTAGATGCTCAATTGCTGCAACAAAAGGGCAGTAAATAGTCAGCCATAAGTAAGAATTAACCAAACGAATTGCAAAATCAGAGACGCACGGTTACACGCACCCAGATTGCAGTAGCACCATAAAGCGAGCTCACACAAAGCGCTATATAAAAAATAGTATAAATTGAACTAAAACCACTAGCCATCGAAAGAAATGCGTAGCAATAACGATAGAGTACTATTAAAAAGAATAGTATACATTAAACTCGCCATAGAAAAAAAGCTTAGCAATAGTGACATCACCAACAAGAGCAACGCCAGCATTAGTAGCAAAGACAACAGCAGCGATAAAACAACTGTTGCAAGAAGACCAACAGTGACGCCAATATTACAACCAAGCTAATACCTTGTCTCACTGCTGAGCTGCTGAGAGGCGTCTTACCTGGCAGCTTACCCAGACCTGCACAAGACGGCTGTAATACGCTTGTTGTTCGTTGAGCCTCGCTACCCTCCAAGAGGCGCTGTTATGAGTTGCTGCAGGAGTAAAGAACGCCCAAAGTATTCATATGTTTCACATCTTCCTTCTCCGTCTGCCACTAACCCCAACATCCTGTCTGTTTTTTGTTTGCGTTGCAGCCCGTGCAATTTTCCTCGTAAGCATCTTCTCTTGTTAATCTTTAGCTGCTTTTTCCTGACTCTGTCAATTCTTGCTGGCTTAAGGCTGCGAGCTTCGTTCTATGGCTTCTCTGCCTCCTGACTTTATCTCTCTCACGCTTCCATTACTCTGTAAACACGCCAATTGCATGTCCCTCACTTGCTTCTTTGCTTGTCTACGTCTGTGCCTGTGCTAGGATTTCATTCCATCAACTCTTCGCGTCTGCCTGCCTTTCTTTTTCTCCCTCGTGTCCCTTTATCTGACCTATTATCTCGTGTCTGTGTCGGCTTTTGTCTTCAGTAAATCTCCCCTATCTGCTGGCTACTAAGCCCTAGTTTGTCCAATGGCAGTTGTCTTCTGTTCGTTCTTGGCCTTCTCAACTTGCCTGGTATGATCACCTTTTCTAAAGGGACATTTTGCAAGCCAAGTGTCCCCATCCAATTTTGTAACGAGGGTCGAAGACCGTCAGCCTCCTCTTCTCCCCCGCTGCCTTTGTTTTCTTCAGTTGTGTTTTTAATATCCCGGCACCCACTGCTGTCTCTGCTAAAGCACCTGCTACTGCTGCTGCTGCTTCTGCTATTGCCAGTAGCAGGGTCAGTAGTCGAAGCCCCATGCGGCGTTCGACGTCTGGAAGACCGCCGCAGCAGCCGCTGGTGAGAAAAGCGGCTCCGCTGTCTAAGAGCCTTGCTGCTCTGAAGCCTCCGGCTGCTCGCGCCTCCCACTAAGAGACTCTTGTCTCCCCCGCTGTCACTGCTGGTGCAGCCACTGCTGCTGCAGCAGCTGCAAGGCGACTCCACAGTCCCCTCTGACGACGACACCTCACCAACATCTGCAGCGCCATCCAAAACATAAGAGTATACACACCATAAGAAAGGAAGGCAGCTGCCGCAGTTAACAAAGCGCCGGCCACTGCATGCGCAGCACTAGCAACGGTACTATAGACACTGAAAGCAGCTGCTGCAACGCCACCGGCAAACAGAACTCCAGCAAAAGTATCAGCAACGGCCGTTTCCCCAGGGGTGCCAACAACAGGGACTGCAACAGGAGCACCAACGGAGCAATTGCAGCGCAAGTAGCAGCAATGCAATGGCAGCAGGTACACTCTCAGCTCACCGCGGTGCTCTTTGCGTCGCAGCCGTGAATTACGGCTGCGACGGTCTCGCCAGTGCTCTAAAGATGAATCTCTGCTGTTATAAGAACTCCTGCCTCGGCTGCTGCTGGTTCTGCTGCTGTGTTTGCTGCTATCCCGTTGTAGAGAGGTGCCACCTGATACAAGCGTCTCGATTATGAGAGTTGCAAGCCTGTTGAGAGGCAACACCTGCCAATCGGACGGCCAAAACGACCACAACGACACGTCCCCAGTTGCTGCTGCCTCGTCAGCCGGTGCTGGCTCGTCTGTTGCTGTTGCAGGTGCATCTTCTGCTGTTTCTGTTGCAGTTGCTGTGCTTTCAGGCGCACTCGTCCCGCGACAGAAGCCTTCAGTCGCGCGCCCTTCGCTGCCTGCCCTTGTCGCGTAGGTTCTTTTGTCCTCGTCACCATCAGAACTAGAAGTAACACCAGCAGGCCTCGCTGAGGAGGCATCTGGCCGCTCCATCAGGGCAGTACTCCTTGAGACAGCGTCGTCTGCAGTCACCACTCCCCACGATCCGCTGTTCCCCACGTTCCCTTCACCTGCTGCTCCAGCTGCTCCAGCTGAAGGGCAAGCAGTTGCTGGTGCTAGTCCTCCCTCTGTTTCTGAAGGCCTGCACGCGCCTGTTGACAGGATACCCGCCTCCTTGAAATCGTGCTCATCTCCTTGCGGGCTCTCCATTTGCGCCCTCCTATTCGATGTCGTTGATGCGTTACTGCTACTGCTGTTACGTTGTTGCCCTGTTCCTCTTACATTGGATGCGCGTCTCGGTTGTGGGCCACCGTAGAGAATGTGCAGCTACTCTTGCCGCACTTCTCGCTGCTGCGGTGCTGTTCGTGCTGCTGCCTTTATTGCTACTTGCAATCGGTCGAAGATTGTAGCCACAGCTCTTGCTAGGCATGGCGCAACACGCGCTGCAGTTTCTTCTGCTGCTACTGTGTCAGCTTTAAACTGCGTCACATGCCGCTTTTGGGACCGGGCTGTGGCGCCGAGAACTTTGCTGTTGTTTTTGCTGATACAAAAAATCCCTGCCGTTGTTGCTACTGATCTTATCGTCCCGGTGGAGGCTTTTCCGTGATGCTGCATTAGGAGCCTCTGTGCCACCTTCGGTTACAGGTGCTGTCTCCGCTGCTGTGGCTGATGCAGGAGCAAAAGAAGGTCCAGTGTTGCTGCTGCCTGGAAGCACCGGATCACGTCTTCCTCCACAGCAGTCCGCAGAGCGTTTTGAGGCAGCCTGCTTTCTTTCGTTGCGTCTGGTGCCGCTGCCCTTGCTGCTGTTTGTTTTTGGCACACCGCCGTAAGGCATGTGGTACAGGTAGTTCGCTAAGTCTTTGTCTAAAGGCTTCAACAGCGAACCCACACACCCAAACACCCCGGCAATCAGCAGCAGCAGCAGAAGGAAGACTAACAACACCGCAAACACAACGAGCACCACGGGCAGCAAAATTATCGCCAGCAGGAGGCTACACAATGATGGCATTGCTGCAGAGGGACGCGCATATCCCGATCTCTGCTGCTGCTCTCCTCCCTGCTGCGTCTGCTGAGGCGGCGGCAGTAACCGCTGAGGTTTTTTTAGTGCAATATCAGCCCGCTGGTACTCTGCTGCTGTTTTCCCCGCTGTACTCTTCCCGTCGAGTGAAAGGCCACGTTGCTCCGCTAAAGCTCAGCTTGTTGAGTCTTAGGCACACCAAAACCCTGGAACGGCACCGCCATACCTGCCGTCAAGCGCTTTGCATTAAAAGGTTCAGTAGCTGCTGCACCTGCTGCTGACGATGGCTGCCGCTGCAGTTCACGCTGAGGCTCTGCGTGGGAGACGCTCCAGTTGCTTTAACGTCTGCTTCTCCTGGGACAAATGGCTAGGGGAGGGGACATGTGAGGCACAGAAAGTGGAGCAGCAACACCAAGACCACTTGCGAGGGCAGCAGGGCCTCGGGGGGCCCCTCATGCGCAGCCAAGGAACCACTGTTAAGCGGCAATCTGCAAACGGCAAACAAAAGTTTTAATGAGCTGAATGATTATTAACCGAAGCTTTTAGCGCTGCAGCGCTACTATAGTGTAGAGCTGTGGCTGCTGTGACTGGCGAGCAGTAGCAGCAGCATTGGTGGCGGCAGCGGCCTAATTATGCTGAAGAGCTTTTAGCCAATACTTCACTGCGCAAATGAGACAATGTCGCTTTTAATCGTTTGCTACAGGCATTGTGTGTTTCTAGAATTAAAACGAAGACAGACTATGGGCTGCAGCAGAAACAGGAGCAGCAGCTCCTTTGGCTACTGCTGCTGCTGCTGGAGCTGCACCGCCTGAGGTGACACTACACGTCCAGTAGAGGAAACGCCATATCAGCGGCACTCTATCAGCTTAAGGGGCACAAAGACTAGAGTAGCTGTAACAGCACTTGCAGTAGCTGCAGCGCATATTTTCACTTCGGTCTCTGTACTCCGGGAGCCAGTACGTGCCGAGCCGCTGTAGGTTGCTCGTGTGTCCTACAGCACGAGCAGCGGCTTCCTAGACCAAAGATACCCTAAAAAGCGACAAAACATCTTTTGGTTTTTGCTAAGGAGGCGTACCCGGTACACACGCAAGGCGCAACCGCTGTTACCGCAGCAGCCCCATCAGCGGCAACGCAACAAGAGTGGCAGCTGCAATACAGGCGTCTACCCGCGCGTCACTTACTCGGTTCATTCTTTCAGTGCAGCTTCTGGTCATGCAAAAGCAGTGGTGTCGTGAACAGCTGTAGCAACACCAGCAACAACAGCAGCAGTCGTGTCCTGGCGGATCGACAACACCAAGTGCTGCTGGTTAAACCTTCGTATTCAGCTGGTCTTGCGCCACCACACCGGAAGCCGAGTGTAGTGGTTGCCCGACTGTAGCAGCCATAGTGCCAGCAGTTGTACTCCTGCAACGGGAACAGCAACAGCAGCTGCGCTGAGAGCAACAGCGAGTAAAGATGGTGACTTTGTCTGGAGGCGATCTTGTGCAAGTCATTGACTATGACGGGGAGATGACGTAAGGCTCGTGATCTTGCCGTTCTGTGTGGTACTTCTGTCTCGTTCGTGACTGGTGTTTCCCCTCCTGTTGTTGTTGATGCCGTTGTTGTTGTTTCTTTAGGCATGGACACCTTGGCTAGTAAAAGTTTCAAATGCTTCTGTTAGTGAATCCCCCTTTACTATATTTTCCTATGTCGTGATCTATATTACATATATCCGTGCTAGGTGCGATATTCCTCAATTTCTGCGTTCACTTCTGCTTCGGCTTCTAGTTAGCTGAAAATATCCCTTGAAACTGTAGCTCCCTTTGCTACTGTTGTTTCTACTGCTGTTGATTTGCTGTTGCTACTGGGGCCAACACCAGGAATATTAGCGATTATGAAAGGTTAGGCAGCGACTTGCGCAGAAAGGCACAGAGGGAGGCACAACGAGACTGAATCGCAGAAAGGGACGAGAGATGGAGTCACGTATTCATGGGACACGGAAACGCTTACAAATAAATTTGCTGCCAGAATTATAGATAGGCATGGTCACAGGAGGGAAGAGAGCCATAGGAATTAGGGGGAAAGTACGATAATTAGAAGACAGAATAAGCATCGTTACAGATGTACCTCAATGTTAAGAAGGCGCAGTCCTTTAGTACCAACACAGTACTTCGAGGGGCACAAATCGGTCCACCCGTGGCATATAGCCTCTGCATTGTGCGTTTGCGTCGGGCGGACATACTGGTGAGCCACTGTGCATGTACATCTCAGTGCTGATCTGGAGAAGTGGATGAAGGACCAAGGACTTGCAGACGTTGGTTTTAGTTTCAATGTTATCACCATCTTGGGCTCCCAGAGCAGTGGCAAAAGTTCGTTTCCACTGCTGCTGTTGTTTGCTGCTGCTCCCTTCGGTTGCTGCCGTTCGCCGCTGCTTTCACTTACTGTTTTTTGCTCCCCTGAAACGGTATTGCGTCACCCTCATCATCCTGGGGCTCGGGGAGTTGGAGGGTGTTCTTCTTGCAGCTGTTGGATTTGCTTCTACTGATGTAGTGGTTGCAGGGTTTGCTTTTCTGTTACGTGAATGTGCAGGCACGCTGATGAACTCTCTATTCGGATGCAGCTTTCAGGTGATGGATGCCCAAAAGGGCTACAGCCAGACCACGAAGGGATTGTGGGTAGGGCGGGATAACCTCCATGGTGCAAGCAGCGGCAACAGCACTAGCAACAGCGATGACAACAGCGGCGGCGAAAGCAAAAGCAGCGACAGTTTGACTCTGCAGCGTCCAGTGCTGATACTGGATGTTGAGGGCCTGGATTCGCGTGAACGGGGAGACCGACGACAGACATACGAGAATTTTTTCTCCCTGTTTGCTCTTGCCCTGGCGGATTGTCTCCTTGTGAACATCAGCTGCTCGGCGCTTGGCTGTCACACTGGTTCCGGCTTTGGCCTTCTAAAGACTGTTATGGAGGCTAACCTGGAACTTTTCATGCGCCAGGACGAGTGGGCCTTGTGCCCAATCTGTCACACGAGACACCAGACGCAGTGAACACGGTTATGTGCTTTCTGCTGGGCATTTCCTGTCCTCTTTGGGGTTTTTCTCCTCCACTTTCGTTTTTGTGTCAAGTTTTGCCATGTATAAATTAATTAAGCTTCATCTCCCTTTTTTCGTATTCGTCTATTTGTTTCTCTGTGTATCTTCCATGGTCCATTTGTCATCTGCAAGTCTTTTCCCGACTACGTTCTTCGTTGTCCTAGACTGATTCGACTTGTTTGCCTGCTTGTGCCCATCGGTGGCCTTTTTTGTGGTTAATGAGGAAAATGAATGTACCAGCTGTGTGCTTTGTGGCGTAGTCTTAGTGCTTGTCCGTAAGCACCTCACCTGTTTTTGTTGCTTTTGTTTTCACATGGTCGGGAGTGTCTCCTGGTTTACGTTTTCTCTAAGCCATTCTGTCTTTACTTGGCGTAAATTTACCCGTAGGCCAGCTGAAATTCGTTCATGCATGTGTATCTTCCTTGTGATATTCACAGCGCTCCTAAAACGATTCTACTCTTCGCTGTGCGCGACTGGGCACCAACCATCGTCCCTGAAGGTGTGTTGCTGCTGATGTTGGTAGTATTGCCTTCCGTGCTGCCATTGTATTGATTTTGCTGCGTTTTGCTTTGTGTACGCTGAAAGGCTTGTGACCTATTGTTATACAAGTTTGTTTGTGCGGACAGATGTTATGAAGGAAAGGATTGTGAAGGACTACGTGGATAAAATCTGGAGTGAAATCGAGAAGGTACCTCTTGTGCTTCATTTTTCACTGCTTTCCTTGCTGCAACACTTTCACATGGCGGTTAATTGCTATTTAGTGGTGACCGGACTCAATCCATTTCTCGAAGTACCCTGTGGAGGGAACGCTGCACATCTTCTACCCAAGCAACAGCTGCAGGCCCCAGCAGCAGCAACGGCCGGCAGCGTTAGAATTGTGCATTTTTCTTCCTCAGCCTGACTCTGCAGCTGACAGATCGGCTGAGGATTTCTTCACAGTTGAGGTCGTGGGACTAGCACACAAACTACTCGCTCCGGAAGAGTTCGAAAAGGACGTCATTAGGCTCAGAACCAGGTACTGCAGCACTAAGAAACTGGTTGCGTCGCGTCAGCGGTAGCATCTTTGGAATTCTAGTTTGCCTAAGGAGCAGCAGCCATGACAGACGGGGTGTGCACTGGCATTGCTTATGTACCCTGCTTGCGTGACGGAGTGAACGCCAGTGTCAAATTCTACAAACCCACATTTTTGCACTGCTTCAGCCTTTTCTATAGCTGTGTCCAGCATCAGTGCTGCTGCGTGCATTTTCTAATGCTGTTTGTCTTCCTTTCGCAGATGGGCAAACGAATTTAGCCCCAAGTCGTACACTCGTAACGTTCCGGCCGACGGCTTCGGTGCGTATGCGAAGAATATCTGGGTAAGGACGAAACCACTACATAGAGAGCAGTTTCAATAGCAGCAGCAGGGGCGGTAGCACAATTCATAGCAAACGCAAGCCTACATGACAAGAAAAGGCTACAGCAAGAACAACGTGATCTCATAATGAAAGGTGTAGACGCACTAGAATTTGTCTGGTTTAATAACCATAGGAACGGCTGCTTTTGCTACTGTTGCTGTTTAGGAGACAATAAAGCAGCAGTCTCATCTGGATATTCCAAATCAGAAGGAAATGCTTGCGATCTACCGATGCCAGGACTTGAAGCAGCAGGCACTGCAAATGGCGGCTTCCCGTGCTGCCGCTCTGCAGCAGCAGTACTTGAAACCCACGGCAGCAGACACAGCAGCAATAAAGAAGGAGATGACTACTATCGTGCAGGATGCATTAAGTGAGTCACTGCACTTGTATGTATTTTCTCTGCTCCTCTGTCACAACCATCCGCATTATCTGCCTGTCTGTGTCGCTAGAAGAAAATGCCGGCGCGTTCTGCGCCCGATATTTCTGACGTTACAGTTTTTAGTGCCATGTGGTTGCATATGCAGCACAATACCTGTCACAGGCCACGCGGTATCAGGAGAAGATTTGCACAAGTGTCAAGACGGAGCTCATCGATGCGTCAGCTGCTGCTCCAGTATTGCCGTTGCCTTCTTCGTAGCTCTGGTTTTTCTGTTGCCACTGCTGCTACTTCCTGTGCCATAGTCGCTGAAATTCCTGTTGTGTCGTTCTTCCTCTTGTTTCTGTCATTTGGTTCATTTTTGGTGGCTCAGCCTTATTTCCACTCTGAAGCCAATTGTAGACTCGCAGCTTTCTGAAGCCCGAGCTCGAATTGCGCGGAAGTACAAGGACGCACTTAGGTACGACAGCGTTTGCAGCGCAGACAGCATCAACTGCTGTAGGCTTCTGCAGAAATATCATCATTTGCAGGCAACTGCAGATTTAGCACTATGCGCAACGCCGACACCGCTTGCTCGTACCCCTACCAACTGCAGCACTTACAACAGCCGCAGCGTCACAGTAGCTGCAGCTGTGAGAAGGGATATCTGCAAGCATTCTTCTGCAGTGTTGTATATCGTGTGCCTTGAAACGATCGAGAGCGGTGTTTTACTGCTGCTGCTGCAACAGGGAGGCCTACACGAGGGATCCGAGGAACAGTGCTGCGTCGGTGAGCTCTGAATGACAGTACGCAACGTATAGGACCATTGGGAACAGCACTTTAAGGCGGCGCTTGATAGCAGACAGAGGGCTCCAGTGACATGCCCGGAGTATGGCGCACTGCTGTTGCTCCTTTTTCTACACCTGCAGGCGAAGGGTGAGCTGATGCTTGAAGCCTGGGCTGCTTTCCGTAAGAGAAGGTACGGAAAGGCCTCCTACTCTGCAATTTCTGTAGCAGTCGCTGCTTTCGTTGCAGTCACGCTGCAGACATATGGTATAGTGAGCATTCATGCACGTATTTCACATTCCCAGATGGTAGGTTGCTGCTGCGTTTGCACTCGTAGTGCTGGGGCGATTGCTGCCGCGACTGCGGACTTTGAGGCCTTCAGTGAAGAATGCAGCATTGAAGTGGAGAGCGGCGATCGTCTTCATTTCCCCTCCAGTCTCATCGCTGATTCGCTGCGCCGTGAGGAGCACTTACATCTGGCATCCGGCGCGTGCTGCATACTGCTGTATCGCTCTCCCTATCTGTGTGGCTAGTCCCACTCCAACTTATCAATTATTGCTCCCTTGTCGCGACCCGCCTGCCTTTGGCTCTTGTGTTTTTCTGCAGCGTGCATCTCTCTTCCTGTGTTTGTGTTGTTTTTCTCATCCGCGCGGCTGTTTCTAACAGCTTTGAATGCACCTGCGGCACATGCATCAGCTTCTTTCTTAAATGCCTCCAGTATGTGCTCATATCGTTGCTGTTAGGTTGTGCATATATTTGGCTGAAGCACGTGTGTTTTGTTTGTGAATTGACAGAGGAGATGCAGCAAGAGGTGCAGGCCATCCGAGAAAACCAGCAAAAATTTTTGGATGAGGCCATTGCCGTCAGTCTTCACCCCTTATGCAGATGTTTTGTGTTCTCGTGCTTCACCCTGCAGATTCAGGTTTACTGTCAAGGCTTTAGTTGTGAGGAGTAGCGTTTATTCAAGGGGTGTGTTTTTGCTGTGGCACTTGCACAGGAGAAGTGTGCTGATGGCTTTACGGGCATTGACGCTCTGCTCTCAGCCCGTGGTGGGTTGGCCTAAAGTGCCTTGCAGCTGCGGTATTCATCTTTACCTGCCGCTTCTGCGGCAGCAGTAGTTGCAGAATCATCAGCTGTTGTATTACCATATAGTGGGATTACATTGTTTCCCGTGTGATTTTGTTTTCTTCCATCAGATTTTTCTCCCCCGGCTTTCTGGGAAGTCTGCCGAGGGCGGGCTGCAGCAAACGCAACGGTTTGTGCTGCTCACTTCGGTGCGGCTGCACGGGGACTTGATGTTGACACTGACGAGGCGGGCGCAGACGCAGCAGGAGCTGCATGGGTTGCTGAGTTTGCAGTTCGCTGCCGAGTCGTGGCTCTGTGGCAGCTTAGAACTTCCCTTTCGAAGCTTGCAGGAACACTGCATGTTTATGTAACTGAAAGGTGGGAAGGAGATCCAGGGATCCGTATCTTCATCGGTTTAGCTCGCCATTTTGGTTGGAGTTTCGATGGGTCGATTGACGTGTTTTTCTTCATTCCCTGTTGTTGCTTGCGCACTCGATTTAGGCCCTTTGTGTCGATTATGTGTTTCCATTTCAAAATCCCGGCCGTTCTTGGCGGTGTATTATATAGCGACTGTCTCTCATGTGGATCGCCCTGCTTGTTCCGAATATGTCCTACTACGTTTGATCTCTCCATCCGATCCATGCCCTCTCCATGCTTGCATCTATCATATTATGATTAGTGGGCTCACTGTTTCGTTATCGTGCCTGCCTCTGTGCCTCATAGGTTCACAATGTTTTTCGCCTTTGATGAAGATGATCAGCCGAGACGGTGGGAAGTACTCTCCGCGGAGAAACTTCAGTCCCTGTTCTTGACAGCCAAGTCCCAGGCGCTCTGTCAGTGCCCACGTATATCCCCTTAAGAATTTCAGAATTGGTTGTAGAGACGTATTTAGGTTTGGGGGATGTGCAGTGGTGCGAGATTGTGTGACAACAGCTTGAGGTTTTAGGGGCATGCTAGTGGTGTACGGCCAAGGGCTACTGCGGTGTGTTTCGCAGTGCTTATTCCCACACTACGCGAGATGCAGTTAGAACGGCTCTCTCTCTCTTCTCCCACCCTGGAAGCCGCTGCTGGAGAGACAGAGACGGGGAAACAGACGGACGCTGCAGCACAGGCACACGCCACCAACGAAAAGCAGCCAATGCCCGCTGCCTTCTATAGACCGCTCATAGATTCCATATCTGAGCAAGCCATACAGAGGAGAGCAGTCGCGTCGATGCAACAGCAGTGCCGCGAGGCCCAGCTGCTGCAACAGCGCTGTGGCAGTGGGGCTTCCTGGCGTTCTGTTCCTCTGTGGGGTTGGCTGTTGCTTATCTGTCTTGGGTGGAATGAAATAGGAATGGTGGTGTCTTTTGCTACCAGCAACTGGCTGATACTGCCTCTTCTTCTGCTTGGGCTGCTTCTGGGTGCTGCGGTCCTCGTCAGCGGCCAGATGGGGATTGCCACTAACAGCGCCAAACACATGACGCAACTAGTTCGGCTCCTGCTGCAGCCGTTCCTATACGGGTTGCTCAAGAGAGCAACAGACTTGATGGATGTAAGCCTGTAGCCTATTTTAGCGCAGTTATAGAGCCGGGGCTTGTATAGCAATTTCGTTTTCGGTCTTCCAGGTAGGCTTCATTGTCATTGCATTCCCTTGTCTTGCTTTGGTGGTGGTACAGCCCAGTGGACTCGCTGGACGAGGCATTACCGTTCCGCCTGCAGGGGAGTCCAAGTCTCCTCGCAAGCCTAAGTAAGCTACCCCAAATAGGTTAGCCTAGCTAGCATACTAGCATTGCAGCAGCCAAGCTGTGTAACTACCGAGTTGCGTTCGCAGTTGTCACAATGCTGCAGGGAGCGCGATGAGGTGGCGGAGCTGAAGGAGAAAGTCGCTAAGCACGTCCAGTCCAAGTGATACTGGCACATTGCATAGAGGACACGCACAGCCAGAAGCAGCACAAGAAACGGCTTTTGCTGTTGCAGACGGTGTGGCAGCAGAAGCTTCTGCTGCCACTGGCATCGCAAAGCAGCGAGGTGATGAAATCACCTCGTCTCTGCACCTGCTGCAATGACTTTAATTTCCGTTTACACGTACAGCAGCATGCAAACGATGCATTTTTGTATAGACCCGCGCTGTTTAATGATAATTTTTTAAGCTTACCGGGGATGTGTGCTAAATGGTAGTTGTTTGCTCTGCACCGCATTTCCACATCCAGGAGAATACATATGGTGCTGGTTTTTCTGTCTTTGTCAGACAGCGTGAGGCCGTGAGGCCTGTGGGCCTTTGTCGGAGGCTTTTCATCTCAGGTGCCTACTAGGGAGGCAGTAGAGATAGAGGTTAATGGTTTAACAGGCCAGCCTGGAATCTAGTAGCTGGCGCAGCCCATCGTTGTCTGTACGTCTAGTATAAGTGAACGTGCGCAGTATTATATAGAATACGCCTGGACAAGCCTTAAGGTGATAGTTTCTTCCCACATGGGATTTGTGGCATTTGCCCTAGTATTTACAACACCTTTCGGTCTGAGCTAGTTACATGTTCCACTGATTCATTTTCAAGACAAACTACGTGGTTCGTCTATATTCAAATCACGGGGTCTACCTTATGGCTCCAGCTCAGGTTCACCAAGCTCGCGTCCGAGGGAATTCATTTGTAGTTTGAAGGCGCTCAGGGATGACGTATCGGGACCGGGTTAGAGAACTAGTGGGAGTTAGAGCATCCACAGGGATCCAGTGAATGCTCTAACTCCCATCCAAGGATTCACTAGCTGAAGGTAGCCACAAGCCTACGTTGGCCAGACAGGCGAAGGTTCAGACTAGCGAGGGCAAGGCACGAGGCTAGGTGAGCCTCACTCCGTGACTTGGCTACTGCCTCTCTTGCTACGAGCGAAGCCCTTCGGCGTTTCCCCGACCTCTCATGTCTTGTGGGCAGAGCCGAGGCAGACCTTCTGTATTGTCAAAGCACAGCGTGGTACACAGGTCCCACGCTCCACAGAAATGCAAGACGTCTTCACTCTCCAGGGCGAGTTCAAGGTTCTTTTCCAATATTACGACTACCAGAATGGTGCCATCATTCTACCATTTCGTTACGTTACACAGTGAGGGGAAGTTGGGTCGAGCTCGCAGTGAATGTTTTGCCGATCTATTCTGAGAGCACGATGTTTCTCCAGCTTTTTTTAGGTGAAGAAAACCCAGTTTGATGGCGTAAGCTCGTTAAACAGCACTGTCACAACGGGCCGTTTCGTGTTCTCTGTTCTTACGTCACAAAGCAAATACGGCCTCCCGCGGAAGTTCCAAGAGCTGCATTTTACCTTCACACAAATTTTTGGCGACATCAGCAACAAACTCTCTAAAAACGAGAAGAAAATGTGACATCGATTCCAACAAAGTTGGCTCCAGCCTGGTCCAAACCTGATGCCCTCCCTGATCCAATACTGCTGCCCTCGAGCAGGGAACGGTGTGGATTTCGAAAGGTCAGATTGTCACCTTGAGCCTTCCCTGACCAGTTGTCTCTCAAGCTAGCCGCGTCAAAAAATTAGCGGAAAAACATGGGGGTCAATGACTTGAGCCACCCAACACTGCACGGCGCATCTCCCGGGCCTTACTTCTTATTTTGCTTCTAATTCCGATCCCTGTCTTCGTGTACACAGTGTCCTAAAGAAGAAACAACCAGCAGAGCAAAAGGATACACATAGTAATCTTCAAGTAACGCTGGGAACAAAGTCTGGCGGCCGATGTTTCAAGCATTCGAAACCGAACTGCAGCCCTCAGATGCGGGCATTTCAACAAAGGCAGAGGTGACGGTGCACTCTGCAGCAGTGGTGCGGCATCCGCCGTCTGTGCACTGTTAGTTCAGAAAGACTGAAAAGCGAAGCTTGGTAGCGCACATTGAAGCAACCGGCGTAACATCTTCCAGATACGCGAAGTGACATTGAAGCTTGCGGCGACGGCAAGCCCGCAAGCAGCACGAAACTTCCGCCCAAGCACCTACGCAACAGCACAAGCGTAGCAACACACGTGGATAAACCCGGATATGGGCCAGTAGAGCTTAATCAACAGTATTGGCGGCATCAAAGGTAGCAATTACCCAAAATAGCACTTACAAATGGGCTGAGTAACACAGCAACTGTGGGTCTCCTGCTGCTCCACCCTGAGCCCTTCAGCTTATTCATTTAGTACGCGCTAGGGTACACATAAAAATGTAGCGGCATCTTTTGTCGCATTTGCCGTGAAAGCCATGGCACAGGGTGCAGTTCTTTGGTTCTGTGCTGTGGTATGTGCTGCTGCTGTATGTGCTGCAGCTGTTGTGCCACTGTTGTTATCGCAAAGATAGAAGTGAAGCTGACAGTACCGTGGCATATGCGCTGTAAGCCGAATGGGCTTTCTGTAGCATGGCGTAGACCGCTAAACTGAAAGGCTTAGTGCAATACGGCTCATTGCCTTGTGGCAGAAAAGCCCAGGACATTATTTGCTGCAATCCTCCCCTTCGTGTCACTGCTGCTGTTGCTGGTGGTGCTTCAAGCTCGTTAGCACGGTCCTTTGGAACCAAGTACAGGAGGCCGTCTTTCACCAAGAAGCGCTTCCGGAGAAGATCCTGAAACTCAAGAACACTAAGATGCTTGGAGGGCGTCTCGAGGTGCATAGAGGCCCACAAGTCGCAAGCTGAAAAAACAAAACAGTGTGCATCTTCTGCGCAATGCTCTCAAGATACTCCCATCTCCGTTTATCGTGCATGAAACTGCGTTAGCCATTTTGTTTCCCTGGTTTGTAATTCTACTGTGATATCTCTGCATCACCCGTTGCAAGCGCTTCCTCAGGTGTTAATGGCAAGTTTCCATCACTGTCAGCTGCACCCCGCAGGGCCCTCATTTGCTTCTTCGTCCGAACTGATTCTGCGGAGGCGGGGTAGGGCAGTGTCGTCACCCAAGTAGCCAGGGTGGTCCACTTTGAGCCAACTACTGCTGCGGTCTTGATAGCTGCCCTGCGTGCTGCCAGCATCTTCGAGGCAGCTCTGGACTCTGCGGCAAGAGCCGTGGCCGCAGTGCGCTCCATTAAATTCCCCAACATCCGCAAAAGTCTTGCAAACGCGCGAAGGGAGACTGCAATCCCCCCGTCACCGTCATGAAACTTCCGAAGAAGACCCACGGCAACCAGGTTCAGTCCGAAACTACAATGGCAGAGCAGGTTATTCGAGAGCAGCAAGAGCTTTTGCAAGATCTGCCACAAGCATAAAGTGACGATACCCTGTGCTTCCTGAAGCAGCAGGACAACGAAATGTACAGCGCTGTAAAAGAAAAGGCCAAAATGCAGCGGCCGCTGTGGGCTCCGCGCTCTGCAGGTTTTTTCCGGTTTCTGCACGGAGTTTTCGTCATCAGCACTTCGCCGAGTGAGCTGGGCTCTCTGATAAACGCCTCTCGCTTCACTGCTGTGTCGAGAGCGACACTGTTTTACGGGAGAAGATGCCGTGGCTCCGCATTGTGGTTTGGTGCACTCTGCCACTGGCACAGGCTTGCCAGAAACACGTGGAATGTGTCCGCAATGGAAAATATTTGAAGCTTCAAAAAACATGGAATGGTCGCGAAATGATTCTGTGCTTGTATCTGCTTTAGCGGCCGGCGCCTTCGCGTTTGATGACTTCAAAATTCCCGCTGAAGGGGTCTGCGGCAACGTCAGAGGCGCCGTGTTGAGAGGGTTTGTCTCCAAAAAATGTGGATTCCAGGCTGTATCAGACTTTATCTCTTTGGGACGTCGTTGAGCGCACTTCGGCTGAAAATGGGAAGCTCTGTCTTGCTGAGAGAACTCCCCAGGCCCTGCAGCTGGCTGTCGTCCTTGTCTGCCCCCGGAATCCTTGCAAAGATTTCTATGTGGATAAGCTCTTAGTTGATCTCCAGTGGCTGTCACTGTCAGGCTGTTGCCCTGCAACATCGCCATCAGCTGGTTCTAGTGATCAAAGTGTTGCTTTTCAACCTTCAGCTTGTGCTAGAACGAAGGGAACCTGGGGAAACTCCACAGAAGCCAGTGGCCGCCTCAGATGGAGGCACCGAGACTCCGGTTGTAATTCCGTGCTGAGCTGACATTGAGTAAACTGCTGGGGCGGTAACTGGCGGGTTCTGAAATGTGCGCTGATCAGGAGAAACAATGCAGCACCAATGTGTTGACTGCGGTTGTGTTAAGCTGCTATTCGTTTGCAGTTTAAGATATTATTAACGCTTTTCAGCTTAGGAGCCTTTCGAACACATTGTAGCGAACTTTTCAGGCGCCGGTCATGCTGTCGATGGACAACTACTGGTGCGCGAGCCTGAGAGGGCGCGAAAAGGCCAAAACCTGCAATTGTGAGTTCAAACTCCGCAGTACAGAAATGAACGTTTATTCCGAATAAGAAAAAGCAAGAAAAAGGAGGAGTTGGGGGAGAGCAACTTCGGTTCCAGTTAACCGTTGCCGAGTGTGACTGCCGTGCTCGCACCACAACGCAGTGGCCCCACAGGTGAAGACCATCAGAGAAACTGTCTTTTTTTCAAAAATTGATAGTGCGTGTATCTGAATTACTGATGTAAACGGTTTGTAGAGATGAACTCTAATGCCGATGCGACGCATGCCAAGGGTGTTGTTCTCGGCATCTTCCCGTGAGAACATGACCACCCGTGGCGAGAATCGCCACGATTTTCGGACACCTAAAATCCCAGTGCTTGCCAGACTGAATGCACAGACTGTATGCTTGCAGCTCAGCGCTTAGAAGCCGCGGTATTGTGCTCATTACGCATCTCCGCCCCAGCGCAAATAATGTGCTGGTGGAGGCAATCAAGAGCGCAAGAGGGACTCTCAGCACCTCCCTTTGTTTCTTGCATAGGTGCTCGCGACAAAATGGTAGAGAAGAAGGTACTTGATCCTGCTTACGGACATGAAGGCACACCACAGGGTGACACTCCTATCAGGAACACAGCGCTAGTTACACACTCAGCACACCTAATTACCTGACGGCATCACCTCCTCGAAAAACAACGGCTGCCTATGTTGCGTCCTTGTGACTCCACTGGTACGCATGCTTGAGTAAGTTCAAAAGTGCAACAGCTAAATAAATCATGGTAGACTCCTCAGACTGTGCGCAGAGTGAGCAACAGCTGCTCCTCACTACATTCTTGCGCAGTTCAGTTCACAACCTCTCTACAGCAGTGTATCGCCGTTCAAGTGCCAGCAGCTGATCGAACCAGGCTGCTACAGTTACCAAATTCGATAAGCAAGCGGCCCCAGCTCCTAATAAACGACTTAGACACGCCCGAGACACCACACATGCGCTGCAGAATTTTCTCCTCACAGCCAGTTGAAAGTCAGTAGTGAACTGTGCGCTTAGCAGCCGTGTTTTCCCTGGGCATAAGCCGAAAAATTTGGTCAATAGAATCCCCCAAAGCCCTGGCATCAGCCACAGCGGAATCTGGACGGGAACTAAGCCCTGAAAGCGCCCTAGCGCAATCAAGTTCGAGTCCTGGGCTACTTCCCAAGGTACTTTTAACACATAAGCATCAGACTGACATACCTGTTGAACCCAGCATAGCTGGTGGATAGGCAAGCGCTAAACAGTGCGTATGTCACTTTCACAGCAAAGCACTACTGCAGGCGCTAGTACAGAGGGCGCTCTGCCGCCAAATTCATGCAGAAACGTTCATTGCTGACATCTTGCACGCCCACACTGGAGAAAGCAACATAAAGCGCCATGACAAGGTTGTCTACTCGCCTCTTCAAGCGGACGGTTCAATGTGATCGACGAAAAGCAGAAGCATCCAGCGGTCCTGTGGTGGTAACAGCTCCATGCATTTTGCGGCCTGTTTCTGAGCGTCGGTAGCTGCTTGTTGAGCTTTCGTCTCAAGAGCCTGTAGCTCCCTTTTCACGACTGGTGCAATACTGCAGCCGTCGACTGCTTTTGAGGCTGCGCTGGTCAGGAGCTCCAGCGCTGCAATCTTCTTCCTCATGTGTGCCGAGTCAAGATTCATCAGCTGGTGCAATGAACTAATCACCGCGGGATCGTTGTACAGTTCCCTCTTCATTCGTCCCTTGTCCCAGTTCTCCAGGAATTCAGCCTTTCTGTACGACGTGCTTGCTTCTGCTTCGTTAAGAAGCTCCAACTGAGTACGCAGCTCCTCGGCATTGGGTGGAAGCGTTTGCGCTTGTGGTGGCAACTGCTTCAACAGAGCCTCTATACGATCGGTGACAATAAGAAGTGGATTGAAGGCACCTACCATTTCCCTCTGATAGCTGTAGATGCGTTGGGCTGTCCTGTCTCTGCGATCCAAACTCTCCTTCGACAGCTGTGCAAAGTCACAAAAACCCTTCAGCAAATGAGGGTTTGCGCGTAGTCGTCGCTGTAGCCCTTCTTTCGGATTCTCTCCAAGGATATTTTTTGCTTCCCAGTACATCAGAGGGTCGCCAGGCTCTGCGCGCGCCGGCTTGACCCCAGGAAAACGGGGAAGCCTCCGTACGAATAGAACAACAAGTAGTAGCAATGCACCCCATATAAGATGCAGGCTACTGTGCGGCCTCTCCGGTACTTTCCATTTAATGGATGGAACAATCGTTCGATCGTCGAAGACCTTTTGCTCGAAGTCTAGCCTCCGCTGCAGCTCACTTAGAGGTACCACGTCATCCTGATATTCTGTATTCGACGGAGCGGCCCCTCCCCGGTCTCTCCCTATAGCCAATCGCCTCTGTCTTAAACCCATTGATCCTCGTGCAGCGTAGGGAAACGCTCTGCAGACCTTTCATGCCATGACACTTCCGAGCTCCTGAAGTGCCGGGGCGACGGCGCCGTTGCTGACAAACAGCGCTTCGCTTGCTGCTTTCCTCCAGTCCTGAAGAACGAAGATGTCCATAACTCTCGAATGGTGGGTTTGTATGCAGTTGCAGGGATGCTCTCAATCTAGCAGAGGCGCACTGGCTTCTGGAGCTTCCTAGATTAGGAATGAGGGTGTATTGGCAGCAAGTTCAATGAAGCTCGACACAGAAGATCGGCAGTACAGCGGGAAGAAATAGTATCGGCCAATGAGATGCAATCGCCATAAAAATAAAATAGGTCCAAGACAGAAGGTTAGTAAGGCGCTAAGGGCGCCAATTGGGGCTGGTAGAGACAAAACTCTTGCCGCAACGGCAGGGGTTGAATAAAAACGCTACTTGCTATGAGTTTATTGTTTTAATACGTTACAAAGTAGATTTGTGGTCCACATAGCAATTGAGCAGCAGGGAATCAGGCATATTACGTAACATCCAAAGTGAGCGTCGCTCGCCACGCTCAGGCTTCAATGCAACGGACCACATTTAGGCACGCAGGCTGCCGCAAGAATCTTGAACAAACCAGCATAGAACAAATATAAGCAGTAGAGAGACCTTAGTAAGTAGTGAATATTATGCTCTAGAGATGTCCCCTACAGATACAGGCGCAGGTTAGGGACTGGCAGCAGGTTAACCTTAAAGTGTTATCTCCCAAGGATAACCTGTTGCCAGACTAGAACCGATAGTAGTATCGAATTTCAACAAAGTGGAGGAGGATTCCCTCGCGTTGAGGAGTTCATTCACGATAGTTCGCTGCATTCACCTTCTGTATCAGGAATACTCTCGAGACTCCCTCTCTCGAGAGAAGTGAATTCCCCACCGCTGAACTCAAACCACTGAAGGTGCCCCTTACGGGTCAAAAGGCCATGCCCAACTGCTGTTGAGCTAGAGCCCTTCAAATTCTCCAAATACTTCCTTTGTACTCTTAGGAAGGCCGGCACTGGGATTCCAGAACACACACAGAAGTCTAAACAATCCTAATTCACTTGACAAAAATCACGGCGCCTTGGTAGCGAGGTCTAGAGCTCTGCCCTTCCCATGAAACGTTGTGTTTCCTTCTAATTGTATACTTCCACAATTATGCTCGAATCAGACTACCTGGAGATTTGGAAATAGGATGACGGTTGGTAAGCGCTCTCAGCTGGAGGGCAGTCGGCTAAACATCGGCAGCCGGCACAAGCTAGCATACAAGTATGTAGCGAAAGTCACAGCTCAATACCACGTAAGGGCTGTTGCCAGATAGATTTTCAGTACAGAAATCGCCTGTAGGGACCAATTTCAAGCATTCGGTGGCGTGGCGCTCCAGATTTGGTCCTTGTATACCCATGCAGCTACTGTAGAGCTCTCCACTACAATGCAGCGTGCAAATAGAGCGTAAAGGCCACGAGCAGTTCACAAGACACGTTTGAAACACGAATAAGCAATGGCTTCTGTGAGGAGATAGGGCTCACAGGGAGGGCCCTGCGAACTCTGCCGCCAAGCGCACGTTATGCATCTGGCAGCGACCCCGCAGCCAGCAAGGACCTTGCAAGTAAGGCTTAGCCTTCAGGAATCTCCGCTATGATGCCTCATGAAAATGCCCACTACAAAGCACCTACGTTGGCTATTGGAAGCTGCTGAAGAATTTTAATAGGGGCGCGTCCAGACTCCTTGTCTTTGCATGGTACTGAGTTCAGGACTGCGCCAATCTTTAGCTTTTGAATAATACGACGCCGGAGGCCATTCCGGGGAAACGTTGAATTGTGAGGAGTGCGAATTTGTATTAATGCACACTACAACTTCTTCCCTTCCAAAACTGTTTCGCTTGTCTCTGAAGAGTGATTTTGGGCTTGTTGTTTAGCTTCACTACGCCTTGGCTCTTGGCTCTGCTGTGCTTCCGTCGAACTTGGGACCGCAGCGTCCGTCTGCCTAAGTTTCTTTTGCACGCTTGCTGCTGTGTTCCGTTCTGCGTCCCTGCTTCAGAGTGCCTTCCTGTATATGTCGCCTCTGTCTTTGCTGTATGGAAGTTGTCCCTTTCTGCATTGCCTTTGCAGCTCTCTCTACAGCCGATTGCTCTCGAAAAAGTCCAGTTTTTCACTGTAGGTGTGTACTTCCGGCTACAACGCATGATACAGTCATTAGTGTACACTGATTCTAAACGATGAAACTTCGGGTTGCTTCTTCCTGCTTGGCCCTTGATTCTCTGTTCTGCATACCTTTAGATATAGCTCAGCCTAAATGCTAGATACACTTCTGCAACAATTCTTTTGGTTTTCACTCCCTTCACGTTAGAAGCAGCCCACTGGGGAATATATTTAATATCCCTTTTCCTTGCTATACTTCCGCTGATGGTTTCAATCGTGCACTTCGACCTGGATCACCTAAGACTTTGTTTTTGACTTACTATTTGTAGTTGCGTAGAACTCTATTTGCCTTTCTTTACGCTTCCGTTACCTTGTTTCGCTTTCTTCTAAGTGACGCTGGTATTTCTTTCACTTCAAACTATTTAAATTCATTCCTTTTATCCAATATATCATGCCTGTATCTCTTGTCTATTTCTTCTTTCCACATCGAGCTACAATTTATTATTCTTCGAACTATATTTGATTTTTCGACCATTTTTCGTCTGTTTGCTCTTCTCTTTTCGTTTTTCTAACGTTTTGAACGTCGATTTTTTTAATCTTATTCCCCAACTAGTTCATGCAATTCGGAACTTGTACGGGTATCGTTGGGTGGATTATTACCATCTTCGGTTTATTCTACTCTGCCAGATTGTTCTACATCATCTGTTTTTCTCCACAAAGACTGCATGCATCACTCGGGAGTCTTAATTGATTACGAGTAACTCCTGCGTGGCAGCGAAGTGCACTCATGCACCAACAGGGTAAACATGCTTCTTTGCTCAGCTGTTGATTACCCAAGGTTTCTGAGTTAGCCGAAAGTGTAAGCCATTTTGAGCCAGACTAATGGTTGGCAGAATGCAACTCTAGTAGCGCAAAGAGCAAGAATGAAAGGGAAGGAATGAAAACTAGGAAGCTAGGCCTACAAAGAAGGTGTCGAATGCAATGTGAGAAAAAGCGACAAAGCACTGACAGCTGAATTTTTAGGCACTGTGGCGACAGCTCACAACAGCTTGTCGCCGGTGCGTAGGCTAGGCCTTGCTGTTTAAATGCTTCCGTTACTCTTCCCTCACGAGGGACCAGTTAGCGCTGCATGTCCGTTCATAGTACTTTTCTCTTCGCTTGGATAAAGTGGCACAAGCCGTAGAGTAGGGGCCCTCGCAGCCCCAACTCTTACAGGCTTCACTTGCATGCCATCACTTCTCGTGAGGGGCAATCTTTCCCCAGATGGCGCGTGGCCTTGTACTCAAAACACACCATGCTGTCAGCACTTCCGGAAAAAGCGTTCTGTATTTTTTACATTCATTTTCCTGAAGTCGATAGGCCTTTGTGGGTGCCCCATCAAAGCAGAACTTTTTTTGGCTCAATGTCTTCAATATACTGTGAATAACGGGAATGGGACGGTTGTAAGAGCATTCAACGCATGATAGCTTGGCAGTTGATCGCCATGAGCACCTTTCCCTCACCGAAGGGCACTATGTAGGAGAAACCCACCCATTCACCGATACATTTGCAATCTTTTGCCTGTGAGTGCTGAGCTGGTAAGGAGTCATCAAATGAATAACGAAGCATATACAGTATATGTAAATAACGGACTTTGCTGAGCCGTGACAGGCACCAAAAAGGTTTGTGGCAAGAGGGCCGTTTCTGACAGAGTCCGATGGGCAAGGTATTAGGGAAGGTGCTTGAGTATTTCAGTTAGAGCTTTCTGCACTTCTACTGTCTACAGCGACTCATCAAGCCGAGTACGCTCAAGCATGACATCGGGCAACTGCAGCGCCTCGTGGTCCTCGCTGTATTTGGCCGCTTTAAAGACCACAAAGGTAGATGCTCCTAGCGCTTATTTATTCGGTGCGGGCGGTGCACATAGTAAGACTTCATGCCGCCCATTACAGGGTCACAGGGCGGCCCCTTTGTTCAGGGCAAGTGGGACGAGGATGTAACTACGCTGCCATAGAGGTAATCCGAGCTCGTGTAGGCTTGCGATTCGACCGTCTTGATCTGCATTCACGCATTGTCTTTGGCGTGTGACTTCTGACGGGAACGACAAAAGAGTTTCAACTGCGCGTCGTGCCTGACGCCTTTCTCGTCACCAGGTCGTATGACTGTATTTTATCTATTTTATCTTATAGCTTCTTGCATGCACTTCACAGAGAAGCCACGCCAATTGTCTTACGCATAGGTTCTAAGCTCACCAAATCGGAATTAAAGTCTGCCGCACATTGTGTAGGTCAACTTTGTCCCAGAAACAGATCAGAAAGGGCGTGACAGACTAAAAGTTCATCTGATAGCGCAATCAAGATGCAGCTTGTATTCAGTATAGTCACTATGCGGTCTAGTTACATCCTGCCGCCGTTAACGACGGTGAGCGCACATGTCCTAGAGAGCGGCGTCACCCTGAACTGTCACCGGTCTATAGCATACTGGCTAACAAACCTACGCAGTGCATCGTTACCCACCAGAAAATTTCACATAGCCAAGCCCTTCAAGTCAGGGAACTGCAGTCGTACCCGCGTAAGACAGCACACCTTGGCGCTCACTGGAGGGCACTTCCCACAGCATCTTGCTCCACCAAAGCGGCATATTATCCTCTCTTTCTTCTGCTGATTCTGGCTCTAGGCTTCACTCTAGTAGGCACTTCGTTCTCATTTTCCAGGGCTACCTCCAGTACCCATCCATTACGATGGCTCATAAGCTGCTCTGAAAACTAACGTTTTCTTGATATATCACTGTGCTCTGTGCTGTGCATGGCAGCTGCCAACTATAGGTGTGACCTGTGCAGTAGCTTACAACAT